AAAGGAGGACCGTGGAAGCCCAATGTTGGGTGAACCAATGTTGGGTGAACTGGGGGCCAAGCACCATGCCGTATTTTGTCAAACTGCAGGACCAATGTTCCAGATCCGAATCTGCGGGATCCCAAGATGTCTGCAAGAAGGTCAAGATCAGACAAAAAACAGGTCGGCAAACTAGCAGCTATAGTTCAAAATTGTTTCCTAGCATCTCGTAGCATGAACTGTCCAGCATTGTCTGGACATTCGCGGGGCTTGACATGGTTTGATACTTGTCTTGTATTTTCTTCACTTTGCCCGTGATCCCTCTTCAAGCTGAGGTTTTCCCATGAGAAGATTTCCGCCATCGTTACTTCTGCTGTGCATCGCTCTCAGATTCCTAGAAGAAACTGTGATACCTTGCAATAGTACCGGCATGTACTGCCGCCATGTCAGTGCTAGGAAATCGGCCACCGCTGGCCTATTCACAGAGCTGGCAGCTTTGTCGGGTCCTTGGCTTCAGGACCTGATCGTGATCATCCTGATGTGATTTATTTAATTTAAATTTATCATGACTTATTTATATTTATCTGGATGCATAGCGCAACCATATGCAACCTATGTAACGTAGCCGTAGTTTTTACCCTGCTTTACCAACTTGAGAGTTTCGTTCCATCCCAGGCGTGCGCAGCTCACAAGCGAAGCTGAAAGCGGCATCGCCGAGCCATCGACCTCTGGGGAAGCTTCCAGACAAGTGGGACGTTCACACGAGGCAGGCGACCAGGAAACGAAACGCGTCCGTGAGTTGATATCGTAGCTACGCGGTGTGGCTCAAACATGTTAGACTGTTAGGCTGACCAAAAGGCACCCCAACCGCCAGTTACTGACTTTAAGATCATTGCAGCCGGTCAACAGGCACAGGCCGCACCAACACGTGGATCCGATTCCATTCAAGATAGATGCTCAGCTGCAGCCAGTGCTAAGGCGGGGCGCTGCATCAACCACGGTATTCTTATCAGAGAGAACCCAACAAACATTCAGGATCCAATATGGAGAAATACCAGAACACGATACTCACGATGCGGTGTGATATGAGCATGCATGTGAACAAATTGCATGCAAGATTATATACGATTGCGCGCGCGCACACAATTGTGGTGATCTATGTTTCAAATGGTGACCCCAGTCCCATTTGTTGGGTTGGAGCCATCCTATGTTGAAAGGAGCCAGCCTAGTCCGGCACTAGCGCATTGGATCACTCTGACCCTTGTGGCTTCGAGTTGGCGCCAAGGAGATCAGACTACACCAAGCAGGGCTCCGTGGATCGCCTCAAATGACAGACATCCAGCAGTGCAACTGTGGACATGCAACGATTCGTCCATCACAAACATCACAATGCAACCTCCAGTGCTGATCGACCTTGCACCGATCCTCAGACAGCCTTGTCAATCATGGCCTGAAAAAGCACAGCAACAAGTCAAGTCCCTAGGTCAGAAGATGAGCCTGAGGCGAAGCAAAGGGTCAAAAGGCGTGCCTTGGTGGCAAAGTGGCTCAAGAGTCAGACTCTGATCAAACAGCAAGAGGGGCTCACTAAGGCTGGTCATATCTGGCCATGATGAATCTATTCCATAGCCATAGGCAACCAACGGCCCCACAGCACAACGACCTTCCTTTGAGAGATGGCTGAAAGTTGGCTGAAAGGAGATGATAAAATTTGATAAAGGATGATAGTGGATTGATAGTGGTAGATTCAGCAAAGGCCCACCAAGGTGCCTCAACGGTGCCTCAGTTTATCAATTTTACCATCGTTCCAAAAAAAAACGCCACCGAGGCCAGAAGCGAGAAGCACAGGCCGAATCGACAGAGCAGGCACCCACAGGATCCAAGGAGACGACGCAGGTGGATACTGATGGCCCTGATCCATTTGAACAGACCCTTGGATTCCTTGGAATTGGATTTGTGGAAGATATAACTAAGATATACTAAGATAATCTAAGATATAACAACAACCTGGCTGAGTACACGCAAAACCTCCTGAGCCAACTGCAGGCTCTTTTGTGCCCAAAGTAAAACAGTTGCCGCGCCACTCCGCCTGGGATTCATCCTGTGAATGAGCCCAAAGTCGCTCAACTGAAAGCCATTTCGTAGAGTACATGGACTATGCCAAGGCCTGTGGATGGTGAACTACAAGGAGGACGCCAACAAGGGGACGATCAAGGCCAAGGATATGGTGACGATCATGGCAGAGGGCAAGAACCAAACCCATTCTGGAGTGAAGAGGTGAGGGAAGAACACCTCTTGACCCAGGCAAGACCTAGAGGCCTACCGGATGAGACACCGAGTGAGAATCTGTTGGACCTTGACTTGGATGAGGACGAGTTGAGGACGGCAGGTGAGAGTACACCGCCAAGCTGGGAACCACTGGAAAACTAAGGCGGATCTCAGGGTGATGCAGTTGGGTCGCAATCAGTGCATGTGAGCGTTGGATGGCCTACGGGTGTTGCGACAAGAGGGACTTCAAGGAGGAACTTGTCCAAGACTCCGTTCTCGTTCATTGCGGGCTCGAAGTCCATCGAGTTGTTCCGCCTTAGAGCCTTGCTGGGCCCGGGCACCAGTTCCACCTTCTGCCAGGTCGGCCTGCAGTAGTGACTGCAGCCTGGACTCCCGTAGGGCCCCATCATTCGTTGAAAAGCACAATGCTGGTATACTTCAAGTCTATCCAGTGCGATACAACATTGACCATCATTCGCCGTGCTGCCCTTGCAGCCAGCTCAGGTCCATTCATTATTTTGACATGCTGCGTGTTCATGAATAGGGACAAGGTGGTATGGCACAAACGAGGAACAACAAGACAACTGCAACTTTAAAACCCAAAGTCAGACAACATCCAACCTGTGTAAAGCTAGGCAGCTAGGCATCATGCTGCACATGCTGTAATACTTCAGCGCTGGACTCCCAGCAGGAGTGGCTTGCTTTTCGCTGCTGGTCAGTGGTCTCTTCTCGTGAAAGTTGCGCACACGCCTAAACCCACATGACGCCATGCGCTAACCCCATCGGCCACCTTCCAGTTTGAAGATTTGGGCCTTACACACAACACATGTGCACACATCCTTTGCTCCGCGCTTTGTTCAAGATTCTAAGGCGGATCGCCTTGATGGATTTCGAGGCCGCGATAGTCGAGTACTGTAAGGGGTTCTGAACAAGTTCAAGGACCTGGACAAGAGCTACCTCCAGCAAAAGTTCAGCATTCCGGAGATGAGGGGCGTGATGAGTTGGAGCGAGCAATAGAAAGGAAATGGTTGAAGAGCTAATGGAACGAGTGGTTAAAGCTGCAAAAGGAGAATGATGCGCTGAAGCAGCAGGGAACGCGTGCACCTGAAGAAGGAGTACGGCAAACTAAGAGGGAGCCACCAATGAGGGTAGCTATGACACCAGAGGCTACGCCACCAGCAACAAGGAGGACAACCCCAGGTGGGACAGCGGTGCCATGATGCCAAGAGTGCCGGATCTTCCGTTTTTGGGAGCCCCACGGAACTTGGAGAAGGGGTGGAACTTTGATGAAGTCTTTGGACCCCCCACCTCCACCTCTACCAAGGCCTTATCGAGGCTTTGCAGGCGGACAAGATGGGCAAAGGCAAGGTCAGGGACTCCAACAAGGTTGGGGAGATCGGCAAGATGATGTCCGACGAGGAGGTGGGCCACGTGTGGAAGATAGCCTAGCAGCCTAACAACAATCTGGCTGATTACACGCAAAACCTCCTGAGCCAACTGCAGGCTCTTTTGTGCCCTAAGTAAAACAGTTGCCGCGCCACTCCGCCTGGGATTCATCCTGTGAATTTACAGGGTTATTTAAGTTATTTATAATTATATATAATTAAATGATATTGAATGATTATATTACGATTAATTTTAGTCATGATTCAAAATCGGAGTATGCCTGCATCCATTTCTGATATCTCAGCGGATTTTGTTGCTGGCTTGTAACAGGGCGCTGAACCGTGGTCAAGGCCTTTTTTTGCAGGAGCTACTGGCTACTCAGCAGTCAGAACGCTTGTATGGAGCCAGCTAAGGAGCTTTCGCGCGGTGAGCGCGCACCATATTGCCACAACATTGCAGGAGGAGATCTGCGCTGCACTTGATGCAGGGATTTAGGCTAGTAGCCGGTTTCGGAGATGTTGGCAGGAGATGCTTGCCGTTGGGCTGACACGAGATGCGAAGGTCTATGAGTATGGACCTCTGTGTGTTTAGCAGTATGTTGGACATCCAACTAAGAGCAAGCTGGGGGTGGATGGAGGTGGTGCGATGGGTTTCGAGGATTGAACCCGACGTCATCCGGAAGAAGGGCGAGAACACCATTTGCCCCCGAGATCAGAGGATTGGGGGATGAACAGATGGAGGTCGTGCACAAATGTCGTGGAAGTTTTGGACGGATGGCACCAGCCCTTCACAGCAAAAACTGGCTCTCATATGCTCTTATTTTGTGCGTTTCGGCAGCCTTTTTGGCTGGAGCCGCCATATGGGCATGCCACATGAGCTAACTTGAGAGCCAAAATGCAGCTAAAAGATACACTAAAATATATCAACATGCATTATTGTTATATAACAATATTAACATTTTTCATTACTACTAAACGCATCAAAACGTATCTTCGACCCGTGCTTTTTGCACAGTTCTGAACCGTTCTCACTTGCCATATACTGTACACTCATATGATCTCACATGCATATAAGCAGTAATTACACACAATTTTAGTGTATTCAAGTGTAGAATCATTACCCACATTTACATCCATGTGGGCATAGATTCCAGCATGTGTGCCCTTTCATATTATACGTATTCATGTGTATACACATGTATATGTATTCGTGTTGTACTCGTATATGTATGCATGTTTACCAACAAATGCAGCGCTAGAGGATGAGGGTGGCTTTGACACTCACTCGTTCTATCTCGCCAGGCTATGTTAGAATGGCCTTTGCGAAGAGTAAGAGCCACACCAACTCATTGCAATATTTGCAGGCAACTTCAGCGTCGAATGTCCCATGGCGATTTTAGCTACATGTTTCACTACGTTTTGTGCCTTTGCTGAATTTGAGGAGACCCTGTTGAAAAATGACATACTCCATGCATCATGCAGCGTGCAGAGATGTGCCGAGGTGCCCTGTCAGTCCCAGTCTTTGCAGATGATTGGTGGTGTGTCCCATCGCCGGGGCGATGTCATGGCCATCGGGAGATGCTGGCCCCGGCCTCATTGTGGCATGTCTAGCATGGATGCGAACATTGCGGAGCCGTTGAGGTGAAACGCGCCAGCGTCCAGATGGCAGCAAGGCTGAATGTTGAACATTTGTAACATTTTGTACTTGTAATACGATCTATGGCTGCCAAAATATCCGTCCCCGCACAGATCCACCATGATTTGTCATGATCTGCCTTGATGTATGATCCAGATGTGCAAGTGCAGGCTAGCTGCGCCTTACGTGGTAGACTGGGATGGAGATGGTGTGACAGAGCTTCTGATTGGTGATTATGATGGCCGGGTCAGGTGCCCTGATTGCACTTGGTTGATTCGTATGCGAAGTTCCACCAAATTCCACTGCCAGCGAGGTACTATTCCAAGCACCCTAATGGACGCTACTACGTCCGGAAAGCCAGCGAGGATCCCTTCCGAGCAACTCCGCATTGACTTGACACACGTTGGGATATGGTAGACATGAATCTCACAAACCCCACAAAGCCGAAGCATATATATATATGTATAATATATATATATATGTATAATATATATATGTATAATATATATATACATATGTATAATATATATATGTATATAATATATATATATGTATAATATATATATATATATAATGTACGGGCCTGTGTATATGAGCCAAATTCCCAACAAGATCATCACACGTGGGATGGCGTGGGACTGATACTGGTGAGTTCTCCGCTTGGATGTGCTGCCATGGCCATGGCTGTCTCAGGTGATCCCTTTTGAAGCTGGACGCAGCAGCAACTTCTTGGCGGCGACGCCGGTGGCTGTGGACTTTGACGGAGATGGCCAGCTGGACGCTGGGATGGGGTTGATGGAAGGTAGGAAACCGAACATATGGCCAATATAGGAATAAAAACATAGGAGCACAATTTATCATTTTGACATGCTACATATTATATATAGATCAATAATTATAGCTTATATATACTTGTGAAATCATATGAATACCAGTAGTACCGCACAAGGCGGTGGCGGAAGTTTCAAAAATAGGAAACCTATAGGGGAGGTTGGTTGTTGTGAGTCGCGGATGGCAGAGCAAATCCACTGATGGACCGACAGGTGGTTGGAGTTGTGTTTTTTCCCCACCTGCCAGGTGAGGGTTGTTAGATTTTATCAGAGTTGTTTCCTCGGCTAGCTGTCCTCCTCGTCCTCTTCCTCCTCCTCCTCGTCCTCCGCCTTCTCCTCCTCCTCTGCCTCCTCCTCCAGTTTCTCCTCGACCATGTCTGCATCAACTTCCACCTCAACTTCCGCCTTGCCAACTCTTCGCCAAGCTCTTTGCCAACTTCCCAGCTCAGTGTGCACCGCTGGACCTCAACCAGGGACCAAACCAGCTCAGTGTGCACCGCTGGACCTCAACCTGGGACCTTCCCAGCTCAGTGTGCACCGCTGGACCTCAACCTGGGACCTTCCCAGCTCAGTGTGCACCGCTGGACCTTAACCTGGGACCTTCCCAGCTCAGTGCGCACTGCTGGACCTCAACGGCCAGATAGAATACCAGAAGATATGCCAGATAGAGTGTTAGAAGAAATGTCAGATAGAATGCCAGAAGATATGCCAGTTAAAATGCCATGAGATATGCCAGATAGAATGCCAGAAGCTATGCCAGATAGAATGCTAGAAGATATGCCAGGTAGAATGCCAGAAGGTATGCCAGAGAGAATGCCAGACAAAATGTCAGATAGAATGCCAGAAGATATGCCAGATAGAGTGCCAGAAGGTATGCCAGAGAGAATGCCAGATAAAATGTCAGATAGAATGCCAGAAGATATGCCAGATAGAATGCCAGAAGATGTGCCAGATAAAATGTCAGAAGATATGCCAGATAGAATGCCAGATCGAATGCCACATAGATTGGCAGAAAGTGTGCCAGATAGAATGCCAGAAGATATGCCAGATAGAATGCCAGAAGATATGTCAGATAGAATGCCAGAAGATTGTCAGTAACAAAACGTATAAATGTCATGGTGGGGATCACTCGAAGTAAAGTAATTGGAATGTTTGCAATGGTTGCAGTTGTAGTGTTGTGGAATGTAGTGTGATTGTAATTGTAGTTGTGGTGGTGGTGGTGGTGGCGGCGGGGGCCGTGGCGGTGGCGGTGGCGGTGGTAGTGGGAGTGGGAGTGGTGGTGGTGGTGGTGGTCGTAGTAGTAGTAGTAGTAGTAGTAGTAGTAGTAGCAGAAGAAAGTAGTAGTTGTCTGTCTGTCTGTCTGGTCTGTCTGGTCTGTCTGGCCTGTCTGGCCTGTCTGGTCTGTCTGGTCTGTCTTGTCTGTCTTGTCTGTCTTGTCTGTCTTGTCTGTCTTGTCTGTCTTGTCTGTCTTGTCTGTCTTGTCTTGTCTTGTCTTGTCTGGTCTGGTCTGGTCTTGTCTTGTCTGGTCTTGTCTTGTCTTGTCTTGTCTTTCTTGTCTTGTCTTGTCTGGTCTTGTCTTGTCTTGTCTTGTCTTGTTTTTCCCCAGATAGCTGGCAAGCTATAGGGGTTCTTACTTCTCAAAGGTGGGGTCTGGGTGCTGTGCAGGGTGCTGTCCGGACTGCGGTGGCGAAGTCTGGCAAAGGTGCTGTGCAGGGTGCTGTGCAGGGTGCTGTGCAGGGTGCTGTCCAGACTGCGGTGGTCTGGCTGTGCACGGTGCTGTCCAGACTGCAGTGGCGAAGTCTGGCAAAGGTGCTGTGCAGGGTGCTGTGCAGGGTGCTGTGCAGGGTGCTGGGCAGGGTGCTGCGCAGGTGCTGTGCAGGGTGCTGTCCAGACTGCGGTGGCGAAGTCTGGCAAAGGTGCTGTGCAGGGTGCTGTGCAGGGTGTTGTCCAGACTGCGGTGGCGAAGTCTGGCAAAGGTGCTGTGCAGGGTGCTGTGCAGGGTGCTCTGCACGTGTTGTCCAGAGTGCGGTGGAGAAGTCTGGCAAAGGTGCTGTGCAAGGTGCTGTGCAGGGTGCTGTGCAGGGTGCTGTGCAGGGTGCTGTCCAGACTTCGGTGGCGAAGTCTGGCAAAGGTGCTGTGCAGGGTGCTGTGCAGGGTGCTGTCAGACTGCGGTGGCGAAGTCTGGCAAAGGTGCTGTGCAGGGTGCTGTGCAGGGTGCTGTGCTGGGTGTTGTCCAGAGTGCGGGGGCGAAGTCTGGCAAAGGTGCTGTGCAGGGTGCTGTGCAGGGTGCTGTGCAAGGCTGTCCACACTGCGGTGGCGAAGTCTAGCCAAGGTGCTGTGCAGGGTGCTGTCCAGACTGCGGTGGCGAAGTCTGGCAAAGGTGCTGTGCAGGGTGCTGTGCAGGGTGCTGGGCAGGGTGCTGTGCAGGGTGCTGTGCAGGGTGCTTTGCAGGGTGCTGTGCCAGACTGCGGTGGCGAAGTCTGGCAAAGGTGCTGTGCAGGGTGCTGTGCAGGGTCCAGACTGCGGTGGCGAAGTCTGGCAAAGGTGTTGTGCAGGGTGCTGTGCAGGGTGCTGTGCAGGGTGCTGTGCAGGGTGCTGTCCAGACTGCGGTGGCGAAGCCTGGCAAAGGTGCTGTGCAGGGTGCTGTGCAGGGTGCTCTGCAGGGTGCTGTCTAGACTGCGGTGGCGAAGTCTGGCAAAGGTGCTGTGCAGGGTGCTGTGCACAATGGTGCCTTGCAGGGTGCTGTCCAGACTGCGGTGGCGAAGTCTGGGAAAGGTGCCGTGCAGGGTGCCGTGCAGGGTGTTGTCCAGACTGCGGTGGCGAAGTCTGGCAAAGGTGCTGTGCAGGGTGCTGTGCAGAGTGCTGTTCAGACTGCAGTGGCGAAGTCTGGGTGCTGTGCAGAGTGCTGTTCAGACTGCAGTGGCGAAGTCTGGCAAAGGTGCTGTGCAGGGTGCTGTGCAGGGTGCTGTGCAGGGTGCTGTGCGGGGTGCTGTGCAGGGTGCTGTACGAGCGCGGTGGCGAAGTCTGGCCAAGGTGCTGTGCAGGGTGCTGTGCAGAGTGCTGTTCAGACTGCAGTGGCGAAGTCTGGCAAAGGTGCTGTGCAGTGTGCTGTGCGGAGTGCTGTGCAGGATGCTGTGCAGGGTGCTGTGCAGGGTGCTGTGCAGGGTGCTGTCCAGACTGCGGCGGCGAAGTGTGGCAAAATTGCTGTGCAGGGTGCTGTGCAGGGTGCAGTGGCGAAGTCTGGCAAAGGTGCTGTGCAGGGTGCTGTGCAGGGTGCTGTGCAGGGTGCTGTGCAGGGTGCTGGGCAGGGTGCTGCGCAGGGTGCTGTGGAGGGTGCTGTCCAGACTGCGGTGGCCAAGTCTGGCAAAGGTGCTGCACAGGGTGCTGTGCAGGGAGTTGTTCAGACTGCGGTGGCGAAGTCTGGCAAAGGTGCTGTGCAGGGTGCTGTGCTGGGTGCTTTCCAGGGTGTTGTCCAGAGTGCGGTGGCGAAGTCTGGCAAAGGTGCTGTGCAGGGTGCTGTGCAGGGTGCTGTGCAGGGTGCTGTGCAGGGTGCTGTCCAGTCTGCGGTGGCGAAGTCTGGCAAAGGTGCTGTGCAGGGTGCTGTCCAGACTGCGGTGGCCAAGTCTGGCGAAGGTGCTGTGCAGGGTGCTGTGTGGTTGGGAAGCATGAGTTCCAACCTCTTGGAACCGGCAGTTGCTTGCAATGGTCACCTCTGGTTCCCAGATTGGGAACCAGGAGTTCCAACCTCTGGGAACCGGCAGTTCCTTGCAATGGCAACCTGTGGTTCCCACGTTGGCAACAGTGAGTTCCAACCTTTGGGAACCGGCAGTTCCTTGCCATGAACCAAACGCAAACATTCCGGTACCGGCCCATTAAGCAAAACAAAGCGTTTTTTACCGGTCCATTAAGCAAAACCATAAAGTTGCAGAGAAACTGTTTTCATATCATTTTAACATGCACCTTTTTCGTGCAAACACATCTTTATGCCGGCCCAGCAGCCGAACGCAAACATTCCGCTACCGGTCCATTAAGCAAAACAAAAGGTTCTGTTACCGGCTCAGTAAACAAAACAAAACAACATTAAGAGCCATGATTTTTATCTTTTTGGAATCGGCAGATCCTTCCACTGGTAACGTATGCTTTTTCAGGTTTGGAACCATGAGTTTCAAACTTTGGGAATCCGCAGCTCCTTGCAATGATAGTTGCTTAGCTTCGAAAACATAAATTCTAACTTCTGGGAACCGGCAATTCCTTGCAATAGCAACCTCTGGTTCCCAGGTTGGGAACCGTAAGTTTCAAGGTCTGGGAACCGGCAGTTCCTTGCCATGGTAACCTTTGGTTCCCACGTTGGGAACCATCAGTTCCAACCTTTTCTATCTGGGGTCTATGCCGGTGTGATTCTTGTCTTGTCTTGTCTTGTCTTGTCTTGTCTTGCCTTGGCTTGGCTTGGCTTGGCTTGGCTTGGCTTGGCTTGGCTTGGCTTGGCTTGGCTTGGCTTGACTTGTCTTGTCTTGTCTTGTCTTGTCTTGTCTTGTCTTGCCTTGTCTTGTCTTGTCTTGTCTTGTCCGTCGGTCTGTCTGTCTGTCTGCCTGCCTGGCTGGCTGGCTGGCTGGCTGTCTGTCTGTCTGTCTGTCTGTTTGTAAGCTTGAAAACGCAGCAATTCTACGAGACTTCAACTTGGCAACATCAGAAACGAAGCAATTCTGCGAGATTTCCTCAGTTTTTGAACTTGACAACATCAAAAACGAAGCAATTCTGCGAGACTTCCTTCAAAAATGGAAAGTTGAGTGCAGAGCCCACGGCCTCGTGCCAATGCGTTTTGCAATTTTTTCAGTCCATGTCTCTACAGTGCTGCGCCTGCCACGAAAAAGTGAAACCATACGAAGTTCTGCACCTTTCACGCAAAATCATCTTCCCATACCTGAAGATCTCATGCTCCAAAATGCAACCCCTCTCAGGAAATCAGCGCCCTACCTTTTCGCGCGCCCGGATCTTCTTTCTTCTGAGTTTTTTTTTTTGATCTTCTTTCTTCTTCTCTTCTCTTCCCTGACTCTTCCCGCCTCTGCTTTTCATCTGTCCATATTGTCGGAAGTTTGACTTCTAAACTTCCTTCGGTTAGATTCGGTTAGATATAATTTTTGAGACCATCATGAAGGGAAACAGTAACAACATCGACGCTTAATGTGTTTATATTTAAAACGAAAAACCGGAAAACAGGTGTGACACAGAGGTAGCTTGCCCGATGCCGAGGAATTGCTTCTTTCAGTGGAAGGCCGGATTCGATACTACAAACAGCAACTTCGATTTGCAGCTCCTTCCGCTGTAGGAAGGCGTAGGAGATTGTAGGAGGGTCATCTGATTGAAACCAAGTTAGACAGTTGACATGGGTCAGGGTAAGCCAGGACTCTGCTAGAGTGTCTTGGAAGGACATCGCAAACGCCGTGAGGATTCAAAACCCACGACTAGGGAGAGTAATGGAGACTATTACAAACATGGCGCTTTGTTACTAGACTATAATAGCTATATAATATAATGATTTTGGATCAGTGCATGCACTTCTGTCTTTTCTCGTGTGTTGTCTGAGGCATGATGGACATTTAGTTGAGGTGGATCAGGCAGTGAACCCGTTTCGCGATATCAAGCATCTTGGCTGGTTTACCCGTCTATATGGTTCACCCTATCCATGCCAGCCCGTTTAAGACTAGTTGTGAGTTTGCACTAGCATCAACATGTAGGCAGGACTACCATCGGCTACTGTATTTCACACTGCGTGATGGCCACCCAGACATGCTGTGAAAAAAATGCCAATCAATACCAAACACACCAAGCAAATGAATGCGTCATTTCCATACGGACACTGATCATGGAGCAACCTAGTAGCTGCACCTGGCTAGATGCAACTTAGGTGCAGCTGGCTAGCATGCCGCTTCCATGCCCCTTGATTGAAATATTGACAATTCCCTGCAAGTCCGAAGGTCAAGTTTAACGATGTCTTTGGCTAAAGACCAAATTTTGGGAGGACCTTTCGTTTACCTCGGTTTGATAGAGCTCAGCCCTTTTTCCCCTCGTGTTCATCGTCGCCAAACTTTTTCCACATTGGTCCTCTTTCGGAGGCATCGCGCCCACAGGTTTTTGGCATCAGAGTCACAAATGACCACCGAAAACTATATCGGTTCAATGCTGAATTTGACTTGAACCCCATTTGAAACTGTTGATGCATGATTGGAAAGCACGATTTTTTCAATCACCTCCAGATCGCAGCCCCGAATGGGCCTTTCCAATTTGCAATGAAAAACCACTAAGACTGACCTTCCGGAGCATATGCAAAGCAAATTCGCGGCGCAATAAATGGTATGATTCTGCATAAAATTCCAAACTGAAGAGAATTGTTCCAAACTGAAACTAAATGGTATGATTCACGCTCGGTTCACGATAATACTTGGCCTTATGCCGCATGCCAGTAATAGTAGGTCTTTAGAGGGTCCGTTCACGCTCGGTAGACGCTCGGTTAACGCTCGGTTCACGCTAGCAATTTTGGGCCCCTGACAGTTCATATACTCGTACCATGCATTCGTGGTGGTTCCAGCCTTGGATTCCGAATGATAAAATAGTGTGGGGTACCCAATAATAAACCACAAATTGGATATTTATGGCAGGTGAAGGGAAGTGATTATCCTGAAATTTATATCATTTCCTGCAGGATTATTGGGGAAATTTGCCTGCGTGTAAAGCTGTCATATATGATATATCATTAATCACCAGAAATGACTTCATGATACAACTCAGAGCCATCAAAATCCGGACAGAAACCAAACGAAAAACAACTGATCGAAGCTGGTTGAAAACACTACACCACCCATCAGGTCCAAGTAATAATATGTCCCCATCAAGTAATAGTAGGTCCTGATCATCAAAGTTGAAAGGCCACGAGGTCATTGACCTGGAGGGATTGTATGTATAGGGACACATTATGTGTCTGAAGGTAGTGATTGGCTGCACTTTGCTCGGCCGGCATCGGCCAGCAACTACGGGTCAGGCTGCAGATTGGGACGCAGATGGAGATGTGGACCTGGTGGTGCCGCAAGGCCTAGGCAGGAGTTCTGCCCGAGTCCGAATGGCCGAATCACTAAACTTTGTATACGACACATTCGGCAACTGCGACCACACCTTTCGAAACGTTTGGTTATGGACCAGATTCTTGAACCTGTGAATTTTGCCCGGTCAGGTCTCATGTATGTTGAAAATGTGAACGGATCGCTTATTTTCAGGACACGTCCCCAGCCTGGACATCCATCAAACTTTTTGATGCCTTTAATGATTTTGTCAGGGTAATTGAATTGGATGTAATTGGTCCATTGGTGCAGGAGTGGTGATGCAAATCCATTCCGCTACATAGTGACAAAGTACGTGGACAATCACCGTGGCTGGGATGGCCTGTACAGTTCGCCGTTTGGCAGCAGGAAATCTTACAATGCGGTGCTGTTTCCTTCAGCTTGAAGAGCGCTACTAACTTTCTACAGGTATCTAAGATCTATAGATATCTAATGTTCTAAATAATGATATCTATATATATATAAATATTGTAATGGCCATGACTTCGGACCTCAGCTTCGCGCTGAGACCAGTCATGGCAGATTGGGACGGAGATGGAGATTTAGACCTTTTGGTTGGGCAAGCAGATGGCAGCTTGCTATACTTTGAGCGAACTGACAGTGGACATTTGGTGCAGCTTGCGGTCGAGGACAATCCGCCGGAGCCCCAGAGCCCAGAAATCCAAAAAGTTAGCAGGAACAGCCAGGAATAGGGGTTGTGCGCGGAAGACTATCCAGAATTTATAGCCATCTACTACAACCCATGCATTGCAGCCTTTGTGATGATGAATCTTGAATAATCTTGAGTGGATTTGAGTGGTCACCTCGCCTGAGGTTTCGAAACATAGAGAATCATCCCTATCCCGCAGTTCAAGTCGGTGTCCTGCATGGCAAGAAACCACAGCGACATGGCAGCAGATAACAGCAGCCCAATGCAGTGGACAAGTCTATTTCTCGCATGTATATATTATGGCCAAGAGAGTGAGGTTGATGATCGGAGATATGCGCGGGCACGTGAATTTGTACACTCGCAAGCAGGATAAAGGGCTGTGTCAACTGCATTGAGAAGATCTAAGAAGTCTGTAGAATTCATAGGATCCACACTCAGGGATTTGGATATTTGGATGGTTTTTTCTGTCATTCTCGCAGCAATCTCCACGTCATCACCCAACTTCTTGGCCATTGTCAACATGGGTTTCCTGTGGTGTCCTATGGTTTCCTGTAGAGGACTTGCAGCTGAAGCAACGACACAGCAGCTCCAATCCACTCTATGGGGCCGGATGGTTCACATCGCCGGTGCCGGCTCGGCCCTTGATGGACGAAGCAGGGCTGTAGATGTGGCTGTAGCGTCCTCGAAACAATAGACGGGTGGACTCGAACCATTTGGAGTCTGGAGGCTTCTGGAGCCTGGAGCTACAAACCTGGAGTATGCTGGAGGAATATACGTCATTATACCTCTCTATCCTCTCTCATCTCAGTACAGAATCAAGCCACCCTAAACATCTCTAAGCATCTCTAAGCATCTCTAAGCCCTAAACATTTCTTACATCAGGATGTAACATGATGTAACCACGGCAATCATGGCGTGTGGGGCAACGCATGGTGTAGCTGATCGTCCCCTGCTTGTGGCTTTTTGCGGGAAAGGCATGGAACAAACTCATACGCAACTCCGCGGCTTAGGAGGAGAAGAATGTGTACGTAATGTTTCAGCAAGTGCTTTGGCAGGAAACTTGTGGATTCGCTATGTAGTCAATTTTACCTTTTCCATGGATTGTCACAGCAGCACTGGCAGATGTGCAGCACACCCTGCTGTTTTCAGAGGCAAATGTTGGTCGAGTCCAACTATTCCAGCAGATCAAAGACAATCTCACCCTTGCAAACCTCACGCACGCTGGAATACCTCAGGCAGGCTATGGCAGGCTGCTTTGCTCTTGAACCTTGCTTTATAGTCCAGATAGTCCAGTCAATCCATGGTTGGTACAAACGCATCGCAATGACATGCAACAGCGAATTGCCATGTGCGTCGAAATCTCGCAATCGTTGTTCCAGGCTGCAGCGACAGCTCACTGGCTTCCAGCAGGCCCCAAGCGTATCCCTTGCATAGCCTAGCCGCTAGCCATTTTATTGTGGTCCCTGTGCTTGGGGAAGGCAAACCTGTTGATGTCGACTTCAACATGGATGGTGCAATGGACAGGACGGATCACTTTTTTGAGTGTAGTTGAGCTGTGTTGAACAGGTCAGGATTCTTTGCAAACATTGCATCCTTGCTCTGAGACCGTGATTATCCACTGCTGGAATTTGGATCACTTAAACTTAAACGTTAAGATTTAAAAGACCGACTCAGAACGTCTGATAAATTTCTCATAACCCTCACCAGGCTGAACATCCACCACGATGGACGCATTGAATATTTCGAGCGGCAGAACGGCGAGCTGATTTTGAAAAACGGCCCGGATAGCCCATTCTACGGAGTGAATTTGGACAACGGTCTTGCTGAAACTTGGCACTGAGAATGCCCTATAGGATCCTATAGGCCATAGGCCATCGGATAAGGGGCTTACTGCCACCTCCCAGCAGTAGACCAAGACTCAATTCATGATAGTCATAGTTCAATTCGATTGTGCCCATTTCAAAATCCGTCCGGAAATCCGTTTCAACACGTTTCAAACATGTTTCAACCATGAGATCCGCCTTTGCCCATGTGAATCATGTGATGCTGCTGGGGCAACCTGCTCTTTCCATGGCTTCCCTAAGGATGCCAAGGTGGCAGGTTTTCTGCCCATTGATTGGAATCAAGATGGAGCTATGGACCTCCTCATTGGTGCTTGGGGCCTCTCTCACTTGAAGCTCTTCTTAGCTGGCTGGTGTATCTTGGACTATGCCTAAACTATGCCTAATGAATCCTAATGCTACGATATGCCTGTGATATGCCTACTCAAAGTGCGAAGATTGTGAAGGCAAAGTTGTGTGGGAAAGTGGGAACCAAGAGTTTGCCTTTGGATGCTGGGCCAAGGTGAAGTGCGCACACCTTGCAATTCCAAGAGAATCTGCGACAAAATGTTTGGGACGTGTCGCTTTCTTGCACTCATTTCTGACCTAATTTCCACGGAAAAACAATGGCAAACTGTTGTGATTGTTGTGGCATTTGTGGCAGCATCCTGTAAACATTTGTAAACGCTGGTGCTCCTGACGTTGCAAGTTGCTTCGGTCAGTTTGTGTGGCTCTGAGGTTCCTGCATGTCAGCGCCTCTGTGGTCGGTGTTATTGTCATGTGAAGCGTCCCGTCGAACCCAGTCATGAAGTCTGTAGGACCGGCTACAAGCTGGAGGATTGCTCTGGCTGCGCAGCAGGTGGGTAGAGACAAGAAAGTCATTGAAAAAAAAATGTAGTACATGAGTGCCATCAATATCCATCACGCACCACTAGGTCACTAGGTCATTTGCTGTCCAAAGGATGCGGACAAGATGGTGATAGGTTCCAAAATGTTTCAAACAAAGTCTCCGGTCTGCACGTCTCAAACCCAAAGTTTTGTCAGGTCATTTCACTGTACACACGATTTTCAGCCGCAAGAAGTGGGCCAAAGTGGTCGCTCAAAATGAACCAATATACCGTATATACCTCATGCATCCTCATGCTAGCTTCGCTGGATGGTGCGGGATGTACACTGTGGAGTAGACAGATCATGCCGGCACAAAACACTCTGAGTATTAGACAACGTGCGTAAAGGCTAAATTATCATAAATTATCTAAATTTAGCTGTATATTCGAGGAACGACTTGGCTCACCAGTGCCAAGCATGTCCAGGCTCAGGGGTTGGGTGATTGGCAGAGATGGATGATCGTCCACTTCATAAACTTCAATCATTTGCAACTCAATCCAGTTTCCAGGGTTTTTCATGGTTTTTCTATGTTTTTCTCATGTTTCGGGATGTTTTTCTCCTTTGGAGTTTTTGGGTGCCCCATCTCCAGTGCCAAGAAGCTAGACAACAATGCAGTCCGTCCATAAGCTGCGGAATGTTTGGTCTTCTTGTGATTTTGTTTTTGTCGGTGGTGAGAAGTTGAGAGAAGTTGTGAGAAATTGTGAGAAGCGGGAAGCATTCCTTTCAGCGTTGGGCTGGATTGGCTGGATGACCAGGCAAGAATGCACATCGTGGAGTATGCAACACAAGAGGGGTTTGCCGCCGTCTCAGGTAAGGTGGTAAGGCTGTCAAGTGTCAAGATATGTCAAGATGCTCCTTGATCCATGCCAATTCCTGAATTTTCCTGCCAACTCCATGGGGAAGATTCATTTCCCAGGCGATGCCCTCTTCGTTCTTTGGGAATCTTTGGGAGCTTTATTGAAATTATTGCCTGCTTTATTTTTTTGGGTGGCACCAAGGTCACGATGATTTTTTTGCAGCGCAGAAGGCCAATGCAACTGGACTCAACAGGCCTGGCTTGGAGCATTGCAGCAGTTATTTTTCTCGACTCTTAAGCCCTCCCTGAAATTCAAGGACCTCATTTCCGAGAATTTGATTAGCTGGTTAGTGGGTAGGGTTTAAAGACACAGAGACACAGAGACACACACACATACACAGACCCACACGCAAACAATTTGCCAGCTTGCCAGCTTTCGTGTTTACACTGGATATCACTGAAATTCACGGGATATTTTTCCTTCGGCAGGCTGCAAACAAGTGTCATTTCTGGCAATGGGAGCTGCAGCTGCGGCCGCTTTTTCACTGGTGAGGACCGCTTTGGGCAGCTCACTGTTGAAAAAAAGATCCAACAAGCAAACCCAAAGAACTGATGATATTTGAAGGACTGCTCCCTCGGCGAGTGCCCAGCCGGATATGAGTATGATTCCTGGCTTGAATTAGTTTGTGCGTTGCGGAATGCGTGTTAGTCATACGTTGGCATACCCTGTCGCTGTTTGAGAGTTGAACTTGTGGCAAATTGATGAGCAACAAGGATTCGACAAGAATAGTGGCGGCTTGCGTTCCTTGCCGACCTGGCTTTTACAAGTCTTCGGCAGACAACGTGGCAAGCTGCATGGTTGCACATGGCTAATGGACATCAATATGCATTAATGCTAAGAAGAACCGGTGCAAGGGAGGTAGCAGTTGGCCAAGTTGTGAGTTGTGCTGTAGTGCCCCCTTGGAACATTTTGTATCTTGTAAATTCTTGTAACAACTTGTAACCTGGTAGTCCTGGCAGATCAGGGCAAGTGGATGGGTGGCACTGAGGATGCGCCGCTTGTCCTGATGGACGCTTTGCAGGTGGCTCTGCCACAGCTCCTTGCTGCAAACGACAAGAACCATGTGAGCTTCAGGTTACTGTGGTTACTTGAAAACTCATTCCAGACCCGGCCCATTTGGTGATATTCTGACATGAGCTAATTTCAGTGTGTGTCAAATGTGCTGTGACATGAGCCATATCCATCCGCATCCTGCAATCGAAAACGAGCCGGGTCTCCGTGGGGAGGGTGTCCAAACATTGACCAAATTCTTTCAATGCGTGTTGAGTTGGCCATTAAGTGGCATCACTTAGGCGGCTTGTTTGCCATGTCACGCCCGTTTTCTTCTCTACGATGTGAGTGAGGCTATCTGGTGACTCATTCTTCGCTCTTTTATCACGAAAGGTAGCCTGAGCTACCTGAGTTACGTAATGATAGTTAATGATGTTAATGTGCTTCAGCACCTTTGGCAAGTAGTCATCTCTTCGGGGCAAGTTGATGAGCACTGGCTGCTGCTGCGTTTTTTGATTTCCACTTGCGTGACAGGAGGGCAAGGCATGCACCACTTCGTTCCATACAAACTTGCCTACAGTGGTGGCAGTTTTGCTATGGAGTGTCTCAACGGCTTTATGAGCATGCAAGCGTCATATTTGCAAGCATTGGTGGCATTCCGTAGCCCATCAGAATTACCATCCGGACTGGAGACAAACTTGCCATCTTCTCTTCGGCGATCACGACTACTTGATATGTTTCGTGACTTTCCGGAAGAAGAGATCCATACAACAACGAGCATCAACAAACTCTACACACTAAAATGAATTCAATAAATAGCAGAATGCTTTGGCAGCTGACAGCTCTGCTTGAAATTAAGAACATGGAAGACATGGCTGTGCCATGCGGTGTTTTCAGGTCTCATCATGTTCCTGGTGCCGCTGCTACTGGGGATGCCCACCACCATTCTGGACATCCGCCGAACATTGGGCCAGGATGGCCGAGTCCGTGTTCAGTCGAGCGGCTGCTCGGATTCTGCCTGTCAGGTATCATTGACAATCATTGACTTGATGATCTGATGTGAATCATGAATAAGACAATGAACTAATTAAACATATATCTAAACATAGCTAAACCCAAGAATCGGCCATCCCCAATTGCGTTTATTGGCTCAATGAATCTTTATTAATTATATTTAATTATTGGTTTTGTCACATTAGATGTGAATCATGTATTTGTTGGCTAGCGGCTGCCAGTTGTTGGACTTGACACTTCAAGCCGAGAGAACCAAACCGGCAGCACAAGGCGGATCTTTTGCACCGCACAGATCCAACTGAGCCAAGGCAGACACTTTATCCTGCCAAGGGGGAGAGGTATCCCCGTGCAATTCGTTGGCACAGGACATACCTAGAGCAGCATATTTTCATCATGTTCATCTTTTCTTTTCATCTTTTCTTCTTGATTGCTTATGATTGCTTCCTTTTGCTCTACTGCATGGAGGGCTTGCGATGTCTTGCAGGAGTCCCACAACTTGACCACAAGGGTTTCATCTACAGGGCCTTTTGCCTCAGCTGGGTGAGACCAGTTCGTTGGTGGGACATGGGATGCATGGGGTTGCCTCATGGGAACCCCGAAATCCACTCCAAATCCATCCAAATCCCATGGTTTATCCCATGGTTTATCAGGCAATATCAGACTTGTTTTTTTTCGTAACTTCCCAATTTACAAAGGCGAAATCTGAGCCATGGCTTTGTTGTACTCGTTGGCACAAGATGAGGCCACTTTCCATACCGGACGTGAAGTGGAGCTTCTGCACCGGGACCGTGGAAGTCTGCAGCTTCTGCTGATGTTTGCACAACGGATATCCAGTACATTTGAGTAATTACCGGAGTTCTAGCGTTCCGAGCTCAACGATGTTTGACTACAGTAATGTACTTGGGCTTTTCATGGCCTTTCCACACAAACAATTCAGAACATGTAAAAAAAATCTCTTGTCGTTTCCCCTTTTTCCGCTTCCTCTCTGTGTCTCCGGACTACAAGCTGCCGCTTGCATTGGCAGCTCCGAACAGTTGCATTGCTTGGAATCCTCACCTTCAATACTCTTTGGATCTCTTAGTTCATGTTGATCCATGTTGTATATTAATGTATATTACGCATAATTATGCTGCGCATATGTGTGTAATTATGTGTCTACAAATTCTACTCCTAAGATTGGATCAAGTTTCTCCAGAGCACACGGCAAGCGTCCCTGCAAGCGTCAGGAGCTTGGCTTGAAAGGCAACTTCGTGGTGGAAGACATGGCTTCATCTTCGGGTCAGTATCAGGCTGGTTTGAAGCTGGTAGATTCTAGGCATTTTCAGGGCCTAGCAGCCTAGCATGACATTACACTCCGAAGCATTCCTATAGATTGATTTCCGGGTGGGGTACAATGTTACAACCACAGACCTTGGAACACATTTAAAACATTTCAAAACCCTGGGATACCTCCCGCTGTTACGAATGACAGGTATGGACATGTATCTGAAATGTATTGTAATATCGCACTTGACGACCTGGATCCAGCTTTGAAACTTCATGAGATGAGTGTCCTGCATTCACCTGCAGATCTCCCGGCGGCACGCTATGGCCTTCTTGGGGTTCTGTGGTGTGCCATTCCTTGTTTGGCTTTTGGGCCTCTTCGTTTTCTACATTGCCTTTATGGCATCTTGGCATATCTTGGCCATATTTCAGTCACAGACAGTCACCCAGCCAACTTCAAATCTGACAGAATATTGAGATGAGCATAGATGAGCTATCCAGACGCCGCACAAGGTCAAATCGCCTGACTTGACTAAGGCCGTTTTTTGGGCACGCTATGTGCGCCCAGACCTAGCCTGTTGCTTTCACATCGCCTGCGGATGTTTTTTAGCTTTCGCTATCCACTGGATCAGGCTGTCGGGTTGGGCGTGGATGCAGTCTGACTCGTTCATGAAAAAATGGTTCTTACTACCCTATGGCAGTCCTATCGTAAGTGTTCCTAAATGTTCGCAGCGTGCTTTTGTGCGTTGGGTATTATGCCAAACAATCTAAATGGACCCAAACTTACCATAAATTACCTATAACAGATGAGGAGAGAGAGGGAGAGAGAAAGAGACAGAGAAAGAGAAAGACAAAGAGAAAGATAAAGAGAAAGAAAAAGAGAGAGATGGAAATGGAGATAGTCTCATTGAGAGTTAAGGTCAAAAGGCAATTGCGTTTGCCCTCCGGCATTAGAAGCATTTAACATCATTTAACAAAGGTGGTCTGTCTACTCACAAGCTATGATGTTTTTGGTCACGGCGCCCTTCGTGCACTTTTTTACTCCATGCACTTTTTTCTACCTCATCCTTCTACTGTATGTTCTTTTGGTCTAGGTTGGGGTAGGGTTGGTGGTGGGGTGGGTTGGGGCAACCCACTTGATGCTAGCTCATACTACAATTTTTCTTTTGTTCTGACTCGGGGTGGCCTTTTTTGGGTGGTGGTTTGCAGCAATCACGTTCTTGATGATACTTGATGATACTTGATGCTTCGTACCATTATGTATAATTACGTATATATATATGCATACAAATTAACTGACGTTTTATGAACTCTTCTTGCACTTGCACATCTACTTGTAGCTACGATATATAACTCTTACAATTTGCTTGGTGCTACGCTACGTCATAAGAACTTCTCTTTGCACTTGCAGCAAAGTTATATACATATGTGGAAATGACCCACAGCTGGCAGCACACTTGTTTTGCGCTCGCTTGAGCCATTGGATAATGGCGAGTCTTGGCATTTGTTACACTTCTCGATTTGTGCACATGCTGAGAAAAACTGCTATGCAACATGAGGTTCCATGCCAACATGTAAAGCATTGTCAGGACATGACTGGAATGCAGATTGGTTTTCACATCCGTCTTTCTTTTTGGCATGAACCTCAATTTTGTATGTTGCACCTTCCATAACCTCCCTTAGATCATGGGTATCCATATGCTTGGTGAGACTGTCGGATAGCATCGTTTTCGTGCTGATCCAAATTGCTTGTGTTGTTCCACTCTCAGGAGGCGCATCATCGTATAGGGGATCACCAACACATTGGCCATGTTTGCGCCAAATCATCTGACGCATTCCGCTCAAATCAATCGCCAAACGCTTATCGTTGACTTCTCCAAGTCCGCGCTGCAGCAAATGATCGGAGAGAGAGCGACAATCGGTCAGTTTCAACACATTGATGTTGTCCTTGGCACGCACTTGCCAATCGGGAGATGAAGGTGGATGGTCATGCAAAAGTCCATCCAAAACACATCGCAAATGTTCTGATTCTTCATATCCCGCCAGCATAGACAACGATTCAGCTTGAAGTGTGGACCTGCAAACTCGGCGAATCACTGAGCTACGCCATTCAATGAGGGCAATTCGGCCACCATTGTTCTGCATGAAATCAGGGCCACATAGCGCTAGGATACGGCCGGATTGAGATCGGCATCCAAGCACTTCTCCAGACTGAGAAACATCATGGTCATTCGCATGGCTGGCATCGGTGATGCTGAGAATCTGAGCCTTGTTGAAATCAAACATCTTCCATCCATAGGTGAGCTTCTGATCCTTGGTGAGGACAGCTCGTCGCAACAAAGTGTTGCAATCCAAAAGGTCTTGCACAGTTGGTTTCTGAACTTTGGTCTGAAGCCGGTTGGTGTCATAGGCCAGGTCAGGTCTGCAAACACGAACAACCCAATTCAAAGAACCAAGAACACTGCGCAATTGACTCTGTTCATCTGGAGTAGCAGGACTGCTACGATTCTTCTTACGGCCAGTGGAAACTGCAATGGGTCTGGTACGTTCAAGTCCATGAGGGCAAGTGACATGGATGCCCTTTTCATCTTGGGTGATGCTGCGCCCACAAAACTTGAAACATGTGTCTTCCAGTTTCCCAAACTTCAGTTCCTGCTGAACTTGTTGCATGGCTTTCTGAGCCTTCTCGCCACCACACCAAATCAAATCATCCACGTGGCTGATTACCAGCCCATCGATACTGCCATCGTCCTTAAGCATGACATAGGCAGCATTCTCATGTGGAATACTTCGAAAGGCAAACTTCAGCATGGTCTTATGGAGAGAACGCCAAAAACCTCTAGGTGCATCCTTCGTGCCATACACAGGCTTTCTCGCAACCAAAAGTGATCCTGGCTTGACTCCAGGGATTCCATCTGCAGGAAGAGCCATGACAAGAACTCGTGCTAAACCAAGACCTTGAAGAAACGCTGCTGTTACATCTCCAGCATGCAACACAAGCTCAAAGCAGCTGGCAAAGGTGAGGATCAGGCTGAGCATCAAATGAGATGCTGTGGGAGAGTCTGTGCGGACCTCTCCATGTTGAGCAGATCGTTCAAGGTCACCTCGCACCACCAGCCTGCTTTTCAGCTGCTCGGGTTCTCCCTCTTGGGCTTTGTTGATGTCGACCCAACGTGTCGGCACCACTTGAACTCCAGGGTGTTTTGACTTGAAAGCTGCTGCCAACTCAGGCTCAATAACTTCGCAAGCATCGAAGTTCATCCAATTTCCCCATTCCTTCTCTCTGGCCACATCAATGCGCTTTTGAAGGTCTTCCGGCTCCTTCTTGTAGTTGAATTCACGAGAACCAGCCTTCTTCTTGACATAGCGCTTGGGAGTTCTCCGGGCCATGAATCCAAGCAAGGTTTCAGACTGCTGCTTCTGCTTGTCATTCTGCTTGGCAAAAAGGGTGATACGTGAGAGTGAAACATCATCTTCTGTCGCAGATGTTGGTGGTATTGGAGCATCTCTGTGTGGAGATCTGGAACGTCCACGAGACGGACGATAATGTCCATCCAGCAGATCAGGTGATCTGCGCAACGCCTGGCTCAGCTGAGTATCCACTGGATCAGCGGCAGGTTGTTGTTGATGAAAATTTGATGGCTGTGCTGGTTGTCCATCTGAAGGTTGATGCTCAAGGTCCGGCTCTTCGACCGTATCCATTCTTGACATACGCAAACCATCCAAAAGCTCATCAAAATCATCAAACACCTGATCGCTATCATCCATGGCAGGAGGAGGCAAAGTGTTAACTCCATCCTGATCAGCCATGGCAGGAGGAGGCAAAGTGTTAACTCCTTCCTGACCAGGCTCGACGGGTGGAGGCAAAGTGTTAACTCCATCCACGTCGGACATCATCATATCATGCTCTGGAACCGGAGGCAAAGTGTTAACTCCGTCCAGGCCTGGTGGAACATCAAAATTGGATGGTGGTGCTTCAGGCTCCAAATTGGGCGTGTCAATAACTGATGGTGAGGCCACTGAACTAAGATCACCGCCACGACCCATATCCAGGTAGGATCCTTGGTGGTCGTCATCATCATCTTGCTCCAGGTTGGTGAGCAAGTCATCAGAAAATGGGACATCCTCCGCATCTTCGTCCAAAAGGTGACGTTTTCTCTTGCGCGAGGGTCGCAACTCCAACATCTGTTTGGCGATGACTTCACCGCTGGTTGCAGGACGAACACATTCTTGCGAAATGACAATTGGAATCCCACCATGAACCAACCATAAATTGGAACGACCTTCCCATCCAACCATACGTGCTGGGCCGAACCATTTCCCACGCCGATTGAAGCAAAGGAGATCTCCTGGATGGTAAGGACCACGAAGTGGAGTGCTCCGTCGAAGGAGTGCAGTGCGCACTCGACGGCTGCTGTCTGCATACTCAAAGGCTTGTTTCGCAGCCTGTCTGATGCTCATCTGTTGAGCAAAGGCACTGGTACCATCCAGAACTTCTTGTTGAACTCCCAAAGCTTCTTGACCTTCTTCAGAAGTCATTGAAGTCACTTCAACAGGCATCCTTCCAAGAACCCATTGAGAAGGTGAAAATCCAGCGTGGTTGACCCGGTTGTTCTTCACAAAACATGATTCTCCAACCAACATCTTCATGACATGAGCGCCAACAATGTTGCGTGCTGCAACTGCATGTGAAATCACTTCCTTGAGCAAACCACCATGACGTTCAGCACGTCCAATATGATGTGCAGCAGCTGTTCCAGCATAGCGTATATAAACTCCTTGAGAGGACATCAAATAGGCAACTTGTCCTCGGTTGGCCACACCACGGTCAACTGTCAGGAATTTGGGAGGACCAAAGATACCAAACCATCCATCACGCAATGCTTCTGCACATCGAAGGCTGCTGGGAACACCGCCAGTTTCTGACACAATCCATGCTGCATGATACAAAGTTCCCATGCAAATCACTGACAAAACTGTAAACTTGTTGCCAAGTCCATCACGAACTTCGAAAGTATCAGCTGCCAGTTCATGGTTGAAAGAATACTGGCTGGGTGGTTTGACAACAGGACGTGGCTCTGGTCGTTGGCGAACTTGACAGGCTTCGCATCGAAAGTGTTTGAGTCGATGCAGAACTTCAGGATCTGCACGGCCAAGCCTGAGCATTCTGGCCATGGCTGACACACTTGCATGACCTGTCATCTGGTGTAGTCGCCGAACAGCAACTCTTTGAGAAAGAGGAAGCTTGAGCCACTCCCGTTTGCGGAGTTGGTCTTGCTGCGTTTGACCAGGTCCTTCTTGTTCTCGACCTTCTTCTTGTTTGATCTCCAGTTCATCACAACGTCCAACTGGTAGATGTTCAGGAACTTCATCTTTCGCATCATAAATGTGATCCAAAGCTCCCAGCGGATTCTCTTCTGCCAAAACTTCAGCTGGGAAAGCAACCTTGGTGGTGATCAAGTCCAAGTCACCACAAAGTCCATCAAGGATTGCTTGACAAAATGGTCGAGGCCACTGCTGAGCACGTCTAGTGCGTTGGCCTCCAGCAAGCTGAACATGATCATGGGTCCTGGAACACTGGACATTCATGTTGGCTTTGATTCCACGGCTTGCTGTCATGACGCCGGTGGATTTCTTGTGGGGTATTCCAGTATCCCAATCACAAAGGCCAAATTCACATTGATCGCACTTCACGGCTTCAAGTGGTTCACCAGTCAAGGCATCTTCAGGAGCATCTTGTAAAAGACGTTGAAGCACCAAGGTGTACCACATGTGTGAAGGCCAAGGCTGCTCAAAGAAAACTTGACGACCTTTTGCAAGCCGTTGGCGAATCAAGTTGGCCATCCATTTCAAAGCAGGAAACCATCGTTTCCGTTCAGCTTCAATCTTCATGTGAGTCTCTTCAGACTTGCTGGCATTCAGATCTTGCCAGGGGCACCATGGTGTGCAAACAGGCGACAAAGAAATGGCATAGGGATCATCTCTGGCAATCTGGCTGTCGATCATCTCCCGATGTTTGATGTTGCAAAGGTCAGTCCCATCAAAAGCAATGTCGATGGGTTGAGAGACAGGAAATCCAGCTTCGACAGCCATCAAGGTGAGGAGTGCCGTACCCGCAAAGATCTCAAGGATGAATGTGCGACATCCCTTGGGCAGAGTTCTGGGTTTCTTTTCAGCACTCAGCGATTGCCACAAATGAGAGTCACTCATCTTGACATCAGCCAGATCCTTGGTAATCTGCTTGCGCTGGCCCTTGGTGAAAACTCGCTTCTGGCCACTTTCATCAGATAAGGCGATGTGAGCCTCAGGGACCAGGTTGAACTCATCATCAGTGATGGCATCGTCAGCAGGTGTGCCAAGTTGCTGACTGAGAGTTGAAAGTCCATCGCCATCAGAAGCTGGGCATTCAGTTTCTCCGTTGGTGCTTGGAGAGTTGTCACCACAGTGATCGGCTGCAGAGTGGTCACCAGTAAGTCCAAGGTAACCAGGCAAAAGTCGAATTGCCAAAAGTCCATCTCTGCAGACCAAATGAAGATCACTTCCAAGAGTCTTGCTGTGCACATTGTGGTTGCCACAGTCAATGATGAAGCCCAATTGCTGCTGAGTTCCAATGTCCAAAAGAAGTGGCGCATCAGAGTCACTGAGCTCGAGCGAAGTCAAGGTGCCACGAGCAAAGTCTCCGTTGCTGAGTTCAAAGCTGATCTCAAGTTCACGTTTGCCCAAAACCAGGCGGTCGCCACCAATGCCCTTGATGCCGGGGCCATTGTTTGGTAGTAGAGGTGGAACATCAGCGCCAGTGGTTTGGCAATACCTCTCCAGCCATCGGCTACCATGGCAGGTAGCATTGCAACCCGTGTCAAGAATTGCAATCAGGTCAGTTTCTTCACCATCTTGAAGTCCATGTTGTGCCATGTAGGCAGATGCCTTGGCTGGAGGATGTCGAGATCGCATCTCCTTGAAGTAGCTGACGAGGTTCTTCAAGCCTCTACAGGAATTGTCCTTGACATTGTTGATGCACCAAGTGACATACCCTTGGTCTTCCCATGCATCACGATAGCTGTTGTGCTTGTACTTGCCAAAGTCAATCAGTCGCTGTCCCATGGCATCTAAGTCCATAGCCAATGGGCCCGTAGACGACTGTGGTCGCATTGGTGAAGGTACTGCAGATGCAGGCTGTGAAGATGGTCTGGAAGTCGTTCTGGGCGTAGTGGGATCTTCAAGTTCCTTGCCAACTGCAAAGTTGATGCTGACCTTCAACATGTCGATCAGCTCACTGGCTAACATAGTCTCTCCATGTCCACCAAGTGCTCCAAGTCGTTCACGCATCGTCACAGAAAAGCTGAAGAACTTCTTGATGTGGTCGAGCACTCGAACCGGAACTTGAACATCAGGTCCATCATATGCTGATGCAGGGACAGATCCAACTGAAGCTGAGGATCGCACAGAGCCAGGTGTGTTTGGCAGCACAGGACCTGAGGTGATGAGTCCACAGTCCTTGCAAGTTCGCTTCCAGCGATGGCCATTGCTTCCAGCCCATGTCACACTCTGATGTGGGCAAGCTTCTTGTTCAGCAGTCATCTGTGCAGCTGTGGTTGTTGCTGCAGCCGCTGCCTTGGGTGTTGCCCTCGGAGGCAGCTCTTTGCGTTCACGAAGAAGAACTGCTTCACAGTCCAAACACTTCTTGAAGGTGTAGTATGCATTGGATCCTCGAAACGTGGTGCGCTTGTGTTCACATCCAGCATGAGCTTCAGGAACTCCATCTGGTGGGTTCGCTGCTGATGACATAGATGGTGCTGATGAAACCACTTGTTCAGGTTGATCCTGAGGCTGAGACAAGGACGTTCGTCCTGGCAAAGGCGGGAGAGCTGCTCTGGGCAAAAGTTGAAGTGCTACATGTCCATGTTGCTGTTGATGCTGCAAAGCTTCAAGCATCAGAAGTCGAGCGTCTGGTGTCGCTACGCTCTCATTTCTCGCAACAAAGTCCACCATAGACTGCAGCTCATCGTCTCTAATCTCAGGAACACCAAGAGCTTCAACCAGCATGATGTTGTCCAACTCATCCTGGGTCATGTGATGTCCATCAGAAACAACGGACCATTCACCTGGAGAAGATCCGGTGGCTTGTTCTGGAGGAACTTGTCCATCAGAAAGGCATGATGGGGGCGGCACTGCATTGTACCGCATGGCCATGTAGCTCTTGCGGCTGTAGCCATCATCAGACTTGATACCAAAGTAAACAGTCTTTGGCTTCCCATCCTTGGCTCCACGTCCAGCACTGGCAGAAGACTTGGTTGGTGCTGAAGAGGAAGCCGATGAGCCAGGACCAGACTTGCCACCCTTGTTGTTCTTGGGACAAATGAAATCACCACTCCAATGTCCAACTTGTCCACACTTTCGGCATGTTGTGCGCGACTTCAAAGACTGCACACGTTGCTGTCGCTCTGAAAGAGAGAGCTGGCCTTGGACATCAAAATGTCTCGACGATGGAGGTGTCGAAGACTTGCCACTGCCCTTGCCCTTGGAACCTTTGAAGCCCTTCTTGAAGGCCCGATGGCGAGCAAAGAAAGCTTCTCGCTCAGTTTGGATGATCTCGGCCGCATACTCAAGAGCTTCTTCATCGTCCACGTCAAGCCCTTGAGAGGCCAGATGAGCAAACAGCTCACCATCATCAAACTCTGCATCGTCAGGCGTCTCTGTCATGTCATATGCAGAAACCTCATACTCGCTGCTGTCATACTCAGCCTGGTACGCATTCGGTGTCTCAAAGACATCATCAGCCTCCCATGCAACATTCTGGGATTCCTCGGCCATGAAACCAGAGTAACCTGAGCGGTTTCGATCAAAGAAGCCACGGTGCTTGCCTTTGCCACCATGACCATGACGCCGCTCACGTTCGTGAACATGTCCATGTTGTGCAACAAGTTCATCACAGACAGCATCAACCGTCATCACACCAGCCAAGGTTGATCTCACCAGAAGTTGATGGTTTTCGCTGATACCTGAGTTCAGCAAAATTTGCTCGGCCAAGATGAGCTCGGGAAGCTTGAGTTGGTCGTCCAAACCTGTCATTGCCAAGTACCATGAACGTCTCCTGACTATGTACGTGGACATGGCTTCACCTGACTGGCGTGACAGAATGCCACCTTCCTTGGCTCCAGCTTGGTACAACTCCCTAGCTTCCTGGGTTCTCTTGGGTTTCAAGGCAGACTGCAACTTCGCTAGTAAGTTTTCTGGACCCGTGGGGGATGAAAGTTCTTTGGTTTCCATCTGCTGGGCAACTCTCAACGCAGCAGCTGACAACCCTTCAACGAGCCTCAACCCCAGAGGTCCTAACTTCTTCTTCTCCATCTCATCGATCATCTCCTCTTTGGCGATCTTGGCACGGACACGCCAGGCATATTCAGAGAATCTCGAGGCCTCTCCGCTGAAGCGTGGGACACCATTCTTACCTTCAGTGGAGTTCATGTTTTCATCTTCCTTGATGAAGTTCGCATACCTAAAGGTCTCCAGCAGTGAGCTCATGGCTGAACTACCGCCGAAGCAACGAAAAAGGACCGAAGTCGGTTGGGCAAAGGCTGCCCTGGAACAACGAATGCTCCAGCTACCAGTGTGGAAATGACCCACAGCTGGCAGCACACTTGTTTTGCGCTCGCTTGAGCCATTGGATAATGGCGAGTCTTGGCATTTGTTACACTTCTCGATTTGTGCACATGCTGAGAAAAACTGCTATGCAACATGAGGTTCCATGCCAACATGTAAAGCATTGTCAGGACATGACTGGAATGCAGATTGGTTTTCACACATATTTTTTTATTTATCATAATTTGCTTGATGCTACGTCATAAGAATTTCTCTTGTGCTTGTAGCCATGTCATATTATTTACTCGATGCTACGTTGTTTGAGAAGTTAGCAGATGCAATGTTTGAAACGCCGAGGCGAGGTTTAAAAAAAGGTCCGAAATGCGGCCAGGGTTGTCGAAAACCATCGAAAACCAATTCCTTCGGAGACCCTTAAAGGGAATTTTGAAGTTTTGATGATGTCAAGTTCCGAAGAAATCACTAAAACCGACCATAAAAAACGACATGAAGGTACATGAAAACCATTCAAAAACACACGGCCTCCATGAGTAGTGTCGTCACCATGTTCCAGATGGCGAGCCATCACGCATACCCGCATTCTGAAAGATGTGCAAGTGTTCGACCGCCTGCTTCGACGAGTCTTGATGCATTGAGACTTTTGGATACTTTTGCGGCCTCCCATGCATCTCCTGCAGATTTGTGCACATTGCAGACCAGACATCGCTTGTGACTCTCGCATGTTTTGAATATCTGAGGAGAGCATCCGAAGCCAATCACGTGCGAAAAGGGGCCATCACGAGCAATAGAAGCCCATCAGCTTCACACCTTCCTGGACTTCTTTCAAAACTACATAGGCACCGTGTGGCACTGTCAAAAAACTTGGCACACTGAAATGTTGGCTGCGAAAATGACAGTGAATGATCCAAAGCAGATCCCATTCTGAGAATCAAAGTTTCCAGGCCAGCTTTCCTGTCAAAATAAGCCTTCTTGATCGATAGCGAATTGCTGGATGGGAGTTGCAAGCAGGGATTGTCTACATCCACTGGCCTGTGTCATCGTTTGTGTCTGGTTTACAGGTAGTCGAACCACATATTATGCCACAGGGCTGCAGTATCATGTGTAGCGCTTTCTAAGCCGTCACTGTGTAAGGCATGATGCTAAGGAGAGAACGCTCTCCGGGCAGTGGTAAATTTGGTAAATCGGTAAATTGGTAAATTTTCGTCGCTCTCCGGGCAATGGTAAATTTGGTAAATCGGTAAATTGGTAAATTTCGCCGCTCTCCGGACAATGGTAAATTTGGTAAATCGGTAAATTGGTAAATTTCGCCGCTCTCCGGGCAATGGTAAATTTGGCAAATCGGTAAATTGGTAAATTTCGCCGCTCTCCGGACAATGGTAAATTTGGTAAATCGGTAAATTGGTAAATTTCGCCGCTCTCCGGGCAATGGTAAATTTGGCAAATCGGTAAATTGGTAAATTTTCGCCGCTCTCCGGGCAATGGTAAATTTGGTAAATCGGTAAATTGGTAAATTTCGCCGCTCTCCGGACAATGGTAAATTTGGTAAATCGGTAAATTGGTAAATTTCGCCGCTCTCCGGGCAATGGTAAATTTGGCAAATCGGTAAATTGGTAAATTTCGCCGCTCTTCGGGCCATGGTAAATTTGGTAAATCGGTAAATTGGTAAATTTCGCCGCTCTTCGGGCCATGGTAAATTTGGTAAATCGGTAAATTGGTAAATTTCGCCGCTCTTCGGGCCATGGTAAATTTGGCAAATCGGTAAATTGGTAAATTTCGCCGCTCTTCGGGCCATGGTAAATTGGGTAAATCGGTAAAATGGTAAATTTCGATACGTCCGGACGAGGTAAATTCGGTAAATTCGGTAAATCGGTAAAATGCTACAACTTTACGAATTTACCGTTTTACGGTTTTACCGCCTCTGGCTCCACAACTTTACGAATTTACCGTTTTACGGTTTTACCGGTAAATCGGTAAATCGGTAAAATGCTGCGACTTTACGAATTTACCGTTTTACGGTTTTACCGCCTCTGGCTCCACAACTTTACGAATTTACCGTTTTACGGTTTTACCGCCTCTGGGTCCACGACTTTAATTTACCGCCATCTGGCCAGATGAGAGATGAAAAATTGCACGCCGTTGTGGCGCGAAGCACATTTCGAAGTCAAAATGTACAAAACACAGATAGATAGATAGATAGATAGAAAGATAGACAGACAGCTAGATAGATAGATAGATAGATAGATAGATCGATGGATAGATAGATAGATAGAAAGAAAGATAGATAGATAGATAGGTCGTTAGATAGGTAGATAGATCGATAGATAGATAGATAGACAGATGGATAGATGGATACATAGATAGACAGATGGATAGACAGATAGACAGATAGATAGATGGATAGACAACTAGATAGATAGATAGATAGATAGATAGATAGATAGATAGATAGATGATTGATAGATAGATAGATAGATAGATAGGTCGATAGATAGATAGAATAGATGGATAGATGGATAGATGGATACATAGATAGACAGATGGATAGATAGACAGACAGATAGGTCGATAGATAGACAGAAAGATAGATAGATAGGAAGAAAGAGAGATAGATAGGTAGATGGATAGATGCACAGTTAGATAGACAGATGAGATAGATAGATAGTTAGATAGATAAATGGATAGATAGATAGATAGATAGATAGATAGATAGATAGATAGACAAACAGATAGTTAAATAGAAAGATTGACAGACAGAGGGACAGACAGAGAGAGAGAGAGAGAGAGAGAGGGAGAGAGAGAGAGAGAGAGAGAGAGAGATAGAGAGAGAGAGAGAGGGAGAGAGAGAGATCGATCGATCGATCGATAGATAGATGGATAGATAGATAGATAGACAGACAGGCAGAAAGACAGACAGATAGTTGGATAGACAGATAGACAGCTAGATAGATAGATAGAAAGATAGATAAATAGATAGATAGATAGATAGATAGATAGAATAGATAGAATGGATAGATAGAATGGATAGATAGAATGGATAGATGGAATAGATAGATAGACTAGATGGACAGATGGACAGATGGACAGATGGACAGATGGACAGATGGACAGATGGACAGATGGACAGATGGACAGATGGACAGATGGACAGATGGACAGATGGATAGATGGATAGATGGATAGATGGATAGATGGATAGATGGATAGATGGATAGATAGATAGATAGATAGATGGTTAGATAGATAGATAGATAGAATAGAATAGAATAGAATAGAATACAATAGAATAGAATAGAATAGAATAGGAATAGAATAGCATAGAAAGAATGGATAGATAGACTAGATGGATAGATGGATAGATGGATAGAATAGATGGATCGATGGATACATAGATAGACAGATGGATAGATAGACAGACAGATGGATGGATAGGCAGCTAGATAGATAGATAGATAGACAGATAGATAGATAGATAGATCGACAGATAGATAGATACATAGATAGGTAAATATGTAGAGATGTAGATATTTAGATTTGTAGATAGGTAGATAGCTAGATACACACAGTTCGATAGACAGATAGATGGATAGATAGATAGATAGATAGATAGAATAGAAAGAGTAGATAGAATAGATAGAATAGATAGAATAGATAGAATAGATAGAATAGATAGAATAGATAGAATAGATAGATGGATAGATGGATAGATGGATAGATGGATAGATGGATAGATGGATAGATGGATAGATAGATAGATAGACAGATGGATAGATAGATAGTTAGATAGACAGATGAGAGAGAGATAGATGGATTGGTAGATAGATAGATGGATTGGCGTTGCAGACTACTGAGAACAGATGTGCTGCACAAAACATGCGGCTGCAGCCATGTTGTGCAACCAAAAATGCACTTATCCCCTTAGCACACCAAATTTACCAATTTACGGTTTTACCGGTTTACGGTAAATTTTGTTTACGGTAAATTTTGGAAATTTACGGTTTTACCGTTTTACGGTAAATTTTGTTTACGGTAAATTTTGGAAATTTACCAAATTTACCGTTTTACGGGCGTTTCCCGGGAACAATGGAATTTACCGTTTTACGGTTTTACCGTTTTACGGCGCGCCTTGGCCAAAGACGTGCCTTAGACCCGCGCCTTACACACAGACACCACAGCAAGCACTTTGATGCATTTTGCAGCATTGTAGCACTTGCTCTGATGTTCCTGGTAAGTTATCTGATTGCCAAGTCACGCCATGGCTTTCCATCCAGCTCTTTGCTGATGCTGAGGTTGTGCACAATATCATCCTGCCCCTTACGGAGCCCTACAAACTCTCCTATGCGGAGGCAGAGCTTGTTTTTTGATGCGCAGATGTGGCATCTGACATGTGTGGGAACCTGACCCAGCCGATGCATCCAGGGTTTCACATGGTTTTGCATGGTTTTACATGGTTTTACTATATTTTGGTGACATTGGAAGGAACTGCCCGGTGGATTGTCAGTGGGTTTCAGGTGGCGGGGCCATCTCAGTCCCAATCCAGATGGTTCGTGAGCCATTACTGGGGCACCCCCCTTGCCCACTTGGTCGCCAGTGTTGCTTGGACATGTCAGAATGACTTGGCGCCAGCCCAAAGACAATCTGGATAGGGGATGGTGGGTATGTCAGGCCTAGCGGGAAGAATTGGTACTGTGCAGATCTGTGCAGAGGGAGTTCGAAGAAGTGAGCAATTGTTTCTACGTTGTTTGTTAATTTGGGAGTTTGTAAAAACCCCGCGCCTATTCGTTTAGTCTTCCATGATCCCCCATGAGCCATTTTTAGCTTTCACTCGAAAAAACGACAAGAGGAAAAAGAAACGATAACGTTGAACGTTGGTTCTGTTAATGATCTGTGCCCAGACTCTTGAAATCCAATGTTTTTTATTTGTCCGTCGTTCTGCAGCTATTTATATAGTGGTTTTGGTTTCTTCATTTCATTGTTTGTTGTCGTAATGGCGCGCCAACGAATGCGTGTCAGATTCTGCACAAGGAAGGTGCCTGGTAGGTGGTCGCTACACTCCTTTTTTGATGATAGCAGCCATTTCCAGAAAGAAGGAACGTACACAGGATTCACGAACGATAACAAAACAATAACGAAAACGATAACTTTTGGCATCAAAAATGGTCCGTGTGAGACACGGCCCTTTTTTTTCCTTGTCCTCTCCCTTTCCTCTCCCTTTTCCTTTCCCTTCCTTTTCCTTCTCCTTTCCTTTTTCCTTTCCCTTCCTTTTCCTTCTCCTTTCCTTTTTCCTTTCCTTTTTCTTTCCTTTTTCTTTTCCTTCTCCTTTCCTTTTTCCTTTCCCTTCCTTTTCCTTCTCCTTTCCTTTTTCCTTTCCTTTTTCTTTCCTTTTTCTTTTCCTTCTCCTTTCCTTTGTCCTTTCCTTTTTCTTTCCTTTTTCTTTTCCTATTCCTTTTCTTTTCCTTTCGTTTTCTTTTCCTCTTTCTTTTTCCTCTCCCTTTCCTATTCTTTCTTTTCCCTTCCTTTACTCTTCCTTTTCCTTTTCCCTTTCCGCTCATGTGAATCCTTTGGTCAAGGTGTGAAGCCAGCGCTTGGAAAAACGATAAGAAGAAAACAACGATAACGTGTGAAAAAACCATTTGAAAAGGCTCGGGGTTTTTACAAGACCCCACTTGTTATGTGTTGATGTTGAGGATCCAGGTTTCAACATCCTTCTCTTCGATTTTGTTTTTCCTGCAGAGGTTCTGGAGATTTTATGGGATGTATGATTTTGGGTTTTCACTTTCACTTGGGCTTTTGTTGTTGGTTTGGGGTTTGATTTGTTGTAAATGTGGGCATCATTGCAGACTTTGGAAGTGATAGTGAAACTGAGAATGAAGACTGGGAGGGGAAGCAACAGAAAAAATGGATAAAGAATGAATGATATTAAAGATGATAACGAGATTAGAGATTTTGTGAAGGGTCATTGCATGCCTTCACCAGATGATGAGAAAGGAGACAAGTTTCGGAAGAGAGATGAAGAAAGCCAATGATAGCTCAAAACATCAGGAAGAGGTCCAGTTTTCGTTCGTGAGGTTTGACAATGGCGAAAAGGATGTCATGTATGAAAACCTTGCGGCTAACGGGATCACGGTTGGTGGTGGTCAAGGTGGTAAAGACAATGCTGTATCTGTATATACATGTATATACAATATATGACAATATACTGTATACTTTATATTATACCGTGAAGAAAATGAACTCGTCTGCCCATGGCAATGGATGAACTCAACGATACGCGTAAACCTTGCTTCGCAAAAATATAGTTTTTGAACACTCGGTGGGATGGAATATGATGGAATAGAAGGCTGGAGGGAGCATGATTTGTCACTTCATCATATCTAATCATGTATCCTTAACAGCATATCTTTGATATATTCTGACTTTCACATCTGCACCCAAAACGCAACAGCAACAACGCTTGCTCACGTCATTCAACAGAAGCAAGCGGAGTGAACGTTAACATCAAAAAACACAAGAACACAAACTTGAAACACATAAACTAAGGAAGAACCATTGAACATAAACAACAGCAATCACACGTCACATAAGCAAATCAGCAAATCATAACAAGCAACATGCCAAGACATGCTCCCCAGAATCCCCTTTGATATACCATGTTTTGTGTTGTGGTCACTTAGCCTTGGAGGCAGCCTTCGGGATGGACATGGCACATGCGGCTGAGGTTGAAAGACATGCCCAAGACTTTCCAGAGAAGCATCCTTACTGGAATCCTGGTCAATCAATGTCAATCATTGCATTCCTTTCACTTCGTCATTTTGTTTCCATATTTTGAGGATGTTGCGTGAGGAGTGCTGCTTCCAAGCTCCCAAGGATTTGCACGTTCAGCAACAATCAATGGGCTGTCTCGGAGGACTGGCTTCTGGCAGCATGTTGATTTCTGGCGGGGCAGACTATCGGTAGTACATGGGTAGCATATCAACATATATCAACAGTCAACTTGAAATCATGGGAATATTGGGAATCATAGAAATCGTTCTTGGATCGGGCCTTGATGGGCCTTGCTGGTGTGCACCAAACAGGAGCTGGGTGAAACGTACCATGAGTCGTCCTTTTACCAAGCACTCCGGAGCTGTGGAACCTTGGGCACCGTTATGGTGTCCCTTGGCTTAGGGATGCTTAGGGGATCCAGAGATGATTTTAGCCTTTCTGGGCAGGACAAAAAGGATATGGGATGAACCGCGATGAACCCCACTCCCATCACCATCATCACCTCATTCTCTTGGGGGCGCCTGCAGCCCTCAAGATTGGGTCAGTCGCTTGAAGACTGACTGCATGGAGTCTCCTTCAGTATTCAGGCACCACAAATCCGGGAACGCAACGTATTCTCTAAGATCACAGCATTGGGGTCCCCGGAAAGATAGAGCCGGAGAGTAAATATACGGAGGCTATAATAACAGTCATTCCATATCGCTGGACTCTTAGAGATGGCGATGGAGAGAGAGTCATTTCATATGCTGATGACAATTATGTTCACATATCATTGTATTATATTGTATTCGTATATGAATTATATGTGACAATTATAGACAATTATGAGATATGCCTGCATATGTATTTGTACACATGTTTTGTAAATATATACATACACATTATATATATATAGTGTGTGTATAGCTTATTTCTGTGCATATGTGCAGCACCACTCCCAGAACCTATGCTTTCAGGGATGTTTCTAATGTGTATGTATATATATATATATGCACAAGCATATAAATATGTATATGTATAATTATGAGTCAGTAGTCCAAGTCACTACTATTTTGAATACCTGCGCTATCTAGGAGGGGACGCCTAGGTTTGATGAAGAGGCGATGCCTCTAACGCGATCTTGGTGCCTCTTCGAGCTCCTCCAAACGGTTCTGCTTCAGGCCATGCTGTAACATGTGGGAAACTCAGCAGTAACCCCCTACAAAAATGCAACATATGAAATCATATGCATCGGTCTAAAGCACCCCTAATATCGGAATTTCATGGAAATTCTATTTGGGCTCTTATCACATTGCTCATACTGGAAACCAAGTATATGCCGCATTGGCTTAGGACATAGGACTTGAAGAAATGCTAAGAATACTTGCGCCCAGCAGTTGTGACGTGCTTTACTTGCTTCATATTTCCTCGCTTGATTCGAGCAGAAAGATTGGACTTGAGCGCCAGAGGACATTAGCCACGACTTCAAGGGGCTCATGCTGCTTGCACTGCTTGAGTACATTTGTGGATTTTGTGGTTGTAGAATGTTGTAGATCAATTTAAAGTCCGGCTAGCTGGTAGCGTGCCAGCTAGATTGCAGAGAAGGTGCTTTTCCCTGAGGGATTTGTTAATTTGTTTCAGCTCAAGGCTATGCTCCCCGTCTCTTGGCGAAAACGTATGTCGCGAATGGGGAGGGGCATTTGGAATTCAGTATCTGAACCCCATTGGGCTTGTGGTACTGGTTACCTTGAGCTGGCGGCTGTTAGCTGTTTCTTAGAATGCTAGGGCCAAGGGTATCTAGAAACTTCTACCATCTCCTGTTTCGCACCAGGCTCGGCATCATGAACACAGGGTTGCTCAGCTGCAAGTGCTGTGGATGTCTGTGGCCAGGATCATGACATATCATGACATACCATGGCAACCTTGGCAATTGAACCCTTGTGCTGTTTTGAGGAAAGGAAGCTTGGACCTCGCCATGAATGTCAGCAAGAAGCTGGCCGTGCTGGATTTGGAGGCCTGCTGGATCCTGAAAGATCTAAAAGCGAGCCTTCCAAACCCTTTAATGGGATATACATACTGATATATATATATATCTGTGTGTGTGTGTGGGTGTGAGTATATATATATATTTACATGCATGCGTGCATGCATGCATACTTACTATTACATTACAACACACTACATAACATAACATAACATAATACGTGTTTTTGTACATGAATCATATCTTTGTATTTGGTAGCCCCGCTCATTGGATTTATGGTTTCAGTGGCGTGCCTCTTGGGTTTTGCCCGTGTCGTTTTCCCGTTCAACTCAGGCAGCGCAAGCCAGCATGCAAAGCGACAAGGACATGATTGACAGCCTTGTCAGACAGGAGGTGCGTATGGTGCTGTTATATAAACTGAAATTTGCAGAGGCCATGGCAGGACACACATGGACACAGGGTTGATTCTGCATCAACCCCTTGCTGAAAGTTCCCGGCGACAGGCTGCAAAATCATGTGAATATCTTTGGCTGAAAACGAACAATCTCCCAGACGTTTTTTTTCTGCAGGGGGGCTTTGAGCAGATCAATGAGTTCTTGGCTGATTCCATCAATGAAGTGCCTGCCTCACCTTCTAGCCATGTGCCACTACCAGTGACTACCAACAACTTTGAGACTCCACATCTTTTGATCTCCTGATTGCTTCATCTTCCTTCATGTTGCTTCATTTGGCCATCCTGGAGGTGTTGAACAAACTCCGTGAGCAATTCACTCGAAACATTTCAAGCTTGGAGAGCGAGGTGGCGGCTTGGCTGCAGACCAGTGGGCTTCGGCAGAGCCAGATCTCCTTGCAAAACAGTGCAAAACTTATATGCCAAGCACTGGCCATGCTGAGACTTCAGGCAAGGAAGAAGATGAGAACAAGAAGCGAGCGTATTCGACGTTTGAAGGGAAGTCAGGCCACAGCATGGTCGACTGTAGGACCATTAGATCCGTTATGACAGACCCACCCCACCCCATGCCCGACATCTTCAAAAATGGAAAGTTGTGGTTTTTGAGAGGAAGGGTCCGACAAGATTCCATTTTGTGATGCTGCGCCGAAGGCTGTTGGAGGACTGGCAAACTCCAGAGCTTACACCGAACCTTTGGACCAGGACCAGGCTTGTTTTGAGTGCATCAATCAAGAGTGACGAGTGAACAATAGTCGTGAGCGTCCTGCTTAAATTCAGTCATATGTGAAGTAGACTTGAAGCAGGCAGCATGGAGCAGCAAAAGAGTGGCACAAAATGGCACAAGCGAAAGCGTGCCGGCAGTGCCCTGCAGGATTTTTCAAGTCCGGCGTCCGGAGCATCATCGAGCCGGGTACTGGCAGCTCCCTTCCACTTACCACAGCTGCCATGCCCACCAGCTCGAGACTTATTGCGCTGATTGTCGGTTTTGGGGAACGTAGCGGAAAAAACCAGTCCAGGCCAAGCGAGGAGCCTACTTGCAGATGATGCCTGAAATACAGGACAGGGTTTTTGCCAAGCAATGCAGTCAGAGTGTGTAACCCCGCCCACACGCTCAATTTAGGTACAGATGATTACAGATGCACAATTAATTACACTTTTGCCCCCCTTTCTTTGCAGCCATACATTGATACATTATGAGAGTATGTTATGTTGGTATACTGGTGAACCACGGTGAACCCCTTGAGTCACACTCCCTCTTGGCCAGGGGCAGCAAGGTGCACGCAATGCAGGTGCTCCTAAGTGCGTCTGCCCGTATCTCAGCCTTTGCGCCTGAAACGGAAAATTAGCAGAAATCACGAAAGATGAGGCTGCTGTTGCTGCCGAGGATGAGGGGTGAAGAGTGCGGGATGGTGCTGGTGCTGGTGCTGGTGCTTGTGCTGGTGCTGGTGCTGGTGCTTGTGCTGGTGCTGGTGGTGCTGCTGCTGCTGCTGCTGCTGCTGCCGTTACTGGTGGTGCTTGACGATGACGTACAGTGGCTGACGACATGATGACAGTGAAGACAATGATGCGACATGACGGCCGTGATCAGCATGATCAATGATCAGACGTAAATCGGCACACAAGATGACGACAAGAGCACGGGTGGACACATTTCAAGCCCTTGCAACTTGGACTGGAGCTCAGGCCTTCCTCAGTTTGCTCAACCAGGCTATGCACCCCTAGCACTTCATCCGCGGCGACTCGTCGCGAAATCAGTCTTCTTCGGTGCCGTCATATTGGGGTGCAAGTGGGCATTCGGCCTCCAAGGCCTCCCACTTGCTCTTGGATTGAAATGTTAAGGGAGGGCTATGTTTATTTTTTTTCGCGGCAGGTTTTGGATTTTTTTTGGGGGGTTCCTGGTTCTATGCTTTCCTGCTTCTTTGCTTTTCTGTTTTTCTGCTTTTCCTACTTCTCTGCTTGTCTACTTCTCTGCTTTTCTGCTTCTCTGCTTTTCTTCTTTTCTGCTTTTGTGCTTCTGTGCCTTTCTACGTCTACTATTCTACTTTTTCTTTTCTTCAGTCATGTGTTTTGCTGCTCTACTTCCTGCTCCTCTGCTTCTCTGCTTCCTGTCTTTACTGCCTCTTTGTTTTTTTTCTTTTCTTTTGCTTTATTGTCGCCTGTTTGTATCCTAAATGAAACCCTAAAGACCCTAGGTGAAACCCAAAGAAACCCTAAAGAAATCCTGATAAGAACTGACAAGAAACTCCTATATACATGAAACCCTAAATGACACCTAAAGAAACCATAAATGAATCCCTAAAGAATCTTTGAATGACACCCTAAATGGCACCCTAAAGAAACCCTAAACCACACTCTAAAAAACCCTAACCCTGAAGAACCAGCAAACGAAACCCTAAATGCAACCCTAAAGAAACCCTAAATGAAACCCTAAAGAAACCCTAAATGAAACCCTAAATGAAACCCTAAAAAAACCCTAAACAAACCCTAAAGAAACCCTAAATCAAACCCTAAAGAAACCCTAAATGAAACCCTTAATGAAACCCTAAAGAAACCCTAAATGAAACACTAAATGAAACCCGAGAGAAACCTTAAACAAACCCAAAATGAAACCCTAAATGAAACCCTAAAGAAGCCCTAAATGAAACCTATATGAAACCCTAACTGAAACCCTAAAGAAGCCCTAAAGAAGCCCTAAAGAAGCCCTAAAGAAACCCACATGAACGTTTGAAAATCCTGAGAAGAAATCCTGATCAGAAACCCTACATGAAACCCTAAATGAAACTCCCAAAAAACCCTAAATCAAACGCTACATGAAACCCTACAGAAACCCTAAAGAAACCCTAAAGAATCCCGAAATGAAACCCTAAAGAAACCCGAAAGAAACCCACATGAACGTTTGGAAATCCTGATAAGAAATCCTGATAAGAAACCCTACATGAAACACTAAAGAAACCCTTAATGAAATCCTAAATGAAACCCTAAATGAAACCCTAATGAAACCCTAAATGAAACCCTAAATGAAACTCGAAAGACACCCTAAACCTAAAGAAACCTTAAATGAAAGCCTAAATGAACCGCCAAAGAAATCCTAAAGAAACCCTACATGGAACCCTAAATGAAACCCTAAATGAAAGCCTAAAGAAACTCTCAAGAAACCCACATGAACGTTTGAAGTACCAAAATGTAGCAAATACCACGCAAATGAGAGGTTGAAGTGCCAAAACATGGCAAACACCATGCAAAATGGAAGGCGAACATGGCCAAATGTAGCAAATGCCATGCACAGTGCAAAGTAACCATGCCAAAATGTAGCAAATACCATGCAAAATGACAGATTCTAGTTCCAAACTGTTGCAAATACAAGGCAAATGGTACCAGGAAAGACAAAAAATCAACACCTGAGCCCAAAAAAAAACTGAACCCAATGTAAAGGCTGTCAAGGGTTGCATCTACTTCAGTGGTGGTCAGGGACAGAAAGATAAGAAACACTGGAATGCTGCATCCTAAGTCGTCAAGTCTAAACTTGACTTTATCTTCACAAGATACCCTGCTTTTGCATATGTTGCTGTTGGCGCTCACTATTTACTACTTGCTTTTCTGTTTTTTGGGTTTATATAGATTTCACGGGAATTTTGTAGTAGATAGCTTGTTGGGGCACCATAAGCCAGGTCGGATGTGCATTACAAGGCCATACTAGACCAAATTCCTGTTCGAACATCCCAAACCTGTTGCAGTCACACTCTGACCAAGGCTACTCCTCTTACATCCGCTAACATTGTATTTGGTAGATGGTTTAGAGACTATGTAGAGTCTAGATGCTAGATCCGTCCTTGTCCTGCATGGTATTGTTTTCATGTCCACTGTTCAACTAAGCACATTCCAGCATGTTATAGGAAGAAAGGTCTGGTAAGGAATGCAGTTTGGGGGCCACATTTGGTGTTTGGACTTTGTCAAACATGAGACACGACCGCCGATTTCAACCTGAATTTCTTTGAGTTCAGACATTTCTATTGAATCCAAGGCAAGCCTTTGGTACCGCACCTCCGCTGTTTGCGGGTCACAAAACAGTGCGCAGTTCTCTGCACGTATTCTGCACTGACCAGCTGTTCAATCAGTGTGGCCCTTCAACAGTGTCAACGCTCCATTTGCTTTGGGAGGAGGGGTGCAGCTTACGTCGACTGTTTGCAATCAGTCGATGAGGCCTCTCTTGCCTCGTCTTGCCTACTAACTGCTCAACCTGTGGACGATTCCTGGTTGTCACCCACCATGCCATGCCATCAGAACCTTGTAATGGGTAGTTGCACAAAGTAGGATGAGATAACGGGTGTTCTGTCTACAAGTGTTTTAGAGCGACTCCCTTCCCAGGGAACTTCTGCAACGTGCCAACGATTCATATGCCTTCTGGATCCCTCTGGCTTTGTCCCTGCTCTGGTTTCCCCTTGGTATCCTTGGTCCGGCACGGAGGCAGCCAATGCTTCATTCATGCTGAGTTACACCTGGGGCTACAAGAAACTCGGTGGAAGGTGGAGGGACACCGAGGCAACATGAGGCAACCAGGTTGCTGCGACATGTCAAGGTGATCCAACAGATACTGCAGCAGATCATGTTTCGGAATCATCTTGGTGCATCAGGGACAAACTCCTGCAAGCAGTCAACAGAGTAGCAATCAATCTGTGCAGAGGATGGGAGACATCACGGACACTCTGCTGCAATACTGCAAGGACTACAGCACAGATCCCAAACGAACGCAGCCTGATTGCAGCTGGTTGCAAGTTATCGCCACATCACCTTCTGATGCACCCGATGCTTTCTTTTGCGGCGTTGGCTGCAATGCCAAGGTATGCCTGGATGTGCTGCTTTTGCATCAATCAGAACAGGATGGGAGCTGACGATTCCATGCATTTTCAGCTTGAGAATACATTGGATGGTCATCCATCAGTAGACAAGTTCATCAACCAGAAATGCTGTTCTATTCCAGCATGGGGCCATGACACAGTATAAGAATGTGCAAGACAATGGTTAGTTCATGTAACATATGTAACTGTATATATAATATAATATCACACCACGTATAGAGTATCGAAGGCCAGGCAGGCCCCGTACTGATTGGCTGTTGCAGTCATTCAAAGATGCGTTCGCTTTGTTAGGTCGAGCGGATGAGTTTGACTCTAACGTCTTGGAGCATATCCAATTCATAGTACATAGTGCTAATGCCAGACAAGGCGTATTTGCATAAATGCTTGCTTCCTTGCAGGTTCCGGTTCGATCACCGAATGCCGTCAACGAATGTCTTCACCGAATGTCATCACCGAATGTCGTCACCAATTGCACTCACATACCATGAAAGATAGGTCAAAAACTCTGATGGTGACTCGTTTCAACCATCGAATATACAGTTCTTGTCCTTTGACTGATTCTTTATTATTCTTTATTTGCACTGTAAATTACCTACTATTTTTATCCACACCCGTCTTCTATACTACCTGCGGCTCATTGTCACGAGGAAGGCTAGCCCGTAGTTAGCTCTGCTGTTCTTCCAATTCGTTCTCCTGAGCCTTCTCTTTGAACTGGTTGTTTTTGAACACTGATACAGGCTTAGGTTCGGCGCACAGACTTTTTTGTGAGTCTGCACTTGGGAAAAAATATATATGTAGTAGATTATGATTGTGCAGCATGCACAATCTCAATCAGAATTTCAGTTGTAACATGGTAGAGTCACCTATACAGTTGCACATAGATAACATGTGATAACATATCCTGTACATATCTAATGTATATATGTCACGTCTATAATGTGAGTGTATGTATACACGAGCACACGCACACAGTTATACATGCATATTTATGCATATTTATGCAATTTTATGCATACTTATACATATTACACATATATTTACACATTTGCACATAATTATTTATACATGTACGGGGGCACATTGACATCGTCGCGTGGCCATAATATTGCTAATATATGTACACACACGCGCTCACACACACACACACATATATATATATACATATGCACAGGACGGTACGTTCGCCGTCGGTTGAAAGGTTATCAGGTCCATGAAAGTGCATGAAATCAATGTCCAGTGCAAACTCAAGCGTTCAAGGTTTTTTTCACTCACGCGTTGTGCAACCAGTATTGCATGTCTGGTTTAAAACATTCCCGAGGTGCCAGGTTCAGCAATCCACGGGTGAGGTCTTGGTTACAACGTAGCATCAGAAGCGTCTGAGAATTCTCGAAAGAAAGTTTGCAACCGATTGAATGTTATTGCCCCACCCCACCCCACCCCACCCCTAAACGACAAGACGTCAGTCACGTAGCATCGTCAAAGAACGAAAGCGCGCAAAAATCAACCCCACCCAATTCTGGGCAAAAATGCGCCTACGTCCATTTCGTCCCACAAAACAGAGGTAAATTGACCATGTTACTACTTGTTTGCCGACGGCGAACCCCCCGGCCTGCAGGTATATAATGGTATATATATATACACACATACACACACGCAGACTGGTCGGAAAGTTGCCCTCCTTTGCTTGAAACTTCATCCCCTTGCAGGGTGAAGGAGACAGAGGCCGCTGGAGAAACCGTTCCATTCGAAGACTTCGAGCGACCTGGCATGGCAACAGCTAATGACAGCCATACTGTACTGAGCATTTGACTTCCCAATGTTTACTCAGTGTAGTTGCAATCAGCGAGGCACCAGGGTTTGTTGGGTTTTGACAGTGCAAAGCAGTGCTCTTGTATGATCCATCATTCCTCACAAGAAAGGTCTGGCATTTCAACGCACGCGTTTGAGCCCAGGAAAGCCTTCGGTGACCGAGTGGCCGGCATTGGAAAGTGGAGACCTTATGCGGGATACTGCTTGGAGGGCGCCCACCAAGAGAAATAATCAATAATTATGAAACATTTTTATTCAATAAATCAATCAATATCAAGCATTAATAAACATGATGTGAATCTGAATCACATGTTTTCACCTATTTTTTTCTTGTTTTTTTGGAGGTTGCACTTAATTGCATCATTATTTGCCAAGGATTGTTGCGATGATGGCACCCTGGAAAGATCCATTCTACATCAAACGAGCGCAAGCCTCGAACCAGCACCAGCTGAAAACGGTGTGTGTTTAAACGGTGCGGATATACATGTATACCCTACATATGCACAAAAATTGTCCTCTGCTGTGCGTGTGTAAATAACCATAAACCATGATCTTCGCAGATTGAAGCACGTGATTTGTGAAGCTTTCCTGTTGTTTCCTGTTTTCTGGGCAGGTGTGGTGCGATTTCGAGATGTACACTGCTACGGACCTGAAACAGGACACTTTGCTCAGAATTTGGATGTAAGTCGGGAATGCTTGGAGAATCAGCTACTGACACCTTCCCCATGATGGGCCGGCAGGAAGTCATCATCGCAATGCCTCCGAAGGAAGCAGAAGACTTCCGCAGCTCATTGTTGACCGGCGGAGTCAGCGAGGTGCGGCGAATGGATTCATGCCACCTCGTGAAGGATGTTGCAAGTGCCAGCCGAAGGCCTGTAGCTCCAAACGCAATCAGAAATATCAGCTATGGAATGCTATGGGCCCATGGGCCTATAGATTCATATGTGCACATATGCGAAAAAGAGAATCTATAATTATACGTTGGATCCAACTAGTGCTGCATGGAAACTGGTAACTTTGCAGGTTTGGGCTGCCCTTGGAGCTGTAAAGGTCGAGCAGGACACCGAGGGACTTGGGACCGATGGCGAAGCTGGTCCAATTTTGGTAGAAGACTCCGGGACAAAAACTATGACAAAGTCACGTTTGCGCTGGTAACATGCTGGTAACATCTGGTAAATCAGTAACACTAATATGTATTTTTACATGGTGCTTATGTATAGTCTCCATTACCTCCCTGTAAAGTATCGCCTAATAGTGTACCTTGTATATTCACTTACATTTTGGCTCAAGCAAAATAGCGTGTGCGCTTACTGGCTGTTTCAGGTTGAGATACCTATAAATATAGGTTATCAGCCGTATCGCCAGATACGTCCCTTTCGTAGTTATGTCTGCCCCCTCCGGAAAACCATCTCCAGAGGGCCAGAGGGCCCGCGTAATTCCGGGAATCCACAAGCCGTGGCAATTCGGGACGCAGACGATGGCCAGACTGAAATCGATGTACCAAGTCACACTACTTCCTAGACTCCTTCGGAACGCTCTCGGAGTGACAAACGTGAAGTCAGAGCCCCGCTCCCACCAGGCGCTGTTATGCCCCAGAGTGGAGCGCCAAGGTTTTCGCACCGTGGTTATGACTATCACGCATCCCGGGAGGGCATGCCTGCCGGCTCACATCATGTACAGTCGAACAAGCTTGAGGTTCACCACCATGAGATGACTGAAGTAAATAACACGATGAACCTTCAGCAAGCTCAAAATAATGAAGTGTACGTGAATTCACATGACCCTGCATTTACACAGATGGTTGAGCAGGTTGCTGAGGCACGCCATCGAGAGGCCATGGCCAACACCGAAAGCATGATGCAATCGATGGTGTCCGAAATGAGTGGCAGGTTCCATGCAGAAGAACAAGCTGCGAGTGCCCGGATGCAACAAATGATGTTGCTCGCAGAGAGTCGGGAGAATCAATTTCATGAAGAACTGGCCCAACAAGGGGAAATGTATAAAAGGGTTTTAGACGGAAATGCCAGACAGTCAAATGCAACGAAGGACCAGCACATTCAATCCATCAAAGAACACTATGAACGTCAGGATGAACACCGAAAGATGCAGATGTCCCAACTTGAATCCATCATTAAGCAACAGAGTGAGCAAATAAGGGCCCAACAGTTGCAAACCGAATCCATGAACATGAGGATGAGCAAACTCCTTGACACGATTGGCCCATTACCAGTCCCTGTCATCCGCTGAAGTCAAGTATTCTGCACCGTTGCCATCATTTGCATCAGCAAGTGCTCCCAAGACAACGGTACCCAATCAAGATATATGGGAAATGCTTGACACTGAAGGCAATTTGCCGGCTGACAATAATGATCCCGTCACAGAGATTACAGGTCTTAGGTCCCCAACGTATCCACCAACAAGTGTTGCACATTCGGATACAGGAGGGAAACCGCCAGGACCTGATCCTCCAGATGACGACAAGGATTCGTCCGCAGGCAATGACAGCAGGCGTGGTAAGGACAAGCGTGGGAAGAAGCCCCCTTCAGGGAGCCGACGCCCACCGGGAGGTGGGCCTGGGGACGGGGATGATGATGATGATGGAGATGGGGATGGGTACAACTCTGACGATAGTGATCACCGTTTCATCCGTCGCATGAGGGCCATGTTTGGTGGTTCCAGGGACCAATCACATGAAAAGAACAAGGTTAAAGAGGCCGACACCGTGAAAGTTCCAGCTTTTCCCCATGCGGAATCGTACAGAAATTGGAGAATCCGTACAAGGGAAGCTGTAATGTCGGCATCCGTACAAGGGAAGCTGTAATGTCGGCATCCACTGACCCTGACAAAGCATTTGATTGGATAAGTGAAACCTGGAAAGAAGGCCAAACAATTGGAACTCTTCGTGACGTAGGCAAGTTCACTACATTGGATGCCAAATTGCTGTCCGCACTCACCAATATTCTCACAGGTGATTTTGCGAGAAAGGTTGACACTTATAAGGAGACTGAAGCAACAAACCATCGTGATGTGAGAGGTCGACAGGTGCTGTTTATGATGCATGAACATTTCAGTACCAACATCAAACATGGAGCGACCTACTCACTACAGGACTTGTTCAGTGTCAAGCTCAAAGGTGACAACCTGCGGGGATTCATCAGCAATTGGGATCAAGTAATGGCTGGTATCCCCAAAGTTCCTGAGATTAGCATTCTGGAGACTCTGTTCTTTAACCAAGTCAAAAACAGAAAAGCAATAGCACACGACTTGCAGGAATATCATCGTGCTGAGGAAGGGACCGACAAGAAGTCCTACGACTTCCTAGTGACATCAGTTCGCCGCTACTTGGACAGGGAGCGACTCGAGTCCAATCGTGAACGAGTTGCCAGGACCCTCGGTGCCTCGTCGTCCAGCGCAGCTCCGGCTGTGGGTGAGAAAACTGGGTACATTCCAAAGGGGTACTGTGTCAAATGGAACAAAGGTACTTGCACGAATGATGCCTGTCCATTCAAGCATGAAAACCTCCACCAAAGAAAGATAGGAGTCAATCAAGACCCTCATCCGATCGTGGCAGATCACCGTCAAGGGGTAAGAACGATAAAAACAAGAAGAAGCAGCCATGCAAATTTTGGAAACAGGGAAGATGTAACAGAGGCAATGACTGTAGGTTTAGTCACGAGGGCAAACAGTCCAAGTCTCCTCGTGCTGCCACTCCTGCTAGGCCTTCATCCAATGACTCGAAAGGATCCAGACGAAGGAACAGCAGAAGTCCAGGAAAAGGCAGGGACCGCTCGCCAAAGCAGAAGGGATCAAGGAGTCCCAGGAATAGCCGCTCCCCAAAGGGGAACAAAGGCAAGCCTGAAACTCTCAAAGCTTCCCCAGCAGCTGTCTGCCTGATTGCTTCGATGTTAGATGATGTTAGCATCCGTGTCCAACGCATGCCTGTTGCCGCCCATTGACGTGATCGGTTGCCCAGCAGTGACTTTCAACACCAATCATGATGTGTATCAAGTCGTTGCCAAGGGGGACCTTGTGCCTATCAATCCAGCTTCAAGAAGATATAAAAGAACATTCCCAATCGACTATCCGTTTGAGTTCGATCGAAGAGACGTAGAGGACGCATGTTTGTCAGCGAACATGTTGGCAGGAGCAGTCAAGAATTCGTTAATGAACAATGTCTGCAAATGCAACTACGAATGTGACACCATGTTTGGATGTGATCACTGTATCCCAAAGGGAATTGTTGCAATGCCTGCCAAATCTGAAGAGTACGTTGATGGATGTTTTGAAGCCTCTATTGATTGGATTGTTGATACCGGTAGTGCACAAGATTTACTCACTGATCATCATGTGCCCGACCACTATGGTTACTTTTCCGATAATCCAATCCGTCTCATCACTGCAAATGGGGAAAGTTCATCTATGAAGCAGGGCAAGGTTAGAGTCCCAGAACTGAATGCTACAGTGTCACTGTACCTAGTGCAAAGTTCACCTCCTGTTTTATCAGTTGGTCTCAGGTGCGTTGAGGATGGGTTTGACTTCGTGTGGAGGGGCTCCAAGAATGAGAAGCCGAAATTAGATACCCTCAAGTTGGAAGGTTCTAGAATGCCCCCCCCTGGGTATAAACACGGAGGGTTCTAGAATGATTTTTTTTCATTGTAGAACCCCCGGTCCCGTAAGCATTGTAGAACCCTGGAAGCTTGTATAATACAGCATAATATATTTTAATATTTATAATATATTATAATAACATATGATGATGTATCTGTACGATTTAATTCGACGTCACGACGTCACCCCGAATTAACGAGGCAGAATTTTGAAATTAAGGGGATTTGTACATAAAGTGCAGAAGGTCAAATAAGATCAAATAAGGCCTTAACAACGTTACAGAGAAATACAGCTATTTAATGCTATTTCATGATATTTCAGCATTGGTCTATAATACCAACGGTTGATTTGGAAACACTGGTCCATTACAAGAAGTGAAGATGTTGAAGAGTTTGACGCATGAGTGCATCATCGAGTATATAAAGTTTTGGATGATTTTTAATGATTTTTTAAGGGTGGAAGATACCATTTCAGAACCCATTTTAGAACCCAAAAACGGAATAGTGGCCAACAATTTTAGGTTCTAAGACCCCCCTTGTAGATTCCATTTTAGAACCCATATTTGGGTTCTAAAATGGTCCCCAAGGGGGGTTGAAGCAACTTGAGAGGATGAAATTAGTATCACCTGATGGGAAAGTCATAGAACTTGAAGTCAGAGACTATGTCCCATATCTATGTTCCAAATCAAATCAACCAAGTGTGTCCACAGTGGCGAAATCCAGCAACAATGGTTCTCCCATGAAAAGAGTGAAAGTGATGGCTAGTTCTTCTGGGCCCGAGTCAGGCTTCATGGAAGAGGAAGATTCACCCCCGTCACCGGATCTTTACGACGAAGAATATGAAGATGACGAACCCACTATTGTAGGTGGTAATTCATCAAAGCTTGATGACGACCTTGTACCCGACATCTCAGGCGATCCCGGTGCCGATGCGCCCTCCGATGAAGAAGGCATTGCACCAGCTGACCGGGAGGTCCAGCCTGATGAGGTTGATAAATCAAGGGATGACGTCCGTCGTGACCCGGAAATGGAAAGACGTAGGGAAAGGGGTAAGGCCGCACTAAAGGCTGAAGCTAAGAGCAAACGACACATGCTTACCCATATTCCTAAGAATCCCTACTGTGATGTCTGTACGAAGGCCAAGATGTACAAGCCACCTGGATACTCTAAGGGAGGATCATCCATGGTTGACGCAAAGAAGTTTGGGGACCATGTCACAGGTGACTACCTCATTGCCAAATCAGACCCCGAAACTGGTGTAGACGGGGACAGGGTCGCAATGGTATTTAAGGATGTTGCCACTGATTTTCGATATGTTTACCCTGTTGCACGTCGTGATACATCCAACACCACACTGGCGATGAAACATTTCGTCGATGACTTGGAGAAAATTGGAATCTTTTACAGTGACAATGCCCCTGAGATTGTAGCAGCTATGAGATCAATGAAGATCAGGCATCAAATCAGTAAAGATTACATTTCAACATCCAATGCCATCGCCGAACAAGCCGTGCGGTCAACGTTGGAAGGAACACGTGCAAATCTGCTTCAAGCAGGACTTCACCATGGATACTGGCCCTATGCTGCCAGACATTGGTGCATCATGCATGACACAGCACCAGATGGGACATGATGGGACTGGAAAGGCCACACCATGGAAATTGAGATTTGGGACAGACTTCGAAGGACCACTTATCCCGTTTGGATGTAAGGTGGACGATTGGACTGGACCTCGGAAGAAACCCAAGAAGCAGATGAAGTTCGAACCGACCTCTGAACCCGGTATCTTCCTAGGATATGTTATCCATCCAGGCTTCCATTGGAGAAAGGAATTTGCAGTAGCTTCTCTAAAGCAAATCAATGATGCAGATTTTGACCAATCCGTCACGGTGTTGAGGGTGTTAAAGGTTTCTACTCCTGAGAGAATCGAGTTTCCCTGTCGCAAACGTGCCGATGCCATCCGAGAAGGTAGCTTGAAACCAAACCAACTGTGTGATGACCAGGATGCACTACCGCCACCGGAAGAGCAAGACGCTCAGCCTGTGCGGGAGCCAGGCCCAGCCAAAAGAACAGTCACTGACATTGAAGCTGGACAACCTGCCCAACAGTTCAATCCGCGGTTTATCACCAGGGATGGTTATATAGAATTTTTCAAGCATGTTGACCACAAGGAGGCATGGTACGAATATGCCAATTGCAAAGTGAATGTTCGGATCATCGACAATCAGTGTATAGGTCCATCTCCCGACTTTGATGCAGCCGACTTTCCGTTTCGAACAACTTGCATTAAAGATGATGAATCATGGCATGTCCACGAAGAGAATTTGAAGATTGATCCTCCGGTCGAAGACCTTGAAAAGGACATTGAGGTTCATGAGGTAATCGTCACAATATTCTCAAAAGAACAAATCGACCTGTACCTGATGAAGAGGTCGAGGTAATCAATCCGATTACAGGGGAGCTTGAAAGAATCAGGACCAATGACCCCTCATTCTATGACGCAGGTGGTTTTAAAGCAAGAAAATACAAGAATTCAAGTAAGCCAAAGGACATCCCTCCATTTGTATGGCAAGCAATGTCTCAGAAAGAAAGAAGGGCATCAATAGCAGATGAGCAACGAAAGTTAGCCCTGGAAGAAAAGGAAAAGAAACGCGCCAAACGAGTGAAAGCTGTACCCATGATCGGAACTCTCAAAGAATCACCAAATGAGTTAGAAAAATGTTTATCCTACGAATTCATCCCAGCAATGCCTGTTTGCCAGATGAACCCTCAAAAGCATCGAGTTAAGTGTATTAGGCTTGGAATCCAATCTGGGGAGAAAGCCGTTAACACTTTGGTGGCTAGGCCAGTGGGGAAAAAGGAAATTAGAGCCAATCCCAAAGCCCAGCAAGCCTTAGATGTAGAGTGGGAGAAACTGGTAAAGAAGAAGGCATGGCAATATGAGACAGTGGCCGAATGGAAGGTCATTGCCGACAAGGCCAAAAAGATTGGGAAGAAGGTCCACGTAGGAAAAGTCTTTGAGATTTGCGTTGAAAAGGGAAGTGAATTACCCGAGGGAGATAAACTCCGGAAATTCAAAGGAAGAACAGTATTTCAAGGCAACAACGTAAAGGACGAAAGCGCCGATGTTGCACTGTTCTCTGAATTAGGTTCTTCACCTGCCACTATGGAAGCTGGCAAAGCGGTGGATGCCTACGGAGCTCAACCGGGATTCATAACCCAACAAAATGACGGAGTGCAAGCTTACACTCAAGCCTTATGGAAGGGCGTGGAGACGTGGGTGGAACTGCCACCCGATCATTTCGACTCGGGGGGACTCTGGGAACAATACTGTGAAGCCATGTTGAAACTAGTGGGCTTTATCATGCCAGACCCGGAAGGGTGGCCTTCGGTGTTTTTCCACCCAGAGCTCAAACTGTTGCTTGTCGTGTATGTTGACGATTTTAAGATGTCCGGCCCCAAAGAAAACATGTCGAAGGGATGGAGTTTGATTGCATCAAAGATTGACATGGACACTCCCGGGGAAGTCAATAGATATCTTGGATGCGACCATGTAGCTCAACACAACGTAAAGCTCAAGGTCGAGGATCACCCTTACGCTCATGTCTTTGACAAGTCACTGGCCGACCCGGCCGCGCCTGCCGCCGCCGCGTGCCACAGGACTCAGGATTTCTGGGAGCTTGACACCGTCAACGATGTCTACATGAGACACCATGTGCAGCCAAGGAAGAAATTATTTTTGCCCAATGAGGAAGTTGTTAAGACATGCCATTTAGCCCCATTTAGGTTCACGAATGCAATCCCATGCAACAACAATGGAAATGAAGTTGAACAATGGGACACTATTGGAATTGGGTCCAACGTGAACAAAGGGGGTAGCCTAAATGATTCTTGGGTAGGCACAACTTACTTCTTCCCCACATCATGCAAAGATCCAAAGGCTGCAATGGCTACCATCAAGAGGGACAAGTCCGGAGCCAAAAAGAAAGCTAGAGCGGAAGGTTTCTCGTATATGGACCAACTGTTTGAGAACCAGCCCTGCATGCAAAAGCCTGTGACTACTTTCACATATGATATGGAGCCTTTCCTGAAATCATGTGTTGATCGATATCTATCACTTGCTGGCAGGGATGCCAAGCCTTTGAAACAAGTTTCCACACCATTCCACGAAGAAAGAATTGCACGGCCCATTGCCGATGAGAAGGAAACCAAAGGCGTATTGGCTCCAATAGCCGCAAGGGTCCTTATGAAAGTGCTATTTGCAGCCAGGATGGCACGTTTTGACTTGCTGCGAGCCGTTCAAGGCCTGGCAGCTCGTGTGACAAAATGGAGTGCAGAGTGCGACAAGGCACTGCACAGACTTATTTGTTACATTAATTCCACCCTGGATCACAAACAAAGAGCTTTCATAGGGGACAAGGTGAGTGAATGTAGGCTTTGGCTATTTGCCGATGCGGACCATGCAGGAGAGTACGACAATCGATCCACCAGTGGTTGTTTGTTAGTTCTAGTTGGACCCAACACGTACTTCCCGCTCACAGCATTCAGTAAGAAACAAACTGCCGTTGCAATGTCAAGCACTGAAAGTGAAGTTGTGAGTGCAAACGTATCCCTCAGAGCTGTCGGTCTACCTTCCTCCGGTTTGTGGGCATACCTCCAGAACGCGGGGGGGGAGAGAACAGCAAAAGACAGCATTCCGGGAGGTTTGCCAAGGCATGACATTGAAACCCAAAAAGAACCCAATGGGGAATACTGGCAATTCATGAGAAGTAGAAGGTTGCTTATCCGAGTCCACACAAAACCAAGGTCACATTTGTTCACACCCATTGACATGTCCAAGTCACCCATTAACCTTAAGCGTATCGGATGTGCTCGAACCACCGTGATGCTAAAGGACGGAATGGTTGACTTCATGCAGGACAATTGGAAGGTCAAAGTTGACTACCCGATCAATGTGGAGTGGACTGGCAAGACTTTCTTCAGGGTTTATGGTCCCTATGAGTCCGACTACAACATCGAATCCGTCGAAATCCGTGAAGCCATCACCGACTACGAGTTCGTAGGACGTGAGAAAGAGGGAGAATGTATGATTTCAATGTTTTCCCCACGGTCGATGGTTGAATCACGGCTGTTCAAAGGGCCATTTGCCTCAGTGGAAACCTGCCACTTGGTCTAGGACTAAAAATATTTCTGCTCCTGGATCCATGCGGCTGTTGAAACACCGGAAGCGCCTCGCGAGGTTGTTCGAACTTCGCCGTTTTCTTGGCCGGCCTCGGGGCTGGTATCAGCATAGACATGTTGTTGATTCGTTATTTCTGAAACTTGGTCTTGAATTTTCTCCTACGATCAGGGATCAAATTAATGATGAAATTCTCAGAACCAAAGCACAGTTGGATGATGCTGAGCGTCAGGTTCGGTCTGACAGGCTGCAACGATGGAAAACCAACATTTTGGAGGACCCCAAAAGCTTGGGTCGATGGTTGAAGGCCCGCACTGCTCCTCAGGTCGACCACGTTTCGGGTTTTGGGACTACTGTTCATCACCCCAAAGAAGTGGCTCAAATGGTTCATCTTTTTTGGAATGATTTCTGGTCTAACCAACAACAGGACGTTGAAACCATTTCTAGGAATCTTGTTGCCACTGCTCACATTCCTGATGTTCAAATCGCTTGGGAGCCGCCTACCTTGGAAGGTTTGGTAAAAACGGCCAGAACAAGAATGGTAGGAGGTTCAGCCAGTGTTGATGGCTGGAAAGGGGACGAGCTGAGGCATTTGCCTGTGCCAGCCTTGAGCTGCTTCCGTCTCCTTGCCGTCAATTGGGAAATGAAAGGTGAAGTGCCTAATCAGTTGTTGCACTCTCGCATGGTCAATATTCCTAAAAGGGCTACCAATGGTTGTTTACATATCCAGGACATGAGGCCAATTACCGTCCTTGCGTGTTTTTGGAGATTGTGGGGTTCGACGTATGTTCAATCTCCTTCTGTCCAGGCTTGGGTTGACTCTCTTCCCTCTGAAGTGGTTGCCGGGCGTGGGGCTGATGCTCAAATTGCGGCTTCGGAAATCTTCGGTTCCTTCTCTTCTTTGGGTTATGTTGCGTCTCTCGACTATTCTAAGGCATATGATACTATGTCTGCTGTTGCCACTGGGAGGTTGCTTTGTCGGGGAGGTTGGCCACAAGGCCTTTGTCGGGTTATCGAACGCATGTGGGGGACTCAACTTCGTTGGTTGGAATGGCAAGGCCACGTTGACTCTTCCCCCCTTCATGCCTCTGCTTGCGTCCCTCAGGGCTGCCCCTTCGGCCCTGTTGCTATGTTCGCTTGGATGGGGGCTGGTTGCAATTACGTCCGTCCTGTGGATTCTTCGGGTATCACTCGGGTGTACATGGATGATCGTAGTTTTACGGCGTCTACAGCCGTTGGGTTAATTGGGAAAATTCAGGCCTGGGCTGACTTTTCTGCTTCTGTTGGCCTTCGGGAGTCTCCTGGTAAGATTCAGCTTTCTGGGCGGTCTTCTCAACATCGTCGCTCTTTGATTGCGGCTTCTTCTTATCCTGAACGGGTTTCTCCTGATTTTTGTATTCTTGGGTGCTCTTCGGCTACGTCAAATCGCAAAATGTCCAGTAAAGAAGTCGAACGCATCGACAAAGCTAAACGCTCGGTTTTGCTGTTAGGTGCCTGTCGTTTGCCGTTCAATTTCCTGCTTCTTGCTCTGCGTACGCACGGTCTCAGTAAAATGCTTTATGGCTGGGTGTCGCGCTTACCTACTTGGGGGTCTATGTGGCAGTTGTGGGCTAGCTTCCGCGTCGCTCAAAGGGTCATGTTTGCTGCTAATCGTCACCTCCGTAGCATCCTCTATGGTGGTTTGCTGCATCCTTTTTGCGTCATTGGGGTTCGTCTTTCCAGTTTGGTCCATCGCCTTCGTTCTCGCGGTTTGGTCTGGGTTGATCGTCCTTCTCGGGGTTCTGTTTTGTTTACTTTAAACGGCTGGTTCAAGGAATGTGGTTCTTCTGTGGTGGGTCCTTGGCAATGGTCTTGTGGTCCTCTGCAAACTTTGGTTGATCTCACGTCTGATAGTCTGATGCTTGTTTTGCATAGGGTGCGGGAAACTTGGCGTCTTTTGCAATGGAGAGCCTTTTTGAGGAGTAATCGACATGAAACGGCTGAATTGCGTTCCTTTCCTGAGGAGTCTCTTTTTGCCATTAAGTGGGATGAAGTCCGGTCTTGGATGTCTGAGTCGGCGGCCATGAGATCGGTTGCCTGCGGGGCTGTGCTGTCGCCTGCGGCTTGCGCTGTGGCGGGTGCTGGCTTCGATCCTATTTGTCTTTGGGAAGGGTGTCGCGTTTCTCCTGCGTCCTTTCATCACTTGGTCTGGGACTGCCCCCACCGTCCGGTGAAACTCACCCCCATAAACGTGGTGGACAAACGGTTTGGTTGGTTCAGTGCTTCTAGTCTTCGATGGATTGCCAAAGTTCAGGAAACTTTGTGGGCTGCGCGCCATTGAGCGCTTGCCTCGCTAAGGTCCTGTTTGCTAAGGTGTGACTCCAGGTTTCTCGCCTGGTTCAGGGAGGCGCGGCTGCTTCGCGGCCGCTTGCGTGCGCTGTGGATTTGGCCGCTGCGCACTTCAAACTCTTCTTCTTCCCCACGGTCGATAAAAGGTGTATTTGTAGAGGACAATCAGGCTACCATTAGAATCCTTGAGAACGGAAAATCACCCACTTTCCGACACACAGACAAAACACAGCGAGTTAACCTATCTTGGTTGGAGGAACAATTCAAAAGAAGATGGTACAAGCTAGTTCATGGTCCAAGCATGCTTCAAGCTGCAGACATTCTCACTAAGCCATTTGTTAGTGCAGAAAAGTGGAAACTAGCTGTCAAACTTCTTGCATTGACCCCCACCAAGAAGGTCACCCCACATAAAGCTTTGGCATCGGCAACGGAGGCCATTATACCTCCAAGCATTGCTGCACCAAGCACGGGGGGACCCGCTGCCAAGTCCGATACCAAGAGACTGATCGTTGAAGTTTGCTGTCATCCCGAGTCCAAACTCAGCCAAACCAATCGAAAGTGGTCTGAAGGTTGTGAAGTACTACAGTTCACTGAAGAATTTGATCTTAACGAAGTTGAAAACCAAATGAGGATTGCAGAGTATGTCAACTCTTTCAAAGGTGATGTGAAACCATTTATATGGATCAGCCTACCGTGCACGGGGGGTACACCATGGACATATATCAACATGAAAAACCCCAGTGCCCGTGAAAAGGTTTTGAAACATGTTCGAGAGTTTGACCGACTTTGGATTTCCTTGAAATCGTTCCTTCGGATGTTGAACTGTGAAGTACACATTGCACTTGAGTGGCCACGAAAATGTCGATATTGGAAACTGGCTAAAGTTGCAAAGCTTCTGAGTTTGTATGAAATGATTGCTTACCATTTTGACGGTTGTGCTCTTGGAATGGTGAATCAAGACAATGATCCGTTGAAGAAGCCTTGGACAGTGGCCACAAATCATGCTGGAGTCGGTAAAGCATTATCGAAGTTCCAATGCACATGCAACAGGCGTCATGCACCAGGCAGAGGCATTGCACTCAAGAAAACAGAAGAGTACACTTTCCGCATGACAGACGCCGTCAGCGTCCCGCTCTCAAGCTAACTTGCTGTGCACTCATCGCGCCCTTTCGCTCTCCCGTCGTCGTCATGTTGACTCGTGCAATCCAAATGGCCAAGGCCTGCGCGGTTGCCGGGAGGCCCGCCATCCTCGAACGCATCACACAATGGGAAGGTGTGGTCAATACCCTGAAGGGAGCCATTGCGGTGGCGACCTGGGACGACCCACAGGTGCTCCTACGAGAGATGGAAGGATGTCGACTACCCCTGGCGAACATCGTCGAGCCGATGCTGGGCGGTGGCAATGCAGAAGGGGCGTACGACACGTTGGCGGAGGTCTACAAGAACACGCCCGATGGCTTTTTGGCAATGTGCCCTTACCCGCCGGGAGGCGAGGTCGACCTGCTGATCGTATCAGACTCATCGTTGGCTCTGGTACCTGACCCCAATGCAGGGAAGGCTTCATGTTTTTCCGGAGGCGATCTTCTCAAACCCTGGGGAGACATCCGTGGCATATATACCAAAATGCTGTGGGGCAAGGGATTGAATCATATGGTCCAGTATATCCCCGAGGCCATCGATGACATCGAGTCCACCAATCGTGCCCATGGTCGTCCGGTTCTTCCGGTGTTGGTCATCGTTGGGTGGGCCGGGAATGATGTGTATGGCGAAGGGGGTTACAGAGGTGTCCATTGGATTCACAGGGCTGCCTACAACAAATCTGCTGCCGACCGGGAGGTCACGGCCAACTGGTGTGAGCGGCAAAAGGCAAGGGTTGAGCGGTCTGTCAATGACTTGGGCCAGCTCAAACGTGATGAACCCCGAATCCTGGACATCGTGGTTGTGGGGAATGCTGACGCGGACATCTTTGCTCTCCCGTCGGCCTACAACGAGACCATGCGCGTCCACATCAAGGCACTGCGCGGGGACCACGGCATCCAAACCCTCGACACGACCCTGATGCTTGCCCGGACTGTGAGGTACGACAAGGTTCATTTGGAAGATGACGCCATCAATCGGAAGTATGTTACCAACTTCCTTCAAGCCGTCGCTGACTGCCACCTCTCCTACCTCAAGCTCATCAGCGTCGACGACCATTTGAGAACACTCCCAAGAATCGAGGACCTCCAGGAGCAAAAGAACTACCCAAACCTCACCATCCTGAAGGCCGCGTACCAGCTTGAGATCGATTCGAATGTCTCCTCACCGCAAGATCTTCCTCAACGACCCGATCCTGAGAAGATCATGCTTGATGCAGACATCGAGATTTTCAACTGGGTGCTTCAAGCTGAGGAGAACGCCACAGCCTTTGCCGACCGGGAGGTCGAGTCCTGGATGAGAGACATTCCTGAAGAGGACCAGGCATTGGAACCGATGCATCAAGACAACGCTGATTCAGATGATGAGGCTGTCAAGGTCCAGGCTCTCACCATGGAAGACCGAATTCAGGCAAGGCGACAAGGCCTCTCCGAAGAGCATGGCCAGGAGTGGCAAGATGCCACCTACGCGGCCGAGGATGAAGAGGAGGAGTTCAGGGGCTGGGACCTCATCGAAGATGACAAACGCCCGCCGGGAGTCGTGGCCAGTGATCCAGTTCACGAAGAAGAGAAGGAGCTGGACCTCGACGACCTCGAGACAGTGGCTTCGGTGGAGATTGTCGATGAAGAGGAGTTCCACGACGTCGAGGAGGGGCAGGCCGAGGCGATCGACGATGATGACGATGATGACATGGCCGTGATCGACAAGGTCTCTTCTATGCAGGCCGAGAAGTCTGATGCACGGGGGGACCCGGAGCCCATGGATGTTGATGATCAGGGCAACAAGATGGTCCAGAGCACGGCATCAGCGAAGACCTGGAAGACGGAGATGGCCCAGAGCTCGTCATCTGCAAAGACGTGGAAGACCGACATGGCTCAGAGCGCATCATCGGCGAAGACCTGGCGAACTGACACTACAGCAGCTGCGTCGGCGGGAGCCACGCCTCCTGACCCGACTGCCAAGCTCAAGCCAAAGTCCAAGGCGGCGAAGAAGGCCATGCCCAAGAGATTGAAGGTTGTCGATGAGGGACATGGCCCGAGCGCTGAGCAGTTCGACACGTCGAAATTTGCCACGGCACAGGATCTGGTGTGGATTGAGCCGGACAACATGGCAGGAGTCCCTGTGCGGAAGGTGGACTACGGAAGGCTTAGCTCAATTTCCCATGCTATGTCCGACTACCTCCGTGGCCACCGCTTGTTTCACAGGAGGCCTTCACCAGAGATTCGGAGGACTGATTTGTCAATGGACTTTAAGGCATTGGTGAGGCATCTCCAAGGAGATTTTGCGCATCTCCGAGAAGAAGAAGTTTTGATGGTAGTGCGCAACTCACCGATGCGCCGCTTCAGAGTGCAGGTGAATGGAATGTCGTCCGGAAAGCTGAGGTGGACGCCAGTGAGAATCAGGGCCATTCAGGGCCATCGGGCCTTTCTCGTGGAGCAAGGGGGGATGTCGACCATGATCAAAACGATGTTCACTTTTGATGAGAACTTCGACGAGACCAAGGTTGACGACCCATCGGTTCACCCCGCTTTCTCCGCGATGCCGGAAGGCTCGCCTGTGTGGAACAAGTTCCCCAGAGTGGTGTATCACACCTGTGACCAAGCCGCCTTCAACTCCATCATCAAGTTCGGCCTCATCCCTGGCGGATTCCCGTACAAAACGGGCAGAGCCCACAACTTTTTCAACTCCACTCCGCCCTGGAAAGCGGAAATGAAAAAGTTGCAAGGTACGCGGGCCGGGAGGCCAATCGCCATCGCGTTTGACATGGAGCTCATGATGCAAATGGGCTACAAACTTTTCGCGACTGACGAGGCCATCCTGTCGCCAGACTGGATATCGAACCTCCCGATGATCAACGCCTTTGATATGCGTTCTGGCGAGTTTTTCTATATCAACAGGGCTTATGTCAACCATCGGAAGACTTACCAGGAAGTCCTCAAGCAGGCCAAGGCCGAGTTTGATCCCGATGACATCCTCATGAGCCGCATGGAAATGTTGATGGAGAATGCTCAGCTGAACTTTGAAGGCATCAAAGAGCGCATTGAGTTTGGCAAGCTCCTCCCCTTCTCCAGGCGCGAAGACATCCAAGTGGAGAAAAGCACCGCCACCCGGGAGGGTGAGCCGGCATCAGGTTCTCAGCTGGTGCCCGGCTACACCATTGCAAAGATGGCCGCCATGACGAGCACTGATGCATGTGGGTTGCAGCGTCGTGGGCGGAACGGACCCGGTGGTGGAAACTGGAATCGAGGGCAGGGCCGAGTTGGATTTGAGTTGCAATTCAAGGACATTTCCTACAACCAGATCCAAGACTCCCCTCAGGTGCGCTGCAGCCACCCGATATGCGGATACCTCATGATGGACGGGCATCTGAAATGTCCACGGTGTTTTAGACAAATGGAACCCGTGACGGATGCCAACATCGCCACAGAGGTTGCCCGCCGGGAGGCGATGGCCCGTACCAGAGGTGTGCCCTTTTCCATGGACAAGGTGATCTTCAACCACCCTCGGAGAGGCAGAGTAGCCAGGCAGCCGGAGAAGGGATCTTCATCTTCTTCGACCGCCGTCCGAACCAGAAGCACATGGCAACTTGAGAGACATGGCCCGCAACTACGTCAGATCTTTCAAGAAAAGGGGCTTCAAGGACCTTGTTGACAGACTCGTCCGCGACCCATTCTTTCAGTTCAATGCGGCGAATCAAAACCTGGTGCCGGAGGCATTGCTCTTCATTGAGCGTCTGGCTGGCTGAGTGAGTCCGACCATTGAGCGCACCAAGGCTCAGGTTCTTGGAGAAAAGCTTGAGATGGCCACCAAGTTGATTTTCGTGCCATCGTCGGAGCGGGAGCCCGACCAACCCTTGGATCTTCACACCGAGGTGTTTGTGTCACATCGGGGCGTCTTCCTCGACATTGGCCAGTTCGCAGTCTATGTGGCAAAATTCATCAAGCCAAAGCAAAGACCCCTACCCATTGTTTATGGCTGGGGCAACCGTGACTTTGTGCCTGATGCTTTTGATGCCAAAGAGATCGCGAAAGAACTGGTGGAGTTCAGCAAGCTGCAGTGGTCGAACTATGCCCCCCAACAGACGCACAAGGAGTCTGAAACCACCGGCGACGACCGGGAGGTCAGTCTAGCTCATGCAAGTGGGCCCATTAGCCGACCTGAACATGAACGACCCCATCACGAGCAACTGCTCGCGGAGGTCCTTACGGTCAAAGCCATGGTGGAAAAGGTCACTACAAAGGCGGAGGACAGACAAAGGGAAAGGGACAGCAGAAGGGAAAGGGCAAGCAAGGCAGAAGCCCACCGGGAGGTGTGGCCTATGGTGACTTTGAAGGAGATTCCTACTGGGTTCAGGGCTACCGCTACACGTGGTACTGGAATCAACAGCGAGGCTGGTACTGGCGCTGGACCTGAACTTCGGGATGACTCGCATTGACGCTTAGGTCATATCTTTCTTTTTCAAATTTGCTTGCCGGGAGGCATGCCTGTCTATGACAAACTTGGCAGGCATCGCACCCATTGAACACACCAAAGCTTTGACGCACCTTATGCATTACCCCATTCAAGTGAACTTCAATGCACAAATTTCCGCACAGTTTGAATGAATTAAAATTTACTTCTATGACTTCTCAAGCCATACCATTGGATGTTCAAGGCAAGATTCAAATCGATTCACACCTTTCATGGCTGTACAGTTTTTCCTGCCATGGTATCCTTTTGGAGTGACATCACAGGAATGGTATTGTTCCTTCATTCCATTTGAAGATGCCTGGCGGGAGCCACGGCCGTGCTGTGTGCAACTCCGTGCCCATTGATCGGCAAAAAGAGCATCCGACTTGCATTCACGCATTCGTCCTGTGCCTTGACATCCGAGCCACAAGCATCCGACGTAGGTGTTTCATTCTTGTACAATCCTGTTCACTTAGGTCGAATCGCGGCAGCGTACATGAGGTGGAGTTTTACCAAAGCCGCCAAGCGGCTGCGGTAAACGGGGGGTATTTTTACATGGTGCTTATGTATAGTCTCCATTACCTCCCTGTAAAGTATCGCCTAATAGTGTACCTTGTATATTCACTTACATTTTGGCTCAAGCAAAATAGCGTGTGCGCTTACTGGCTGTTTCAGGTTGAGATACCTATAAATATAATATGTATAATACGTGATCAAGCCTCATTTTGATTGAACAACTGCATGCATTGGAATGCATTTTTTTTATTTTGCCAGGCTGAGGCTTCCGTGAAGGAGGACAAGGACCGCATTCTGAAACTGATTGAGGAAGGGCCTGGCTTCCACCACTTGAACTGTGGGCGACTCATGTTTTGCAGGAGTTGTTTGAATAGATGTCCAGTTGATTCTTGTGGAAGTTTAACCATAGATTTTGGAAGCACAGTGGGACGGTGTGATTGGCCGCTTCACTTAACCGCACTGAGACATCGGGCACATCCAAAGCTGAGGTGCTGTGGCTGAAAAATTGCAGGGTCGTGCACCCAGTCCATGAGGTAGTTCTTGAAAGTTGAGCGATACCATGGCAGATTCTTGGGCCGCAAGGGTTGATAATTTGAGAACATTTGATGATCATGAATTACATAACATATAATTATATTATATACATGATCCATGCAAGACCGCATGTTAGACATCAAGGGGTTTTTCAAGTACACATGGCAGGAAACCCTCGGAACATGTTTTTCAAGGGGTTTTTCAAGTACACATGCTACTTGAGGTATACAGGAGGATCCCTTGCATCGCTCTGTGGCCCTCATGATACAAGCATTCAGTGGCAATACTGGGCATACAGCACAGGGCAGAAGCTGAAGGAATTCGCAGTGTGGGCAATGCTGATGTCAGACTGCAAAGGCAAGCTGTACCCCAAATATGTAGGAGGTAAGGGGAGATGGCAGCATGAGATGTGTGGCACATCAGGATGTGATGTCTCACAACCCATTGCGACCACATATGGCTCCCGTGTACTGGTATAGCACAAAGCGTATAGTGAGGAGTTCGTCGCACAAACAAACCAACTATGGCACAAAACTGGGTTCCACAATGGTTTGAGTAGTCAGTGACCGTGTTTGGAAGGAAAGCTCATCATGTTATATGCAAAATGCCAAGTTGCTTCTCCTTCAGACAATGTGAGTAAAGACATCCCACAACCAGGTACAGTATTCAAACGTTGCTTGAGCCATGAGCGCTTGTTGCTTGCTGAATGGCTGCCTCACCGTCAGAACCATCAGCTCTAAGCCGTCCGCAGCACAGATGCAAAAAGATGAAACATGGGTTAAACCCATTTGCTGGTGGCTTTGCGGAATAATCACAACACAATCACATATATCCAATACACACATATAATATAACAAAATGCGCATAATATATCAGAATATAAATATATATATATATATGCACATGCACATATACATACATACATACATACATACATACATACATACATACATACATCAATCAACCAATCAATCAATCAATACATACATACATACATACATACGTACATACGTACATACGTACATACGTACATACATACATACATACATACATAGATACCCCCCGGTAAATTAACATAGACCCTGGCAGAAAGGGGTTGGAAGATTAGTTTTGATTAAAACTAGGCTATTTTCAGGGTCTATTTTAATTTACCAGAGGGTACATACATACATACATACATACATGCATGCATGCATGCATGCATGCATGCATGCATACATACATACATACATACATACGCACATACATATATACATACCTACATGCATACATACATCAATCAATACATACATACATACATGCATACATACATACATACATACATACATACATACGCACATACATATATACATACCTACATGCGTACATACATCAATCAATACATACATACATACATACATACATACATACATACGTGCATGCATGCATGCATGCATACATACATACATACATACATACATACATACATACATACATACATACATACATACATACATACATACATACGCACATACATATATACATACCTACATGCATACATACATCAATCAATACATACATACATACATACATACATATATACATATATACATATACGGCTCCAGGGTCGTTTCGGGCGTTCTCAAAAACAGTGTTTTCCAGACATTGTCTTCTAGACATGGTGTCTTGAGCTATAACTAGTCATCTGCTGGCAGTTTCGTGTTGTTGCAGTTCTTCAGCGTCAGATGTACCATACCGCTGGCTAGACACTCTGCTTGCAGACTGTGGTTTAGGCGCTGCATGTATGTATACCTTTCCCGCAGCTATTTGCCGGTGCTGTCAGTGTAAGCGTGTTGTGCGGGGAAGCCTTGAAAAAGCCGTTGTGCAGCGCCCCGTGTCATGGCAGTGTATGCAGACATGAGAGCTTTCCACCGGATTTTGAATGTAGAGGAGGTCACATCCAGAGCGGACTGCCTCTACAAAGTGAAGTGGGCAACGCTGCTGGATACCACCCCGTACCCGGACACTGAGAACCTGAAGGGCGTGTTGTTTGCCATGCATGTGGGCATTCTCCAGACTTCACATGCATGTCGTGTCTGCGGCCACGACTACCACACCACGTATCGCCGTGACAGGGACACATGGGAGTGGTCGCGGCAAGGCGGTGGCCGTCGTGCATGCCAACGAATCCGAAAGTCCTTAACAGCTGGCACTGTTTTGGAGAAAGTGAAAGCAAAGAATTGGCTGAACTTCTTTGATGCCTATTGCATGTGGACTTTCGGTTATCCTACAAGGCTTCTTGAGCAAGAGACAGGGGTTCGCCACAAGCAATGGCTCCAATGGGAAAAGGTATGGCACGCAGCTGTGGAGATGGACCTTGAGCATCGTCTGAACACCTATGCCTTGGCGGCGACCCCTCCCAAATCAGCCAACCGAATGCGTGCCATCAAGAAGCCAGCTGCTGCTAGCAAAAAAAGACCGGCTGCCTCTGGAAAGGTGATGAAGCATGTTCTGAAGCGCCCTTCTGCATCTAGTGGCATCCTGAAGCGCCCTGCCAAGTTCTCTCCAAAGAAACAGCGTGCTACGCCAAATGCGGTCAACTTTTACAAGAAATACAAGTACGTGCTCGAGGTCGATGAGTCGCACCTGAACAAGTCCAAACCAGGTGTGGGTTTGGGGCGCCACTATCCCGAAGATGCCAGACCGCTTCTTTTTCCGTGTCCTTGAGCGCCCTGCAGATGCAGAGGCTGGGCGCCCTCGTGGCAAGGAAGAAATTCTCAAGTGCCTTCGCTGCCTTGATCTCCCGCGCAAAACCATCTTGGTCACAGATGGTTGGAAGGCAACCATTGCCGCAGTCGAAGAATTGAAGCGGGAGAAGGGGTGGGGTGATGCTGACCTTTGGCATGAAATTGTGAACCACAGTGCCGGTGAGATTGTGAATGTCAATGGCTTTACTACTAATCACATTGAAAACGGGTGGAGCATCGTGAAGCGATGGGTGCGCAAGCGCGCTGGAGGACGCTTGCCTCTGCACTCCGACCGTTCCATGTGGAGGTCTGTGTTGCAGGAGTACCAGTGGCGAAAGATCGTGTCACGTGGGCACAGTTTAGACTTTGGCAACACGTGGTATGTCCCACTGGCTGTATCCTTGCAGACTCTGCAAGCCTACTCAGCAACGTTGGCCCAGTAAATGCTGTAGACTATGTTGTGGCTGGTTTTGTATGCATCCGCATACCTTTTCGCCCTCGAATCGCGATCGTTTGCAGAGTTGAAAAAGCGTTGGGCTTGCATTCTCAGATATGCCCGCTGGTTCTTCGCTGCTCTCACACCTAGACAGCATGTTCTACATCCAGTTCCACTGCCTTCTTGTGTTGCCCCTGCATGCTGATTCCGCTTGCGCAGGCGATGTCGCTGGACTTGCTCAAGACGCGGCTGAGCTAGGACTGTGGGCGCTGGCCATGGGAGGAGAAGTCTAGACCGGCGGGAAAAAGAAGCTTGTACGGTTAAAATATTTAGTATGGGCACATGGCAGAGTAAGGCGGGAGAGTCCTCTAGATGCACTTCTACAAAGATTGCTACGGTCAAAATATTTGGTGGTGGCTGCTGGCAGAGCAGGACCCCGTAGTTGCATTTCCAGCAAGGGTGCTGCGGTTACTATCTTTGGCGCGGGCAAATGGCAGAGTAAGGCGAGAAGCCTGTAGTTGCATTTCTGGCAAGAGTGCTGCGGTTAAACTCTTTGGTGCGGGCAAATGGCAGGGCAGAGTAGGGCGAGAGAAGCCTGTAGCTGCATTTCTAGCAAGGGTGCTGCGGTTACAATCTTTGGTGCGTGCATAAGGCAAAGTGGGGAGAGAGAAGCCTGTAGCTGCATTTCTAGCAAGGGTGCTACGGTTACAAGCTTTGGTGTGGCATATGGCAGAGAGGGGGGGGTAGTTACTTGTTGCGGGATTAAGAAACGACCCTGGTGCCAACTATATTATTTACGACTTCCTGTAGTGTAGCGCGCAGACGCTTCATACGTATTTCTCCCCCCATGCTTGTTTGTGCACATTTTGTGCACGTAGGGGTATACATGGCACACGTTTGTTCATCATGGGGTTGGACGCAGTGCGCGTATAGGTGTACCACTTGACTCGTGTGTGACCACAAAAATGCCGGGCGCTAGCAGTATTGGCCCGAGCCCCTTTCCCGCTCCTACAAACTGTGAAGGTTTTCCGAGGCCCGCCTGAAGACCATGAAGTCCTTGCCTCCTGCGGTTGTGTTGGAGCGCACCCTCACCAAAAATTTAGAGGAACTGGTCGGGTTCCAGGGGCGCCCCTCGCCGGGCAACCCTATGACCAGTACATTCCCTTGACCTCCTTTGTTCACTTTCGCAGGGGAAGTGGCCGATGACCCGAAGTTGGTGGCGGCCCTGAAGGTCATTTTCTCGGAGCACTTGGATTCGAAGGGGTAGTGGAGATGGAATGTCTTCCGTCCTCGCCGCGCATGAGGGTTCCGCGGTTCCAGTCCAATACTGAATTCGGTTCCGGATGCCTTTTTTTTGCGCACAGCGCAAAGCGTCTGACACGCATCGTGCGTTGCAGAGAAAATGGCAGCCGAGTGCAATGAGAAACACGTGTAGAAACGTACGCAAAAACGCACGCCCAAAGGAACCTTTAACCACATTTACATATACATATACATATACATACATACACATACACATACATACACATACACATACACATACACATACACATACACATGCACATACACACACACATACACACATACATACATACATACATACATACATACACTCAGACATACAGACATACAGACATACATACAGACACACACACACACATGCATGCACGCATGCATGCATGCATACCTACATACATTCATACATATACACATACACTTACACATACACATATACATATACACATATGTATATATATAACATGGGCTTGTACATAAGCATGTTCGTGTGTTTTTACTGTGATGCTATTTGGGACGAAGATCCTACCCGACCAAAATACATTTTTTTTGCTGAGGGATGGGCGGTTAAAAACATGGGCCGAGCAGCTTCAGCACCGGTTTTTCCTAAGGGCAGCATCTGCGAGCCCGGGAGAAATCGTCCCGTTGCCACAGAAGTCTAGAGATACGCTGCTGCAGGAGAGGCTCATTGATCGATGCATACAGTGCCATGAGATGCCATGAGCAAGCGGCTATGGTCAATATGCTTCAAATGGAATTCTGTGGGAAAAAAACACAATGTCATCGCATCATGTTATCACACCCGATCCACTCCATATCGCATGATATCACACCCTACTACTGACCAGTTCTAATCAATTTGGTCCCAAAGTTGGACAGTCAATAGTTGCGCCAAACCCTCCTCTTGAAACGCTTGAAATCCCTGAAAATGAACATGTTGTTTTTCTCCTACAAATAGCAATTGTCGCTTCGATCACCTCCATCTTCAATTTTTGGGGCAGTTGTGTGAGGAGTGCGGCGGTTTGCTGCATTTCTTGTGGCTCACCAACAGGGCCTTCGACAAAAGCTCCGTGGCTTCGTGCTAGGATGTGGTAAGGTAAGGGTTTGGAGTGCTGTGTTGGCATCAGACAAGGGCCTAGGGTGAAGTGCCAGCGGGTACCCTTTTGCCTGTGGGTCACGATTGGGTCAAGTTAAGATTAATAACCCCCCGGAAGGTAGGTACCTAGGGAGGTTCTGCTAAGGTTCAACCCCCAATTTGTAGTCATAAGATATCAATTTCGAATTGATACCAATCTACTTTCAATTGATTTTCCTTTTTAAGCGTAAGAAACCGAAGCTCTGTGTAAAACTATGTAAAACTTGAAAGGGGTGCTGGTCAAAGCATGTCACTGCATGTGACAGAACCAAAAAAAAACAGGATTTCTTGTGTCGTGGTTGGTTAATCGGGTGATTCCCTCCACCCGTTGATTAATCAGGGGGCACCAACCCAGTTTAGTATTGCCGAACCATTTTTCCTGTGTGGTGGTTGATTAATCCCTAATAGATTTATAATCCTAACTTGGCATTATTATCATTATTTCAAAACAATAGATAACAATATATAACAGTATATAACAATATATAACAATATATAACAATATATAACTATTATATTATATTATATTATATTATATTATGTGTGTGTATATATGCGTTACTACTGAGCGAAATCAGACTCTTCTGGTTACCCTGGACCTTCAAATCTTGGCCATCAAAAGTTGTATTACATGGTTTACATGTATGCGTCCTGAGTATGTTGGTGCCAGCCTAAAGCGGTTGTAGCTTCCAAAGTGACTGGGTAAAAATCTGAACGCTTAGGCGGTGTGAGCAGCACAAACTTCGAGGAATCCTTTGACTTCGAAAGCGCGAGGCTTGCACGGTTCATGCTTATTGCTGGATGATTTCTTGATATTTCTTGTGTTTTCGCAATGTTGCCAGACATGTTTGGTGGTGTGAGCTGCACCAGGGAAGTGCGGCATGTGGTTCACGGCCGGCCTTTTGGCAAGTTCGGCGAAGTAAAATGCTCCTGGCTGCGGGTGGCCTTGAAAGGCATGAACGAGCTGGAAATGGATGAAGGTGAAGGCGGGGTGGGTCAGCGACTGTGCGCTGCCCCGTTTTTTCATACGCAGTAATTGCGTGATACTTTGTGAAAGAATGGGAAAGAATTGCATGAAATAGGATGAAAGAGGAGCATCCAAAAAAATATACAGTAACCTTGGTTCTGATTTCAATCTGGGTTTCTCATGTGCTTGGCCTTCCATGGCTCGGCTGTTCGGGCTCGATGGATGAAACAACCTAGGTGAGCCCATTACAACCTACCACGGGACGAGGTGGCCGAAACTGCCATGGGTTTTGAAAGACCGTTGCCTCAAGAGCGGTCCCCGCGAAGCTGGGGGGAAGAACGGAGTTTGGACATCTCCTGTCTTCAAAACAGCAGCCACTGGTCCCAAATGGGGTGCGCGATTTCGTGTTTTTCCCGACTGCGTAGCGAAGGGTTCTCGTTTTACTTTGGGGGTCTGGGGTTGGGACGTGTTCGCTCGACGCCGCTTGCAACCGTCCAGAACCGTCCGCAACCGTTCGCGACGAGTTCGCTATGGCCGTGCCTCTGGCGGGTGCTGCAAAAGTGGTAACTTTTGGATGTTTCGAACTTCGCGCCGCGTCATTTCGTGCCGCAGGCGCGGCACTTAACGTGACATCCCAACATGTTTCGATTCATAACGCTTCAAGTCGTTCTGTATGACAGGCGCGATCTTTAGCATTAGGAAAATTCGTTGGAAAACGTCGATTTTGAAGCTACAAACTGAGAAAATTTGAGGAAGTCTTGTACAAAATGCTCGTTTTGAGCTTCCAGCATGTCTCGTCTTGATTCTCTGGTGTTCTTGTGGCATCGCTGTGCCTATGGGGGAAGCTGCAAAACCTACAGTATCATTTTTGAATATTTTTGAAGGACTTTGAAGGTTTCAAAAGAGGTTCTAATGTGTTGTTTTGCGTGGCAGGCGTGGCACTTCGTGACATTCTGACGCGTTGCATAACGTGTCTAATAAAGTCGTTCCCTTTGGGGGGGCGGCAGGCGGAACACTTTAGACGTGTCCATCTTCTTTCGGGTGGCAGGTGCAGGACTTTGGACGTGTGGTGAGTGTGGTGTCTGTGGTGTTGCCTGTTTTTGCGAAAAGTGGTGAGAACGTGTAAATTGTGTGGCAGGCGTGGGATATCGTGAGATATCGTGAGGGTACAGATCCGTCGTGTGTGGAATGTGCCAGGCGCAGTATTTGGATGTATTTGGGACACTCTGCCCTTTGGACTTTACACTTTACACTTCACACTTTCCTTACGCTCCACGCTCCACACTTTACACTTCACACTCTACACTTTGCAGTTTGCACTCCGGACTTTTTCTTTACACCTTACACTCCGCACCCTACGCTTTACACTCTACACTCTACACTTTACACTCCACACTCTACACTACACTTTACACTCTACACTTTACACTTGACGCTGCGCACTCTACACTTTACACTCCACACTTAGCACTTTACACTTCACACTTGACACCCTGCACTCTACACTCTACACTTCACACTCTGCACGCTACTCTTTACACTCCTACACTCCACTATAACCTTGACACTCCGCACTCTACACTTTACACTCCGCACTCTACACTTTACACTCCACACTCTACACTTTACGCTTTGCATTCCACACTTTACACTTCACACTTCACATTTGTCTCTCCACACTCTACACTTTGCACTTTGCGCTTCGCACTTTACACTTGGCACTCCGCACTCTACACTTTCTTCTTTAGACTTTGCGCTTGACACTTGACACTCCACACTCTGCACTTTACATTCTACACTTTACACTTCGCACTCCACACTCTACACTTTGCACTCCACACTCTACACTCCACACTGAACTTTCCACTCCACACTCCGGACTTGACAATTGACAATTGACACTTGGCACTTGACACTCCACACTTTACACTTTACACTCTACACTTCACACTTGACACTCTACACTTTACTTTCCACTCCACACTCCACACTTTACACTTTGCACTTTACACTCCATGCAATGCACTCCACACTCGACACTTCACACTCCACAATCCCCACTTCATACCCTACACACTACATTCCCCGCTCAACACTCCACTCTTTACACACCACACTCTGCACTCCGCGCTCCACAGTCTACACTGGTACGGGAACAGGGGAAAAAATGCACATAAATTATCATGAATTTACAAAACTGTTGAAACAACTTGTCTCACAAGAGTGTTTTACGTGACTGCATTCGGGTTCGTTGGTTGCTCTTGTTTTTTTTTTTGCACCACTAGACCATACTAGACCCTTCTTTCGGGATATGATGATCAAAGCCGTTGCTGATGTGCCATGAAATGATCCGGAAAGTACAGGCGTCGAATCGTCAACCAACTCACCGTTAGCTTTGGCGGGGCCCCCAACCACAAAGCAGATCCAACAACCGCAGACAAATCACATACAATCTCTCTAGGCAAGTGATCGCTCGTGAAGATATTTCTCAGTTCATTTCGATTGAACCAGGTTCGGTTTTGGACTTTGTCCAAAAATCTGGATACATGATGCCATTGTCATTCCTTTTTGTTTTTTTTTACTCAAATTTGTAGCCTCAGTAGCATTTGTTTCACATTCATTGCGATGGATTCACATGGTTACGGTCCTTCCAGTGCGCTTCCCGTTGCGGGGGAGGATGGGGAGATGCCAATGTCGGATGAGGACATTGGTGATGAATTGCAGAAATTGTGGGACAATATGAACTTGGATCATGTCAAGGCTGTTGAAGTCGACTCTCCCACGACTATTTCTTTCGAGGTGTATTTGATCCCAGAAGCGCGCATCCCTTCTGTGTCCGTCAGCGAACCAGACCCAGGCTCCGAGATCCCCCAAACACACGAGTTCAGAGACTTGGAGGTCTCCACCATGGCTGGAAACATCATCAAAATCCAAGTCGCTCCGGACTCTAGCGTGGCCATGGTGAAGGATGCTTTGCAAAAACCTTTGGGCATACCTGCGCTGCTGCAGCGGATAGTCCTTTCAGACAAAGAATTGGAGGATTCGGAACAACTTCCTCCAGAGGTCACTGTGTTGACTGTTTTGCGCCGCGAACCACCTCCCATCACTACGGAAGAGTTCTTGGAAAGCCTGGCCTTTTGTGTTCATGATTGGAACGGCACCCTGGTGTCCAAATGGCATCGATTTGATAGCTATTCCAGCTTTCCAGTGACGAAAGACGAGAGGTTTGAATGGTTCCGCAACTTCCAAAAAATGAAGCACACCGCCTTCACGGTCGAACACTTTCTGACGTCCCTGAACGTATGGTTCCACGAAAACAGCAGTGATGATGGACAGGAAGTAGTTCACCCTGAAAGTTTTTTGACAGATGTGCGGAAGTTGCAAGGCTTTCTGGAGCAGCATTGTCACTCTCCATCCCTGTTCCAGGTCTATGAAAAGACTTACCTTCACAACGACGATCAGGAGTTCGTGTTGTTCATTGCAGGCCGTCTGAAAGAGGCATCTGACACTCTGATGGTGGCAGCTGTTCACCTGAATTGTTGGATCTGATACTCGTAACTTTCCAGGCCAAAGAGCCGACCAAGCGACAAAAAAAGCCAATACTCTCGTGAAAATCATCTTGTTGCACCCCTATGCCACATATGCCACTGCAAGGATTTTTTTCTTTGGGTGAGCTCCGACAAAATATTGGATCCTGGGGGCCCAGGAAACCTATGCCTGGCCGGAGCCATTGGGCAGTGCAGCGGCGCCATACTTTGACCCCTGGGCTCACCTGGATCCGCAGGGATTTGCCGCGGCCGGAAGTTGATCAAGTGGGCAACAGAGCAGATTTAAGTCTAGTGACATCTAGTGACTATCCAATATATAGAATATATATATATAATTATGAATTTTATAACTTATAACACATTGCGCAACTAGAATGGTAGATGGCTTGCGGATGGTTGTGGATGGCTGCAGTGAGATATATTCGGAGCCAGTCCCATGCTAGGCTCACCCGCACACTGCAGGAGGATACCAGCGAATCAGATGATCGGTTCCAAGCCGTTCTGGAGTTGGAAGTGGTGCAGTGGCGGCGGCACTCAAAAAGTGTCCAGCACTCAGCTTCCATTCATCTTCCCTACGCCACTCATGTCGTGCTACTATGTTAATATCATATAATATCATGTCAATGCCTGTCATACCCAATTTGCAGAAGTACCCGGACAGCACGATCACATTGGGGGCCAGTTTCATGGACACCAGTGGCCTCACAGACATCATGTACATGCACGTTACAAAGCTCTTGACAGCAATCGGATTTGCGTGCCAGAACCTGAGGTCTATGTCACAAATGATGAAAGAAAGGCAGCCTTGACGGCCGTGCATGTCAGATGCTGGAGAAGAGGTGCGGAGGATCATGCTGAGCTCAGGCGGGGCAGGGTGTCTACGAATTCATACGAATTAATTGTCATGGCCCCTGCTTTTTACCTCGCTATATTATTCAAGACCCAGGATAATGAACCCTGCCCCACATCCAAGCACAATGGGAAGGTCCTTGTGATCAATGGCCCCATCTCTGGAGGCAGGCATATTTCCCGTCCTCCTTCATGCCGAATGGCGGCCGGCTTTGGTTCGTCGCAGGCACCTTTGACCTTTGCGCTAGCTCTGGCATGTTGTGCTTCAACATAAACTTGGAATCAATACCCTCAATACCCCCAAAAACTCAAAACACCAGCATTTCTTGAATGCCCGTGTTCTGCACATCCGCAAGTCTCTGTACTAAGCGAAATCACCTTCTCCCGTCCTTCAATGCGACAGGAAGCGAACCAGAGTGGTTGGAAAAGGAGAAGGGGGAGCTTGCGGATGGAACTGCTGCACAAACACCCAAGCGCCCCAAGAAAAGGAAGAGCATTCAAAAAGCACCAGGACCAAAAAAGGATCCTGAAGACTCACAGCTGCAAGGAAGGGCCCCACCCCCTTGGTGTCAGATGGTGGCAGAAGGTCTCCATGAAATTAGACACATTCACGCAAGGAGCAGTTCAGGTGTGAGGATGGGGGCACTGTGTGAACGAGCTCTCTTCAGAACATAAACTCAAGCCTGCAACAACAATACTGGAGCAACAGGGTCAAGTCTGACAAGTACGAAACCCAGGAATTGTATGGAATTGTCATAATTAGAGCAGTTCATAGGGTCCCCATTTTCAGCCAAGGACGAAGCAGACCCTGAAGAATCCAATGCTGCCAAGAAGGCACAAAATGCGTTGCTGATTGATGCGGCGTATGCTCACGCTTGTATGTCTCATGTTCCAGTTGATGAGGTGTGTGCAAGCTTAAGCAATGGGATGTGCCCACCAGTTGCCATGTTTGAACACCCAAGCAGTCCAGTGGACGTAGTCAAACCCCCTCACTCACGTGTAATTATGGAGTTCAGAGCGTTTGTTTGAAGGTAATCTTATGACGCTATGGATATCAAGCTTTGAGATCTTTTTTGTCATTGGCTGATGTCATTCATCGGTGAGCATGAGCAAGAAGCATTCTGCTCATGTCTCAAAGGATGCAGGTTGACTTAGTTACCTGCAGTGCCATTTTTTAATGCCAGTGATATATCGTGCGATTGTGCCTAGAATGTCTAGAATCATCAGGACAGTCCATTATGTTCCATTATGTGCTCTGGACTCTAGACTTGCAGCGTTGGCATCTGGGCCAAATTGCCAAAGGTCTCCGGTTCAGCGAACGATCCAAAGATCGGAAGGACAATCTGGGGACAGATGGAAACGACCATGCCGGCTGGTGAGCTTCGCGACAAGCCCCATGGCAAAGGACATAGCCTGCCCACATCCTCGACTGAACATGCCAGACAATCTAAAATAATCTAAAATCTAAAACAATCCCAAGCAAACATAAACAAACGGCAATTTTGATTAAACTGGTGAACTTTATCATTCTCATTCTTTACTTATTCTGTATACCGCCGGAGTCCACAAAATAAAATCACAGACACTGACGATCTATGGATGAAGAGGCATGTTGCAAGTCAGGCTATGGAAATACCTCTGGAGTCTGGGCGAAATCCGACGAATGGGATCTGCTGTCAGCGTTCTTGCATGTGGTTTTTGCCTGCAATGGAAATCTCACTTGGCTATCTGGACTTTTCTTTCTTGGTGCTGATGGATATAATTGAGAGCCACCATGAACCACCCCAAAATGACAGCTGATTTTTAGTGTGAATCCTTTCTAAGGTGCCCAGATACAATACTCTATATTATGTTATATAATGTTATATGATATATATATACACATCTTTGATCTTCTCATAAAGTTTCCTATTTTCTCTGCGAGGCGCACCTATGGCAGTGCAGTGGAGCAGGCCTCCACGAAGCCAGGGCCGAAGCCTGAAATCTTCCTGGTGCTTTGGCTCGAGGAAGCGCTACGGCGTTTGTTGCAGGCATGGGCGGCATGGGATGATAGGGGGATGGTGGGATGGACACAGATGGACCAAGCAATTAATTAAGAAAAAGAGGGGAAAAAAACGGGCGCCCACTAGGAGAATCAGTGAGCTTGTCTTAGGTATGCCTTGGAGGAGTGATCTCAATGATAGTTATGATAGCCTTCTGTTCGCCTGTTCCGCATCTGCAGCGGTCAGGCTTCCTGGGGCTCTGAGCTGCCGGGACCTTACAGCATTTGGTTTCAAAAGTCAGAACCTACACGACCTGCGACTGCCAGTGGCTGGCAACATCATTTGGTTTGTGATTCCATGTGATTCCAGTTATGACAAGTATATATATATATTATATTCTTTATATATGATTATATATAGAATTATATAGATATGCGCATAGTATAGGTTGTAATAAGCTACAATATGCAGATGCAGGCAAGTCACATTTTGGAGCCAGCGCTCGACTCATCTGAGTGCAGGTTGCAGCCATCAAACTGCATACAGATTGTCGAAGCCATGAAGCTCATGCTGCAAGCGGGCCTTGTTCCAGATTCTTGGCAAAGCCCAGGTGGAATGTCGTGAACGGTGAACAACCTTCAGCAGCACTGACTACTTGCCATGTAAAGACATATTATGGAATCAATGTCATATATATTATATAATTATATAAAATAATATAATGCGATTTACATTGGGTCTCATTCAGAAGCATTCCGCATTAAACTGGCGGGACACGGACTCAATTTGACATCGTTTCATCGCTTTGGCCATCCTTTGGCTCCCAGAGGGTGGGGCAGCCTACATCAACCATCCCCATCACTCCCAAGGATCAACTGGATTCTGCTCCCCCACGTCGCTGGAGTCAGCAACTGCAAGACCAGCTGCACGTTGCGCTTTCCGCCAAGTTGCGGGAGCAAGGATCCAATGGGATTCCTGCAGAGTAACCAGCTGCTTCCTGGGGCTGAAGATCTTGATCTTGAAGTTGTGTAGGGGAAACCCGATGGTGATGGATGCACATTTCATAGTGTCGGAGGCAAAAGATGATGGTCTTGTTGTGAAGAAGCCATGTTTTGATCAGACATGAGCAGACTTTGATAGACTTTGTAGTCCTTGTTCTTGAACTTGTCATTGAATTCATCGGTACTGTAGCTACTCATTCGATTTGGACTTGTACTTGTACATGGACAGAAACGGATTTCTTGACTACTTTCAATGGGAATTTCAGGATCCTAAAATGGAGGTACTGTACCATATAAGACAATTTTTTGTGGGGATATTCCCTTACATAGGCCTTATATATGGTAGGTACCTCCAATTTAGGTTCCTGAAATGGCCATTGATACTGTGGTTCCTTGTTTTCCAGCCTACTTGGAGACCACATTGAGACCACTGCAACCTACAGTATGATGCAATCAGTAGACACTCACGATTGTCGTCATGGTTTCCTATAATTATGACTCTTGTCCAGGGCGACGACACACTCACACAGTCACAACATGTCGCAACCCTAGTGCCCACATAGTGGTTGTTGTTGTTGCACGGTGCCAGATGGACCAGTATTGTCGTCGATGATCCAAGCTATAGACAGCTATAGCTCTATATTATGCTTTGACTATGCTTTGACTACATTATGCTATATTTATGTGTGCAGCCAGCGACTCCATTCGGCGACCCGACTTCACTGCACCAAAGTTCAAGTGCGGTATTTCTTGACATTTCTCAGCCTGGATACGGGCAAAAACTCAGGAGTTTGGCTTCAATGCAGTTGACACGTGCTGAGCGATAGATATCTGAAACCCTTTTCATCCCTTTTCCATCCATTTTTCTTGTAGATATTTTCGAACGATTTGTGCTTTTTCAATCTTCTTCACTTGTTTTCAATGATTTTCAATCATTGTCACTTGTTGTCAAAAAATCCAAAAATGCTACTGCGGTCGGCATGATGCAGTTGAGCGCCAGAACGCAAGCATCATGCTGCGGCCACGAAGCCCCAAGTGCTGAAGAGCGGGCTTGAGCCACGCTTCGGGCGCGGAATGGCGCCCAAGACCCAGATTGCTGGGGAAGAAGAGCCACCAGCGAAGGCAGTGGTCAAGAAGCAACGCAGACTGTGTGGGTATGTAAAAGGATCATTATGTATATTGTATCATTATGTATCATTATGTAATGTGTATATAAAGACATAAATATTATATTCATTAAAGATCATCATCCCTTGAGCCAAAAGTGTTTGATGCCTGTGAGTGCGTTTCGGCATGAGCAAGTCCATAGAGCTGCTTCATGTTGCTTCAAGATGATGTCTAGAGTACGTGACGGTGCCTGCAGGTTGCCAAGACCAGCCATGAAGGACCTTTGCAATCCCTGGCAAGCTGTGAGCATTGGAGCAGTATAATGATCTACTATAGGTAGAAAGATGAGTCCATAAAAAATAATGATAATAATGCATATATAAAGTGGATTGAGATGGTAGCATGGGACATTGTGATGGTCACCCCCAGGAGTGGCTGACGAGCTGGAAAAGGATGCACTGAAGGACCGATCATGCGCTTGGTCGCTTGACCGAAGAAGCTCCACTCAGTCCCCACTGGGTCCCCACAACCAGATGCTGGCCACTCCAGGATGCGCGACCACGAATCGCCGAGACAGTGGGAATGGTGACGGAGGATAGCACTCTTAATGTCATCCCCACAAGTGGTGGCAAGGCACACGATAGCCCACACTCGTGGTGTCAAGTCGCGTCGCGTCAAAGGGTCGTGACGGTTTTGTATGCACCAGCTCTGCATGGTGGCCAGTGGTTGATGGATTTGCTGTAGACTGTAGATGCATTTAGCATGATTTTACATGATTCAACGTATGAATATGTATGAATATCAACCACTTATGCTTGATTAAATGGTTGATGAAATTCTTCAGTAAATGGTTGATGTACTGTAACATGATTCAACATGATGTTTCATTGACGCCCGATGGAGGTCCTGATGGGCTTGTCCGATGCGGGATTGCAGTTCCTGGTGGCGGCTTCCCGCGCCAATGTTGGAGTCAAGTCAGGGAGGCCTCTGGGCAGCAATGAGATGCATTCTGTTTACATATACGTTGTAAATGAAGCAACATCAAGAATGGATGATTCAGATGATTCAATGAAGCACCAATAATATCCAATAATTATACAGAATCAAGTGTAATCAAGTATCTGCAAAGGAAGAACATGACAAGCACATTGAACACAAAAAGCACTGTGACGTGTCGATTTTCATCGATTTTCCATTGGAAGGTACATGTTCGAAGTCCGAGTTGTGGAGGTCCTACTGCCAACCATGCCAGGCCGCATTTGTGGCAGATGCAATTAGATCCTATTATATCCTATTATATATATATATATTTGTATATATAATGCTTTATAGGTATCCATGACTGATCCATGATACCATCGTTGAATCGTTGATCCATTTGGGGATGTGAACTATCACCAATGATACCATCCCGATGCCAGGAGGGCGAATGGCCCCGCTGCAGCCAATTTCTCGGCAGCAGTGCCGGGTCGGTTTCTCCAAGAAAGGCTCCTCGCTATTTCTTGGAGAGACAGAATCTTGGTCAGCGTGCGGAAGAAGTGTGGCGGGCAAAGAATGCCTTCAAGTGGCAAGAATCAGTCAAGATGTCATGAATACTATACTCACATACTGATTTTGAGAAAAGCAGGTAGGTCTTCCATGACCACACCTTTAACAGGCCCCCACTTCCAGAAAGAAGAAGGACAAGGACAAGGACAAGGGCAAAGCAATTTTACCGAGCGCAACTGCTCAGCCAATCCAGCTGAGGAAGACTCAGTCTGCTTCGATTCAGATGGCTGCTTCATCAACAACAAGCACAAGACCAACGTAGCAGAAAGGTTTGTCCGTGACAACGTTTTTGGGGTTCTCCTGAACTTGGACCCAGCCCCTTGGATGCTTTTGGCACTTGGACCATGCTACATGCCGAACCATGCCGAAGCATTTTGCCATCTCGACTCACAGGCCAGCCCAAATGCGAACACCATCAGCTTGTTCAAAGACGGCCGACGGGCATCTCGCAGCAAAAAATCAGCAGCTTTTCCTTTTGTAACCTGCAGCTTAGAAAGGGCAGATGGATGCCGACATGTCATTTTCATTCATCTTCAATGTTTGCGTTTGCCGGCGACCGGTCCTTAAACTTTGTTGTCAAATAGCTCGTGGTCCAAACACGCAGAGAATGAAAAAGACAGCTAGAATGAAAATGAATGAACATATGCACGCAATTGCACGCACAAATGTCACTTTCTCATTCTAGGACTTGACTCGATGTGGAAGTCACACCAGGTGTCGAAGCCACAGCCGCTTCCTGAAGGGCTTGTTGGCCACGCCCTGTTTCCTCACGTTTCCTTCAGAAATGTGACTTTGCAGGCGCCTTGCGGGTAAGACATGGATGCAAAGATATGGGCTGAGTCGAGATATTAAATTATATTTGTAGATACTTGTATCAACATACTGATATTAACAAGCCAAGTGTCATACAGATTTTAGGATAAGGATGGATAAGGTACATAGCTTCAGTCAACAGAGGAGTGCCAAAGGTAGAGCTTCTGACTAAACGAGCCGTGCTTGAATCACCTTCCAGCTTTGACAAGGTGCACTTCGGACCTGGCCTGATTGCACCAGTCCCATTTGAGTGCTGCACCATTCAGGACCAGGGATAGACCATGGAGAAGCAACCCAGAACCTCCAAGTGAACACTCCAAGTGAACATATGGACAATACTCATTTCAGCAACCTTTGCGAAGCTAGTTGGCCTATACATTCTGTGAGACTCAAATGAATGCACTGTCTGCAAGCCATCCTCGGCGTCTCTATTTGAGGGAAGCAGGTTTGCACAAAGTGAGAGATACGAGAGACTTGCACGACTATGTCACAAACCCGCCAAGACAGCTTTCCAGGAAGCAGCAAAGGAAGATGCAGTAATAGCATCCTCGAGCTGTAGCCAAGATGGCAAGTTTGAGATCCTGTTTCCCATTGCACTTCCAGATGAAGGACTGGAAAGTCATGGGCCGTGGGCATGTGACGTGGCAAAAGATGGTGGATGGTGTTGGTCACACACACACACACACACATCACTCCGCACCATCCTGCAGGAACCTTCGATTGGTTGGACGACTTCTTGGAGAATCATCCTGGGTACACTGAAGTCAGTGTGCCTTTGTTGCAGTTAGTTGGAATCCAAGCACATACCACAAAGAGCAACCACTCTGCCTAGGGCGATTGATTCCAAATTCTTCAATCAAATCATCACATCCAAGGATCGAAAGATTGTGGAATGGGCTACAGGAAGTGGTCTGGGAAAGCCCAGGACCATGCGGGTACTGGATGACCGTCGGATATTGCACATGAGCTACAGCCAAAATTTAGGTTAATGGAGAGTAGTATTCGAGACATCTCTATTTTTTGGAAATTGAGCTGGGGCTTGGAAAACGATCATACACTCTTCAAAAATTGATGACTTGGAGCTATATACCAAATATTGACCGTGGCCCGCATAGACAAGTAGGGCAAAGCAAAGTGGTCCTAATGTGGTCGTTGAGGGCCCCGAACAAACCCATCTTCATGATCTTCATGGGCCAGTCAGATTCCAATCAAAGCCTTGGCTGGCTTCAACCTGCGAATCACCACGTTCTTCATGGGTAGATGACAACGCTGGTTGATGCATTGCTTCAGAGGTAGCTTTACCATCTGACATCCATTTTCAAGGGCATCTTGCAGTTCAGAAGCATCAGTACCGAGAATCTGCTGGTCATGGTTCTCAAAAGGCCAGCAGCTAGTCTCCAAATCTCCACTTTGTTTGGACTGGCAGGACCACATCCTTGAAGAACAGCAACGACAAGCCCGACGTCACCTTCGGAATTCAGGCGCTTGATGAAATGACTCCGAGTGTCCTGGCGTGGTCATGCTGTGGAAGATTTGAGCTGATTCTTGAAATATTCTAAAGATTTCTAAAGTTAAAGATTCCACAGTTCCATCCAAATCCCTCCAAATCCTATGAGGCTTCCTTTGGACGTGTTGGACACATTTTGACAGGTCAGTTTGGATGCGCAAAAGATCCCACGAGCTAGGCAGTGCACAGTTTGCATGAGCATGGTTCCAAAATGTTCCAAGGAAAACTTCTCTACACCATAGCCCCTTTGATTCCGCGGAACTACGTGGTGATGGAAGTGAAATCCAATCTTCTGAAATCTGAACGACAGGACCTTTATCATTTGGATATTGGGTGATTGGGGATGTACAAGTTGAATCAAGTTGATCTAGCTTGGTCTTATGAAGGGCAGTGTGGGGGGTTCAAGCCGCAGACAGATGAGCCCCCATAAGCCTGGTCACCATGGTGAGAAATGAGCTGTCCTGCATGGACAGCATCATGGCCTCATGTCTTAGCTAATCCTAGCCATCCGGCTTGACCGAAGCTAATAGCTGCGGATCGCCATGCCAATGCCCGACCGGACCATGCCGTTTCGCACAGGTCGCTGTGCACATCGGCCTGGGCTGCAAGGTCTAAGCGATCTCCTTCCGGATGGCAGTGCCAAACCTGTGAAGTCCTGGTGCCACAGCTGGAGGTTGAGGCTACCATGTGGGGTCAGGCAACGAGAGTGCAAGATGTACAAAGGCATCAGTCAGAATGGGCTGAGTACATGCAGGCGCTACAGAGATTGCAACACCAAGGCCTTTCACTGGAATCGGCCATGAATGGCCGATGGCAGCTGTTTCCAAGGAGTGCCATCAGTCAACAATGGAACCTAATCCTGCATTTGCTGGATGCAAGCAGCGGATGCGATCCCACTCTTGGCAGCCTCGCCACAACCTTGGCCAAGAGCTCTCGTTGGCATTTGTCAAGCCATTTGCTGCAATCATTCTTGGCAAGCAACATCAAACCAGGCTGGATAAGAGATTGAGACAGATCAGACAAGACAGATATGAGGGGTGGACGGAGGGACCCATGGACAGGCAGCGTGAAACGGATACTGAACTCCACACCCTCTTTAGAAAAGTCCTTTGCTACCGTCGACACTACTTCTTTAAAACTGCTAGCCAGAGGTGGGCGACCCTGCCACTTGTGTTTTGTTTGTCAAAAATATGCTATCTTTTGTCCGTCGTCAATAACTGATGATTATTATTGATCATTATTTATTCATCCATTACTATCACGTATCATTACTGCACCCGAAAAACTTTAAATGTCCATTTTTCGTTGTTCCGCATGATTTGCCATTCTGATTCCCAACATTTCCATTACATTTCCAACATTTCCCAAGGCATGGTATTCTGCAGCAGTTCCATCAGCTGTGCCAAGCGCTGGCCTCTGGCTTTGGAACGGATGCGTTTCATGTCGAAGCTCGGCCGGACGCCCAATACGGTGTGTTGCAACGCTGCCATGGGCGTCTGTGAGAAGATGAGCAAATGGCAGCAGGCCATTGCGATGATGCGCCACATGCCCCTTGGATCCCTTGGCCGATTGGCCAATTGTATAGCCGAGCAAATGGCAATGTACATCATATTATTATAATTTATTATATATTATTCATATTTTCGAACATATTACGAGGAAAACACTGGCATTAAAACGAGATAATTAGTATGATGAGTTGTCTCATGAGAATGAACTACTAGTATAAGTCAACATGATGTTACTGTTCTATGCTGCGCATGCAGCGGAATCAGCTTGATTCGATCTGCCTAACTGTTCAAACATGGGGATGCCATGTGATCCCCAAGTGACCAAATCTAGAGATGCCCGAAAGATATATTTTATTTTTATTTTATCCATCGTTTGCTCAGAATATGTGTGCCTGTGTGCCAGAGAACGCCGGTGTGTGCACCAAGGGTGTGCAGTTTGTCTTCCAACCCTTTCCACACGCTCCATTTTTGGAGCCAATGGGGCCATGTTCGCAGCCTAGGAAGGAGCCTCAGGGGGCAGATGTGATCACATACAACAGTGCAATCAGTGCATGTGCCAAGGCTGGCAAAACGATGCTGGCACTTGAATTGCTGCAGGTGCTGGAGCGCCAACGAAGTAGCCCCAATGTGATCTCCTACAGCAGTGCCCCTTGGCCTGGACATGCCTGGACATAAAACTTGGCACCCAGCTTTCGCAAAAGGATGTGGGGTGAAGGCTCAGATGTTGGGTTGATCCCGCAAGGTACCTCCCGCCACCATCTTTTTAAAGCTGCCTCCTTCTGATCTATGGCAGTAGTGAATCGGAGTGAATCTTGAAGCAAGGTGGCAACCCAGACCACTGAATTCTGTGACCCCGCTGAGGGTTTTGGACATGTTTGGACATTGGCGACACGTTGGACTGTTACATTGTTACATGCACCGCTTTCAAGGCCATCAGTGCATGTGAAAAACATGGCTCCTGGGAAGAGGCCCTCCACCTCCTGTTTTCCATGGGATCCAAGCGCATCAGCCCGAACGTTGTCAGCTATAGCAGCTCCATCAGTGCATGTGAAAAGGGCAGCCAATGGCAAGTTGCCTTGCACCTCTTGGACTATATGAAAGTTGTCGGAGTAACTCCAAATGTTTACAGTTTTAGCAGCGCAATCAGCTCCTGCCAGAAGGTCGGAGAATGGAAACTGGCTCTGGAGGTGTTGACTTCAATGGCTTCAGCCCGTGTTCTCCCAGACGTTTTCACTTTCAGCGCTGCAATCAGCTCCTGTGAAGCTGAGGGTCGCTGGGAAGTGGCGGTGAACTTTCTTGAGGCAATGGGTCATCAGAAGGTAATCCCGAACGTTGTTTGTTTCAGCGCTGCTATGAGCGCCTGTGGCCGGGCTGAAATGTGGCAACAAGCCTTGGCATTGCTGTTCTTAATGCTGGAAGAGATGGTGATGCCAGATGCAGTTGGGTTCAACAGTGCTATCAGTGCCTGTGAGAAGGGTGGTCAGTGGTTGGTTGCTTTGGAACTTTTGCAAATGATGCCAAACACCACCCTGAAAGCCACCAATGTGAGCTACAACAGTGCCATCAGCGCATGTGAAAAAAACGGCTGTTGGGAATGGGCTTTGAAATTGCTTGGAACAATGCCCATGGAGGAGGTGGCAGTGGACATTATCAGCTACAATAGCACAATCAGTGCCTGTGAAAAAGGCGGGCGCTGGGAGGTCGCTTGTATGCTGTTGAATCAAATGGCTTCAGTGCAAATGTTAGCAGATGTGATCAGCTTCAACAGTGCCTTTCTTGCATGCTATCAGTGCGGGCAGTGGCAAAGCGCCATGGACATTCTTTATTTAATGGCATGGTGTGGCTGCCGTGATGGTATGGGACTTGCTTGATGTGACCGAAAACGGCCCACATCAACTGCAAGTCCAACGCCTTGTTTGCTCAGTGAGCCATGCAAAGATTGACTTCTCCTGCTGCCCCTGCTTCCCCGGAATTGGCAGTCCCAGTTTGATCCATTGACTCTGATCAAATGAAAACTTACAGAAGTAGTACTTGCAGAAAGTCATTGCTGCAAGTTGACCTCAACGATTTCCGTATAGCCAGTATATTACTGGTACCATGATGTTCGCATTCATTCCCTGCCTATTTTTGTAGCCGCACGAGTCCGAGTCCGCCAGGACTTGCTGCATCGCTTTGACCTGCCACACTTTCGGCGCGTTGCTGCTGTGGTGGTGGGTGAGCCGCCCGAGAGCTTCAAGGTCAAAGTTCGAGCAGCCGTGCTGGCTGAGAAGCAGGACACGGGCAGGGTCAGATATGCATTGATATGCATTGATACTGTATGCAACAATTATGTGACATATTCCTGAAAAAAGCAGCTGGAGAAAATCGAAGGCGCAAAGCTGTTGACAGTTGATTCAACTCTGTGTCGGAACCGTGTCCTGTAGACACTGTAGACTTTAGACATCTCTAGACGCTGCTTGATTATGGGCAAAATGGGTGCAGGAGAAGCTGGACACAGAGTGGAAAATTCAGAAGGTGTATCTTGCTGCCGCATTGACACTGCAGTGCATGTGTTCTGCTTAGGATATCTTAGGATAGTTTAGGGAAGATGTCAAAATGGCAGGAGCGGAGACGGCAGATGGAGATGCAGCAAAAGCTCGTGAGAGAAAAGATGGAGAAGCAAAAGGCAATGGAGGCATCGGATGCAAGACAGATGCTAAGGTTGGTTTCCTGTTTTGTCATTTGCCAATTTTATTCCTTAATTTTTAATATCTTTTCATTGAATCATTTTAGAATCATTTTAGAATCATTTTAGAATCATGTGCCACCGTGCCACCGGATATTTTGAGCCCTGGTTTTCTTCTTCTGGTGTGTGCCTCGAAGCTGTGCTCTTTCGGCGCGCGTCAGGAGGCTCAGATGAAGATGTTCGAAGCAACCAAGGCATGGTCATGCAACCAAGGTCCAGCGAAAGCAGGTACCAATGAATCCAATGAAAGGTTGGAAAAACATGGAAGACCCCCCCCCCCACATTGAATCTTAAACTTCAACTACCGCGAACTACGAGTCACGCAGTGGACCTAATTGTAGACCCAGAAGGCAGATTGGAAATGAATGGAAAGCCTTCATCGGAATCAGGTATGAGTGGCCCATAAATATGTAATAGATTTTATAGACATATACATATATGAATATATAATATTGCAAACTCATTAGTCATGGAGTCATGGAGTGTGGAGTATGGTGTATACTCCCAACTGCCCAAGTCGTGGCGAAATCCCAAAAATCTTGAAATTAGCTTGGGGGAAGGCTTTTGTGGAAGTCGTGGCGATGCGGCGTTTAGCTTGTGTTTAGGGTAGGTTGCTGTTTTACTATCTTATGTAGACCTAAAGTGGCGAAGCGGCGTTTAGGTTGTGTTTGGGGTAGGGCGTTGTTTTACTATTAGCATAGTGCTTTAATCTTGCTAGTTGCGTTCTCATTGTGTTTGGGATGGTTGCTGTTGGGTTCTGCAGCTACTGGCGTCTTGCTGTTGCTGCGGCTGCTGGTTCGACGGCTGCTGCTGTTGCTGTTTCCGGGTACTTCTACACAACGCTGGGATTATCATCTCTACACTGCCATGGCGGTGTGCTGGGATTCTGCAAATTGTCATTGTTTCGCTACCAGTGATCCAAGGAAGGGCAGGTTTGCGGCTTGCGGGCCAAAGTCCATGTGTGTAGATGCGGGGCTTTTTCCGTACCTCGTTTTGACCTCGTTTTGGACCTCGTTTTTTTCCTTTATCAGAACCCATCCTGCAGTATACAAACTAGGAAAAGGGCCTGCTTCGCGTTTTTGTTTGTGGGCGTCAACAGTGCCCACGAAAAAAGGCCCGTTGGAAACCGGCGTTCCGATGGGATTCGATCAAAAACGAATAGAACATAATAGAACCATGATAGTTTGGTCAAGGCTTGTTAAAGCTAGCGTTTCCAATGGGGAAAGGGGTTTTGCAAGGTCTGTGCCGGGACAGGGGTCGTGGCGAGCGTTTTGATTGGGAATAGCTGTCAAACGCAAACATTGCAAGGACTTGGGCGTATGGGTGTACTACAGTATGCCCTTCAGCGTTCAGCAACCCAACATGTTGCTAGGCGGAAGGAGCTGAAGCGAAGGACGAAGAGGCTGTCAGATCTGTCAGCCGCTGACAGAGTTGAAGGGCAACCAAAAAATGCGGATCTCTTCTCTCAGATCTGTGTTCATTCTCTTCTAAATCATACCCGCAATCCATAGGCTAGAAACAGGCCGGCCGAACTTTCTTGGTGAAGACTTCCATTGCTTCTCTTGCCCGCTCGTAGAGTTCGCCTCTTGCTGCATTTTGCCCTGCAGCCTACATCATCTTCCTGAAATCAAGATGGGGAGATGCCCCATCGAAGTGTGAAGTGTGTTTTGTAAGGAAGGTTGGCAAGACAAAGGGTGGAGCCCATTCTGGAGGGAAAGAGCTTGCTCGTCACGGTTAAGGACCAGAGAAGTCATCCATATCTTACCTCCACACACACACACAGACACACACACGCACACGCGCATGCACACACGAAATCATGTTGTATATATTTGTACTGGTATAATGTATTAATATGATTTAATGATATTTAATATGTAGATTATGTAGTTGTATAAATACATGACATGTTACTGTAATATACAAGGTATGATATGTGTATATTACAGTGTATATGTTACGTACGTAATGTACGTACACACCCAAATGTCACCCATTTTTGCCTCTCTTCCAGCCTGGCTATTTTTAATCATTTTTAGTCTTTGGGACGGCCTCAGAGGTGAAGACAGAAGAGGTCAAAGAAGAGGGCGTCAAGGCGGGGATATCGTGCAGCCCCTTTAGTTGGTATGAAATGAATTCGTTGAAGACATGATACAGATGTGTATAGATAGATATTGCCTACACTTATACCGATTGTTTTCGAATTTGAGAAAGGAATCAGCGAATCTCAGCTGTGGAAGCTTCGTCTCAGCTCCAAGGAGGAGCCGGATGTTGAGATGAAAGAGGAACCACAGGAAGAAGAGCAGCCTCCAGTGGCAGAACTTGATGAAGAGGCGCCATGGCTGGTCTCTCTGGGGGTGGCTCGCATGGGATCCATTCTCAAGCGTGTCCTCCGGCAGGAGCAGAAGCTTTGGTTCTTGCCACGACCTGTTACCGACATGGTGGCACCTGTTTTCAACAGCAACTTGCCATTGTTTGTAAGCAATCGCAAGCGTTGTTCCATAATGTAAAACTGATACGATGTCCGGTGTGATGTTGATATATGTTGATCATCATGACCAGCATAGTACCCCCTCCCTGTTTGGCACCGAAAACTCCAATCAGGTACCTTTGCAGATTTCACACTTCCCACAGATGAAGAAAACTTCACGGAGATTCGCTACGAATGGGCAACAGAGCTTGCAAGCAAGGAGTACATGAGGCTGGCGCCAGATCCTGCGAGATCTTGTCCTAAAGACAATTGTGGCTCTAGCTGAAAGAGTCTGCCGTTGTTTTATAATGTACTGTACAGTAATATATTTCCCCTATATATTTACAGCTTTGATATATTTATATATATGATTATATCTGCAGTGCAGATATATGTTTATATTGTAAACATATATGCATTTTTGTTATATATGTATATATGTACAGTATATGTATGTGGGTGTGTATGTATATATATATACATATGTATATGTACATACATGCATGCATGCATGCATGCATACATACACACATCCATAATATATATATAATTGTGTGTATACGTGTTGGTTTGAAAAGCCCTCCAAGCATCTGCACCACTTTCCTTGACTATATTTTGCAGGTCGTGGATGCAAGCGAAGAAGATCACCAGCCGCGTAGAGGATCTCGTGCCGTCCGAGTGGTTCAACGCCAGAGTGCGGGACCGCAGATTCCTGATGATTCCTGCCGACCGTTGCAAACATAGCATAAAGGAAGTACAAAGAAGGGATAAAAAAAGATGTTGATGCGGCACTAATGTACCAGTACAATATATATATATATTATGATAAAGTACATCGCAGGTCGGGGATGTTCAAAATTGGTCATACGTGCATAATTGCATACATGACAATACAATGCATCATCATTTTTTGCCCTACAGACTAAAGCGAGTAATATCACAGCAACATCATTTGCAGAATAGTGGCAACTAGTCACAATCCTGGTCCTTTGCAAGTTCAGCTCCTGAGACCCCGTCAGAACCACACAGACTGCAAATCCCTTGTTTTGAGTTGGAAATGTGGATCTTCTGGATTTAACACCTGCTTGTGCAAGGGCTGTACTTGTATATCAATAGAAAGACGGCCAAGCACAGTACTCCCCACAGTAGCAGGTGGGCGATTGGTCGAAGTTGTCCAACGAGTGGCAGGTGAAGCAGAAGGACACTGAAACGCCAAAGTTACATCAGATGCCACAGATTTCGCAGCAGCACACGGAGGGCTACAGTAGTGATGCGGCCAGGAGTTTGTTTTGAGGAAGAAACAACCGTTTTCACACCACAGGGTTTAGTTTTTCTTGCGGAAAACAAACGTTTTGCAACGGAAGAAAAGGTTTGTTTTAACAGGGACAAATTAACTTTTTAACCGTAGTGGTACACGCTCGGACTAGGAAAGAAAACCCAGGATCTCTCAAACAGAGGTTCTTGATGGCCAAAAGAAACTTTTTCGCGCCAAAAGGTTAGTTTCCGGGCTCAAAACAAGCCTTTCGGGAAACGTTTGTTTCAAACCCCACAACTCGAAACAATTAGAAACAAACGCAAACACGGCTACTATAGTAGTTTCAAAACACTGAAAACAAACCTTTTTTCGGCAAGTTTAGTTATATAGTTAGTTTGGGGTGAAACGTTTGTTTGAAACTAGTAGGTAGAGAGTTTGTTTCCACCCAGAAAACAAACTACGCGACAAAACTTTAGTTTCCGTTTCTTTTTCCTTGGAACACAAACTTTTTCCGCCCATGTGCCAAGTTTGTTTTGCATCCAGGAATATGGAATAAACCTTAGTTTCCTACGTCCTACGTTTGTTTCCGAGCAACAAACTATTGTTTCAAATAGTTTCTTGTTCCTACAACCGCTGTTTCACCAGTTTCTGGCGGTTTCAAACTTCCTGACTGATGCCAGACAAAGCGTTTCTGCTTGCTTCTTGCAACTACCTCTCGGCCAATGACTCATGAGGCCGCATGTCGGTCTCGCCAATGTCTCATCCGACCGCATTTCGGCCTCGCCATTCTCTCTCTCTCTCGGCCTCGCCAATGCTTCTTCTTCGCCAAGCAAGACCATGCAACTGCATGTCGGCCTCGCCATCCTTTTTCGCGGCCTCGCCAATAACAGCCTTGCCATCCATTTGCTGCATGCGCTCTTGCTCGGCCTCGTATGCAACTGCATGACTCTGCATGTTGGCATCGCCATCCATTTGCCGCATTCTCTCCTCTCGCCCTTGCCCATGACCCATGCAACTGCATGTCGGCCTCGCCATTGTGTTTGCTGCATGGCTGCGCATCGTTTTTCTATGCTATTGAAGCGTTCTGCTCTTTTTTTGGTTCTCACTGATGCATACCCCACTGCTTTCTTGCAATGTAACTCCCACGTTTCCCGCGCTGGTGCTTCTTTTTTTTTGTGCATGCTAGCTACCTAACACACCACTGTCTTTAGGTAGCCTGCACCGCCTTCTTTGGGTAATCTACCTTTTTGTTCTCGAATGCGCCGGCTTTTCAACTACCTTTCTACCTTGTTGGTGTTTTTTGTTGGGCAAAAACAACAACAGGCGCCGCGAAGTTCTGTCGCTTTTTTTTTTGTTTGTGACTCTTAACGAAGACACCGCTTTCTTTAGGTAGCCTACATACTTGTCGTTTCAATGTCTTCTTTTCCCAAACGGTGTGTCCACACTGAAGGGTTCTTATGGTAGGGGTAAAGGCCGGTGCTTGAGCAGGGTGCTCCATCTGGCTGTCGGCATTTTTCCTGTAAAATTTCACATAAAATGGCTCTTGTGACTTGTCCATGTGCGTTTCGATTGGGCAGGCTCGCACAGAGTATGCCGCGCGAGTTTGTCTGTTACTGTTCCATAGCTGTTCCTTGTATCTGGTACATTGACTTCCTACCCCCCACACTGTTTGGGGTCTCTTTCCGGCGTATTTTTTCACAGCAAACCGCGCTTTCAGTCTGTCAATACACGCAACAATCGTTGTCGTTTGTTGTTGTACCCGTACGTAGTGTTTTCGTTCTTTCAGAGCGAGCCGCTTTCTTCAATCTGTCGATAAACATATCAACTTTTTTTTTGATTCTTGCCGGCGGATTTCCGTCCTATGTCCAACACGCACTGTTGCCATTTGCTTTGCGCCAGCCCAGTTTTCGAACTTGTCCGGTGTTCACGGTCGACAGCACACCAAAATGCAGCACCAATTTCCATTGTTTTTCGCTGCCACAAAAACAACTCCAACAACGCTGCACGTGCTGCGCAGCTGGTTTCGAGCATAAACTCACCACTGTCTTGCTCACGTTCTTCTCAAAGCTTGTCACGTTGATCATTCAACATCTGCACAATAATGACACATCGTCCTTCCTTATCGTTGGCTGCAATCCATTCTTTGTAAGAATGGTCTTTCAATACAGTCCTCTTGACTCCTCTCTTGTTCCCGGTTTACAGTGACCATGGCTCTGCGACTTCTGCAGTGGCAGGGTGCAAACTGCGTCTACTGTTGGTTGTTTGTTGTTGTTGTTGTTGTTGCTGTTCTTTATCTTTATCTTCTTCTCTTGCTCTTGTTCTTGTGTTGTTTTCTTCTTTTTCTTCTTCTTCTTCTTCTTTGTCTTCTTCCTCTTTGTCTTCTTCTTCTTCTTCCTCTTCCTCTTCTTCCTCCTCCTCTTGTTCTTCTTCTTCTTCTTCCTCTTCTTCCTCCTCCTCTTGTTCTTCTTCTTCTTCTTTTTCGTTTGCTTCTTTTTCTTCTTCCATTCCTCCTTGTTGGTTGGTTGGTTGGTTGGTTGGTGGGTTGGTTGGTTGCGTGGTTGCCGTGGTTGCCGTGGTTGCCGTGGTTGCCGTGGTTGCCGTGGTTGCCGTGGTTGCCGTGGTTGCCGTTGTTGCCGTTGTTGCCGTTGTTGTGGTTGCTGTTGATGTTGCTGTTCTTGTGGCTGTTCTTGTGGCTGTCTTCCCACAAACGTTTGTGTTGCAGAGGGGGGCCGGCGGTAGGAAACAAACAAACTCTTTCCCTTCGGTTTGGAAACCTTTGTTGCTCCAACTTGAAACTCTGGTTTTGAAACTGTTGCTTCCCGAGTGTTCCGCAACCTCTCCTGTGAACGTTTGTTTTCCCGTCCGGAAACTATCCTTTTCCCAGCCGAAACCTTTGTTTTGGCAACCAGAAACTAACGTTTCAACTCCCTCTTAAAACATCTTAAAACGTTTGCTTTTCCTCCAGAAACAAACCTTTTCCTCAGAGTTAGTTTGTTTCCCCGACCCCCCCCCAGCCACCCAGGCCCCAGGTTTTGAAACTATTATTTTCAATTTGAAAACAACCATACTCGGAGGGCTATATGCGACTATAATATATATATAATATAATTATATATACACGTATATGTCATGATACATCAATATTAATAACATTATTTATAACAATTATTATTGTTATCATTGTTATTATTATGAGTTATGAGTATTATCAAAGTTATATATCTAGCTAGATGTAAACACTTGACTTAAATGCAGTGTAACAGATAGACTGTATGTGTAGACGAAACAAATCCTCCAGCCATCATCCCTCAGCACTTCGCAGGACTTCAAGGCAGATCCACTCAGGCAGCAAGCCGCGGAGCTTCGCGCTGACAAGGCCAGCGTCTCCCTTATGAGATCAAAACCTGTAGTAAGGAATGCACTTGGCTCGTACAAAGGCACGTAAATGCCTGTCGATAAATCAATAAATGAATAAATATATATAATATATATATGCGTCTTCCAATGTATGCAAAATTATTGCCTTTTCAGGAATTATTGCTGGCGGCATTTTTTTCTGCTTCCGAACAGATTTTGCATTTTTCTCTTGTTGCATCTGTTTGCCGGTTTGAAACGGCGAAAAAACCCAACGAAACGGCGAAAAAAATCAAGAACCCAGAATATGGAAACTGAAACGGCAAAAAAAACTGGAAACAGCGAAAATTTAGGCAACCGGCGATAATTATTGATATTATTGCTGTTTCGGATTTCGAGCGATAATTTTGCACAGATGGGTTATCCAGGATATATAGCAGACTATATATAAATATTATTAAATATTATTATATATAGTTATTTATAGTTATGATATATATATATATATACACAAACACCAACACACATGTATATATTTATAAGTAGGATATACTTCCACATGAAATGTCCGAGTTTTTTCTTCTTAGAGTTAGGGGGTTGTGTCTGTATGTTCATGCATGAATAAAAAAATCAAGTCATTCTGTGCATCCCTTTTGGTGCCTGATGTCTTCCATGAAACGCGTTGTCATTGCCGGCCGACTTGTCGCCTTGATGGTGGAACCGGCTTCTCAGTGGGCCATGTGCAGGAGAAGAGATACCACCAGAAACAAGAAAGGGAGAAATCAAAGGACGCTCCGGACGCATGGGCCCATTTCTAGGCTCTTCGCCTTGTGGTCGTCGGCTCAATCCCCAGCCCAGAGTGGGTGCTGTTGAGCTGCAGTGAACATATGTTCTCTAGATCTTTGTTGCCATTCCTTTCCTGGCCTCACATGGCACAGAACACATAGACCTAGAATATCTTGAATATCTCAGAGTTTTGATGAATCTGGTGGTTTCCAACGTCTCTTACCTCCCCTACAGTGCAATATTGCAATATAGATCAAGCGATGATCTCCCTGGACCCCAGGAGGCTGGAAGTGCCGAAGGTGAAGCTGAGGCAGAAGCTGAGGCAGATGGGGTACCTCGGGTACCTCCAAATCATTCAAAAGTGATCAAAAGTGGATCAACTTATAGTAAATCATTGATGACTATCGATGACTACTGATGATGACTACTGTAGTATTGAAACTCAATGGGTTTACATACATACATAGTAATATTGAATATGCCCCACTTTGGAAAATACCCAGCTGTTTTGGATGATCGCTATGCATCACGTCCTTTTTCGAATTGCTTGGCGCCAGGCAACTGCAGATGCTGAGCTCGAGGGCTTTGTCCCTCCGGACGTTTTCACCGTGGACGTCAATGACATTGGCGAAGGCTTTGTCAACATTGGCGGGTTGCGATGGGTGTCCGGAAATTATCCCAAAAAGCATGGCTTGACAGTTGAAATGTTTTCTGCGACATGGGATAGTTGTGATATGTTGTTATATGTTGTGATGGTGAACTATATGTTAAGATCAACCTGCACTCAGCTTGACATTGTCTTAGTCAAATTTCGCATCCCAAATTCTCTGTCCAGGAGAGCCGCTGTTTGCGAACTTCACCTTCGAGGAGTCAATGCTTTGCCATGTCACTTCACCAGTTATCCATGGCACGCCGGCTGGAGCGTGTTGGAGCATGGAAGCGATGGAAGTTGAAGTGGACACCAGGACTGGGCATTGATGAACCTGCGCTTTGAGATATCTTTGCTCATGCAATTCTTCCGACAGGACTGCTCATTTTTGGGAATTTTCATGAATTTTCGGAAAAGTGTGGCAGGGGGCAGTCATTTGAGTCATCTTCACAACTGCAGCTCATGGAAAAATGTCAATTGTGGATTTGCATAGGAGGTGACAGATCCAGAGAGGCCGAGCTGATATCAGCAACTTGCTAATTCGACCCCTTCAACCTGGGCACTGGGCACATTCCAAACTCACAGCAACTGGCCACCTGGGTACGGGTAAGCCATGGCAAACCAATGTAAACCATCCGTAAACCATCCGTAAACCATGGTAACCTATGTGAACATATGTGAACATATGTGAACCATGATGCTAGTTTCTGGAATGTCTGGAATTGATTAATTATTGATTCTTACACCACTCACTTTGGAATTCTGTGGAGGCCAGGCATCCACGAGTCCCACGTCGGCTACTACTACAACCGCTGTTTCAGAAAAGCATTGAACCCGAAGTTGTTTGGTGTCACAACAGCTGCGGAAGTCTGTGTTCCTTGGTGAAAATTTGAAGCCTATGGCGAACTGCCAGCTTTCCTAGTGCAACATGCTGCCAGTACGTTGCAAGCATTTGTTTGAACAAGGACTTCATCAAAGACGTCGTGACGGTCCTGGACAATGGGATCCTATCACCTGTACTGACTGAAGAACAGACTGCCGACCTGGCACTCTGGCACTTTATCCGGCCAGTGAAGCTAGTGATTTCAGACGTGTTGCTCTGGGATTGCTCTGAGGAAGGTAGCCTTGCACAAGATGTTGGAATGTATTTCATTTGCCAAACAGCTTGTTGCATTCCAGCAAAACCAGCTTCGAAACCTGTGGGATTCTGATTTGGCTGCCTCAAGCGATGGCGTACCTGGATGTATTTGGCAATGTGATAACTCACATGGGCAGTTTGTTTTTCGTTTTTTTTTTTTGGGGGGGGTTGTCAGATAGTCAGATGCTTTACTCTTGAAAACTGAGGAGAAGTTGTTGCGCCTCACAGAGGAAGCTCGGAGAGAAAGGCAACAGCGTTTGGAGGGTGGTGATGACACTTGGCTCGGCTGGCTGGGCATCCGATGGAGGACGACGTGTCGATGGGGTGACCAGGATGTGGCGATTCACATGATGTGTCGGCGCTTCTCCATCTCATCCATGTCGATCCATAGCCCATGCAATGGGATGCATCCCCTCAGGAAAGCTGCAGGCTGAAATTCTCGGCCATCATGCAGCAGCAGATGACCCAGTCGCATCAGCCGCAACTTGCCTCGGTTTAGATCGGTTTAGTCACTTGTGGGGCGAGACTAGCTGAACTTGCACTGGCAGCTTTGAAGAAAAACATGATTCTTCTCGAAGATGTACAGCACGTTTGCTAGGGTTTGTTTCCCAATGGAGATGAACCTCCAAAAATAACTGAGAGAGATCCCATAAGAATATATAAGGATCCCATCATAACGATATCAGTGATATCAGCCCTAGGCGCTTCCAGATGCAGCCAGCATAAGCCAGCATCCCCCCATCAGTTGCCATCTCCCATCCCAGCGGAGGTCCTGGGGAGGGAAAGGTGGCCCAATGCCCAAGTCTGGCGGATGGCCGGGCGCTGCTCAATGGCCTGGAGGGCAGCCCGTGGTGCCTTTGACTCCAAGAGGTGATGTGGGGATAACTCGAGGCTTCACCATACATACATGCTGCATGCTTGTATAATTTAGGCATTCAAACAACTTCAAACATCAGGGGGGTATCATTGGGAATTCTTTGGGTATCATTGGGCCACATTAGCCTCCAACGACTCGGATGTGTAAAATGATAACGAAATCTGTTGGGCTGGGGGGAGGCCCGCAACTGAAGCCCAGAATTGTGTTTGAGGGATGCATGCCGATTCTTGTGCCTCGTGATGCGCATGTAATGTAATATACAGTATAAGATATGCCCAGATATGGCAAATATGCCCAGACTCCATGTCCTGAGGCTCCTGAGGTTGCCAGATAAAATTTACTGTAGCAATCTGATTTCAATGTATTTCAATCATTTTCAATCTAATTTAGTACGTCTCAGATAGGTTTCCTGCGTTACTGTAGGGCTTGCTCCAACTGAGGCGGCTCGCCCAGGCTTTGTGCCCCGGCCCAACATGCCGCCAGGACAGCCGGTCAGCAGAGGCCAAGGGGAATCATTCAGGGAATTAAATTGCGAGGTACCAAATGATATGTTGCCATGGGTTTCCCATAGTTTCACCATCTTTCACCCAAAGGGCATACAGGCCAGAGGAAGCATGTTGCAGCTCAAGTGCTTGCCAGCATCGCACATTTCATGCACATCCCCTGTTTTTTTTTAGCACCCGCCGCGGCATCGGTGAAACCGTTAAACTTTTAAACCAAACCTGCCGCTGTCCAAGTCTCAGGACTTGCAGCCAGAGGTTGGGGTCCATCCTATGGTTGGGCTGGTGGCTACCAAGGTGCCAGTCTTGGGAAGTTGAAGCCCCCGGGTGGTCCTGTTGTGTCCTGTTCCATGACCATGACCCAAGTGGCACCTTGTGGCATGTGGCCAGGCTGGTGATGCAGACCCTGTCCAAGCGAGAAAAAAAGGATGGCTGCCCATGGCTGCCCAAAGCGCAGCATTCGTTGGACAATATGCTGCACAACATGATCAACATGGAAGTTATACCATGTTATAGCTTGATGCACTTGTCTAACGGCACCGCAATGAATGCCACAATGAAACCAATATAGGAAGATAGAGAAAACACAAGCATCAATTGATGGCATTGATTTACAGTGTCATTGCAGCAATGCTTGTAATACTGTAGGCCCACATGCACCATAGACAAATGGCACAGATCATCATCACAGATCTAGATGTCAAACTAATGACATTAGGATCATTTAATCATTTAGGATCATTGACTGTTGATTCACAAGTTCCGATGTGTGCAACTCCTAGGCTGGATTGTTCAAGCCAGTGAAGGCTACCTGAAGCAGCGCCTGGAGGCGATCCTTTTCGGGGATCGCCGCGCAGGGACACAGCGGCAATAGTTCATGTAGCGGAACAAATGAGGTATTTTGAAGGATTTTGATCTATTTTTGAATTCTTTTGATATATTATGATATATTTGAGTGTGTCCCTGAGATTGATATAGATTGATTATGTTGGACCTAGTTATACCATGTTATACCCAGTCGTCAAAGAATGTGAAAGATGAAAAACGGGGAGTAATATGATGTAATATTATCATTATATAATTACATATATACAATATATATCATTGTAATGTAATATACAGGTAGCACATCGTAGCACATGGTAGGACTATGACTGTGCTCGAAAGAGGTGGCCCAACTCGCGCAGGAGAACCTTGAGCAGAGTGCAGACGGTGCAGACGTCGCACAGCTGGGAGAAGGTGTTGGAGACTTGTTGCGCCAGGCTCCAGTGCATCCCAGGGCTGCCACGGGCCATTGCCACGATGCTGAGAGCGTTCCTGCCATTGATGTTCCGCAGGTTGGAAAGTGTGCAGATAGCCAAAAGTACCTGGAGAAGTCCAGAAACATCCGAGAACAGCAAGGCCTTGCCCTGTCAGAGAGGAACTTCTCTCACTCAATTCAAACATATTCAAATGAATTCAATAAGTATGTAGTCTAGGAGCTGGCTCTGTTTCCAGGTACCCTCCAGACACCTGAAGGAGCCAAGCTTCTTCGAAACCTGGGGGTGGCAAGGACCTCAAGACCAAAAGAAGATAAAAGAAGGCAGTACGATGGCAAGCCAAGATATCACAATTGTATACAATTGTTTGATCATGTTTGTTTTTTCCATTTCCACATTTACCAAAGATTGCCGTCACCAACACAGTCAGCGAGATTTACAGCCAAACGCCGAGGTGTACGGTGAGCAGAAGGCATTAAAGAAAGGACTGGCAACATTAAGAGAGGCTGAAGAGATTCGCACCACGACTGCAGCGTATGGTTTAGTTTTCATGAGACATTTTTGTGGATGAAGCGTGCGCCAGCTTCACAGAGTTCCTCAGGGGTTCCAGCCAGTTCCAGCGGGTAAATGCTCCAAGATTCCCAAGTACTGCACCCCTACTCGGTTGGCACTGCCAGATGGGCCCTATGAAATCCAATGAAGTTCAGAAGCCCATTTCGTACTGGATTGTCACTGTGTTGTTGGTATCGCACCCGCACTCCTGTCAAATTCTATTCGAGGTGTGGAAGCAAGTCGAAATAGGAGTAGGATCGGAACGGGCACTCTGCCATTCATTGTGCCACAAGTATCCTTCTGCGAAAGCGGCATGCATTGTTCGTAGATTGATCGTGCCGACAAGGCAAAAGATGATAACTGTAGCCTAGCTACCCACTTAGTAAAAGAAAACGCCGGTGGGGTTCATTTTTTGGAAAATCTTTTTTTCAAGGGTTTCCCATCCGGCGGTGCTATCCGCTGCAGTTTTAACACCAGGTTCCGGGCAAGGTCAGGGCCCAAAAGACCAATCATTTCATTCAACTGGCTTCAAAAAGTAAGCAAAACAAACAAAGCCAAAATCAGGCCACAATGTTGATGCTACGGCCAGGCTACGGCATGTCTCAAAAGCGCAACCGATTGTGTAAGCTGTGTATAGGTGCAAAGCTTATTAGCATTTAGCTGCATTTAGCTGCACGAAAAGCCCTACAGATGCCCTAACGTTGCCCTAGCGTCGCCCTAACTTCACACTTGGGCAAACGGGACGGCCGGAGGTATATTAAAAACATAAAAGCTGGTTCACATTTTAGGTTTTGCCACCTTGATCCATCGCAATCTGATCCCGTTGTAGCGGATAGGTGCAAAGCTTTTTCAATTAGCTTCAAAATGGTTGATTTAAGCTTCCAAATCGTCGATTTTAGCTTCAAAATCGTCGATTCTAGCTTCACACGGTGCTAGGGCGACGTTAGGGCGACGTTAGGGCGACATTAGGGCGTCTGTAGGGCCTTTCCTGCAGCTAAATGCCGCATCACATGATGTGGCAATCCTCCAGGGGCCAACAACAGGGCACAACCGACCAGATTGTTTTTTCTTGTGCCCAGCTTGTACTTTATTCTTTCCAGAGGCTATTCCTTTTCATTCCTGTTCATTTTTCTTTTTTGTTTTGGGACTTACAAACCTTAAGCACAATGAAATGCATAGAAGATTTCTTTCGCATTCCTATGCGTTTCATTGCTTTTAAGGTCTGTGAGTCCCAAGACATGATGGAAAAATGAAAAGGAATAGCTCTGGAAAGAAAAAGGTACGGAAACCTGTAGAAATGCTCCACGGACGGTCCCATTGCTTAGGGCCTCCGGCCCTAAGCGATGGAGAGGCCCCCAGAGCGAGAAACAAGCATGTCTCTTGCTCTGGGAAGCGTCCCATTGCTTAGGGCCTCCGGCCCTAAGCGATGGGGATGCTTCCGCCCAAAAACCCATCCAATCGGTGGTGCGCTTAATTTGGTTGCTTTTAATTTCAAAATGGTCGATTTTAGGTTCAAAATGGTCGATTTCGCTTAGGGCCGGAGGCCCTAAGCAATGGGACGCTTCCCAGAGCAAGAGACATGCTTGTTTCTCGCTCTGGGGGCCTCTCCATCGGAGGCCCTAAGCAATGGGACCGTCCGTGGAGCATTTCTACAGGTTTCCGTACCTTTTTCTTTCCAGAGCTATTCCTTTTCATTTTTCCATCATGTCTTGGGACTCACAGACCTTAAAAGCAATGAAACGCATAGGAATGCGAAAGAAATCTTCTATGCATTTCATTGTGCTTAAGGTTTGTAAGTCCCAAAACAAAAAAGAAAAATGAACAGGAATGAAAAGGAATAGCCTCTGGAAAGAATAAAGTACAAGCTGGGCACAAGAAAAAACAATCTGGTCGGTTGTGCCCTGTTGTTGGCCCCTGGAGGATTGCCACATCATGTGATGCGGCATTTAGCTGCAGGAAAGGCCCTACAGACGCCCTAATGTCGCCCTAACGTCGCCCTAACGTCGCCCTAGCACCGTGTGAAGCTAGAATCGACGATTTTGAAGCTAAAATCGACGATTTGGAAGCTTAAATCAACCATTTTGAAGCTAATTGAAAAAGCTTTGCACCTATCCGCTACAACGGGATCAGATTGCGATGGATCAAGGTGGCAAAACCTAAAATGTGAACCAGCTTTTATGTTTTTAGTATACCTCCGGCCGTCCCGTTTGCCCAAGTGTTGAGACACGGTACGCAACATGACGTGGGAATATTGATATATGGATGGCACCAAAGGTGCTTATTACCCACCGCAGTGCCAGGTTGAAGCCTGAGAAAGCTTTCCAGTCCCAGGTAAAACACTGCCCTGACCATGCGGCTGTGCACCCTATAAAATGGCGCGATGCACTGTTTAGGCTTGTTTAGGCATTCTTGGTCTCCAAAGCCAGGATCAGGATTGGACAGGAGTAGGCAACCCCACCTTAAAAAGGAAAATGGAAAGGTCCCCCCCACATACCCTAAGGGGTCCCTAGACTGTAGCCAGGAACGCCGAAACTGAGGTATCAAAACTGGTACCCTGGAAACTTCTGATGGCGCACGTTTGTTGAGAACCTTGGCCGTATTCAAACCATTCCAAACCCATCCTTTGATCCTTCTCCCTGTCTGTTTTTCATTTCAGAGTTGTGACATGTCTTCGCGGCTCAACCTCCACTTGCTTGTCATGCCTTGCCGTGCGACACCTAGGCAACATCGCTTCGCTGCATGCAAGAAGCTCAATGTGGCACTTGCAAGGCTGTCACAGCAAACCAGACCAACATATATTGTAGACGTAGACGAACTGAAATTCCACTGTTGGAACGTTGTTTGACTACGTTGTACATTGTTGTACTGTTGTACTATTACTATTGGACTCCACTGAATTATTTGAATGTCATCTTCTAGCTATTGGATCATGAATCAAACTTGAGCAATTCCCACCATTTTTGTTGGGTTTTGACCTTCGCCATCCTTGATCCGATGCGACTAGAGACGTCCCTAGGTTAAGCAACATTTGTCGCGGGAAGAATCGGAGGATGGATCAGCCAGCACTCTGCACGTGCCTTTGTTGTCCCATGGTTGCTATACTGTATCATTCTATTGGTGTAATAATCACTATATTTGACGGTGCCAGTAGCAATGGAAAAGAAGCCTGTCTTCACACACGCAGCCTTTGAGGCAGTACAATCTGGTTGTGCTCATGCTACAGTCGTTTTGAAACCAGGATAGCGATGCAAATCATATGGATGAAGCCCTCCGAAACTATGCCAAAGCACAGGCGATCCTCGAGGCAGAGAAGACTCCCTTCATTTTGACGTCAACGGGGATTGGACTCACCACCCCCTAATTTTTTCCCAGAAAACATGTGAAGTTTTTCTTCACAAAAACATTTTTCAACAGCAAAACTTTGCTATGGGGTCTTAGCCCAGATTTGCTTCGGTCCGATCCGGTGCAGCTTCAACACCAGGTTCCGGACAAGGTTCCGGAAGGTTCTGGTGCAGATAGTTCCGGTGCAGATACCTCTTCAGGTTCCGAAGGGTTCCGGTGAAGATACCTGCTGAGGCTCCGGAGGGTTCTGTGCGGTTCCGGAGGGTTCCGTTGGAGATACCTTGTGAGGTTCCGCATGGTTCCGGTGCAGATACCTTGTGACTGTGAGGTTCCGGACGTTTCCGGTGCAGGTACTCGGTGAGGTTCCAGAGGGTTACGGTGCAGATACTTGGTTAGTTTCTAGAGGGTTTTGGTGCAGGTACCTGGTGAGGTTCCGGAAGTTTCCGGTGCAGCTACCTGATGAGGTTCCGGAGGGTCTAGGTGAAGATGCATGGTGAGGTTTTGGAAGGTTCCGGGGCAGATACCTTGTGAGGTTCCGGAAGGTTCCGTTTCAGAGACCTTGTGAGGTTCCGGAGGGTTTTGGCGGAGAAGATGCTTGGTGAGGTTCTGGAGGGTTCTGGTGCAGATGCTTTGTGAAATTCCAAAGGGTTCCGATTTTTTTAATGGCATAAGCACGATTTATATCGAATTATGGCAAACACGTAGAATCTTTCAAGCTGTTGGGGATAGCACCTGAGTTTATTTTGACAAAGACATTGGTTTACCAAAAATATCAAAAAACTTGCCACAATAGTGAAACCGAAACATATCATGCTGGGTCCAGAAAATATTTTTTTAAGCACAAAAGCGAACCTAGCTACTAGTCAAGATGCAACATTATTGCCCACTCATTTCTACGACTACGACTACTGATTCACAACTGTCCTTGCTACTGCAACTAGGACGACTACGACGACGATTGGTTTTGTCACTATACTTTTACTATACTATCTCATCTTCTCATTAATTGCTTCACTGCTGTGAAGATCCTATCATAAGTATCCGTGCCAACTCTCATTGTTCCAGGCGGATTGCAATTTGGAAGATGATTTCCAATTTTCATCAAATTTCCACACTTTTAGATTTCCGTCTAGCTGCATTAGCAACATTATCAATTCTCATTTCCAGGGTTGAACTTGCTGAGCATTTGCAAAAACTCCAGGGACAGCAAGAATGATTGTAGGAAACAATAGTGCAAAAGCAGCGAGAAAGGGCAAGGAGCTGACGTCTTCTTGGGGACCGTCCCTGCTTGCTGGGGGATGGGGACCGCCCCCTGTAAAGGGTAGTGATGGGCGATCGATCGCTATTCTTTTCCGTCTCGTGTATCATGACTTGTCATGACTTAGAATACGTAGATTATCTATAATTATCTTAGATTGAGCTTAGAATACCGGGAATATCTTGGAATGCTCATCCAGCTGTTGCAACGTTTTGTCAGTGGATGAACACGTTGCTGGAATGCATTGGAATGCCACATGGGCGATTTGCCCAGGGAACAGGAGATGACCGAACAGATGAAGCTGCACAGCTTGCCTTCAGTGCTGGGCACCAAGCACCTGCCGGCTTGCCAATATCTTGGAGTAAGGATCCCCTTATGTTAACTTCAGTATACTTGAATGTAGGCCACACTTGTAATCTGTATCAGTTGTATTTACTTGTATCATATGTATTCAGATGTATTGAACCTATTGCGTATTAATTATTTTGGTTGGCCGATTTCTGCATGATTTTAAAGCGATGCCAGACATATCCAAGCGACCCGACCAACCAGCCAAGGAAGGCAATGCCTACCGCGTGCGCGGTAGAGAGGGCGGTGGAGAGGAAGACTTGCAAAGCGCGATGGATAAATATGAGAAGGCCACAACCATTATAACCATTCACGGCCTTCACTGCTGCAAAGCTTTGGCATGATTCATATAAGATATTGAAGTGCGCGCGGCGCCAGAGACTCAAAGCCAGTATGGTCTTGCCACTCAATGAAACGCTGCGGACATTTGTGGACAGTTTTTGGGATCTTCTTGAGTCCCAAGTATCGGAAACACTGCTTCAGGCAAAGACCATTCGCGAGGAGCCGTGTGGTTCATCATGCGGGATATATCGAGCATTGCATGTCCCATGTGTATTGTAGCTTACACATGCGGGTGAAATGAGAGACCCTAGGGTAGCTCTTATTATCGTGCTATCCCACAGAATACATCGGAACATATATAGTCCCGCTACTACCCCTAAGATGACTTTCCACAACACCAGAGACGCAGAAGGAAGGCAGAGGTTGTGTCAGTGCCATTGAGGTGGATCGGTTTTCTCATCTCCCAGTTACCAGTTGCTTGAGAATTTGGTCAGTTGTTAGTAAAGCAGCCCACTGCCATGTCAAGCTGCTGAAAGGAGAATCGTACCTTGGACACCCCTGATGGTGCGCGTCTTCTATACAGTTTAGCTATGTTTTACCACCAGAGGCGCCAGCCCGCGTCAGTCCGTGGTGCAGTGACATGCTGCATGAGTTGCTGGGTGTCTGCCGTTTGCTGAAGCCAGGGGGCAAGATTTAGACAAGGCGGTTAAGACCTTTCGACAGGTGCCTTTCTGACAAATGCTGCTTGCCCCTCCAAAACTGTAGCCGAATTACCCAAAACGGCCAGATCTAGTTTGAGAGACCTTTGTTTTGGATTCCCTGCACATTTCTTATAGTTCTTGCATGATCTTGTATGTCATGAGTGACTGAGTGGTTGCCTGGCGGAGTTAGGTTTGTCTTTGTCAAACTTGGGATCATTCGCTGAATTTTAGGTGCCTAGTTTGACTTGCTAGACGATTGAACTATGCTGAAGTATGCTGAAATTACATATGCAATCCATGGATCCTCAGGCAATCGTGTATTTGCTGCATCATGTTGATTCACATGATTGAAGACATACCTGAGGCCGATTTTGGTCATATTTGGTCATATTCTATTATATTATTTATATTTACCTGCTTCATTTTTTGCACCCATCCATCCATCCATCCATCCATCCATCCATCCATCCATCCATCCATCCATCCTTTTACATACTGCAATCATATAATGTGATGTTTTTCTCCCAGCCACATGGCATCATTCTGATGCGCATACGTATGGCTTTAGAATGTTTTATAAACGAACCAACATGAAAGCAGAAAGAGATGACGCAGAAAGAAAGAAAGAGAGAGAGAGGAGAGAGAGAGAGAGAGAGGGTGTGTAGGAAGAGGTAGAGAGAGATGATGCAGCAGAGGGAGAACGGCCAAGAAAGGGACAGGCAGATGTAGACATACACATGACACATATTGAGACATGCATGAAAGATATGCATCAACATATACAGTATGCATGTTTCAGTAGGTAGACCTACAGGCAAACGGCAAGCATATCACACACGTGTTCATATGATTTTATAATATTTTATAATATTTTATATGTATGTGACCGTATGTGCACCTGCATTCTTAGATTCTTAGCTTCTGAAACATTCTGAAACTGCTGTTAACATTCTGTTAAGTCTCACCAGGCTAGGCGAGCCATGGAGCTTACTGGAACATTGGCCACTCCTGACGGAGAGAAGGTGTGGTCCTGGCAAGGAATGTGATGGCTTGGGCACTTTCCTGGTCCAAAATGGCATCAGATCATCGAATCGAACTGGAAGGACTCAAGTCATTTGCGTCAGGTCTTAGAGCTTTTGGAGAAGGTTGAAGAACTGGCATAGATCTCAGCAGCACAGACAGAGTCAGAGGTTCCAAGCATCTCCAGATGTCTCCAGTCTCCAAGCCTACGCTTTTTTTTATTGATCTTTGTGATGAGTAAGTATTGATGAGTGCTAAGCACAAAGCTTGGCATCCAAAGAACCGAACTCTAGGTTAGCATCAATGAGCCCAAAGAACGGCAAAAAGGCTGGGGCCATATTGCTTGCGAAAAGATGCCTATGTAATCCTGTGCGCGTTGCAGTTTGTCAAGATGGACAAGATCGGTGGTTGTGGTTGTGGTTGTCGTGTTTTTTTTATGGTTGTGGTTGTTGTTCTTGTTCTTCTTCTTCTTCCTCCTGCTGCTGCCCCTCTGCTGCCCCTATGCTGCGGCGTTCTTGAAGTATCTATTGAAGTCAAGCAGACGCCATAGTGTACTTTGGGCAACCAGGAAGAGGTGCCCAGAGTCCCTCCAGTGTTTGCATGCATGAATGCTTGCACATGATGTAGTCAGCCCTAGACTCTAGACCTTAGACATCCTTAGACAATTTTGATATGTTTTTTTCCCATGCTTTTATGCTCATATCATATGTCAGTGCTTCATAATAAGTCGAGAGGCACTGCCGCAAAGATCCGCAAAGTGTTTCCCATTGTTGTCTTGCGCTGATGCAGGACGACAAAGGTTCCAGGATGCTGGCAAGACTGCAGCTAAATCACAGGAGCCCTTGGTCAGTTTCGTTAGACTGGACTTAAACAAATATTGTTCAACCATGTTCGACCCCTTTCAAGTGATAATCACAGCTTGCCAGCGTTAAAGTGACCAGAGAGATTTCCCCGACCGTTCAGTGTTGAGAGATACCCGCAGGCTGGAGTTGCCAAAATGCAAGGGAAGGCTTGGTCTTGTGCTTGCTGATGCTTGCTGCCTCAAGAACATCCATGGCCATGGTATGCTTCCAATGCTTCCATATCAATGCGTCATCATGCGTCCACGTCCGGAGTCCGGTCCCTGCAGCATTTTCAGGCCAGAGCCAATGCTGATGGTTCCCCCACGGAAGCGGAACAGAGCGGGGACAGAACTTTGCCTGAGGAGGTGCTTGGAGTCTGGAGAGAAATGGAGAGAACCAAGTTGAACCAAGTTGATTTCCTGGTGTAGCTGAGATTATGCAGAATTGGAGCGGATGTGGCCGTGGACGGGTTCCTCATGGGATTTGCTAAGCAGGTGGAAACGAACGAGACGAACCAAGTGGACATGGGAGTGGATGTGCTGGTCGAGGGTGAACCCATGGCAGCTGACATCCAGGCAAGTCAAGTCCTTGGGTTGTTGGGGGTGTGGAAATTATGTCCGTTTAGCGAGGCAACACAAATCTTCAAGCAGATTAACCACCTTGTAAATATGATGTAAATATGTATATATATATATTTATATTCCACCTTCCTCCGCACCACAGCATTTCCATCGTTGTTTTAGGTGATGTAGGGATCCAGTTTGATCCATCTCTGTGGCACTTGGTCTTACCAGGAAGATGTGGACACTGGATAGATCTGGATACCCGTGGCTCGGTCCCTGGCCATTAGTAGAGTCATTAGAGGAGTCAGTGTGGAGGATTGCATGATAGCATTGGTGGCATGGAAGCCATATGGAAACCTTTTGTCGGATCATGATTCGCCAAGGAGACCAGCCGAGCAAACCACGCACCTGAGCGGTGGCGAGACATCTGTCCTCATTCCTCATTTACCTCATCTCTTTGTCTCTGTACAGATCGTTTTGTCGTGTATTGTGTCATACTTGTAACTTGTATCAGTCATATCATACCTTACTGGTATAGTAAGTCCAAATATAGTATGGTGGTACTGTAGTGCAATACGGCATAACAATTCGTAATGTAGGTCAGTCTGGAATGGTCCTTAGGTATGTTCATAATCATATCTTCACATGCAAACACACTGTTGCATCGCTTCCACCAAAAAAATGGTTTCTTGTGACGCCGACGCCATTGGTACATATTGGTACTGCGTTTGTGCAGTTGTTTTGCCTGGTGCAGGCTGTCTTCCAAAGAAGCAGCTTGACACGCAGCGTTAATGCTGAAGTGTATGCACCCTGTGTCCAGAAACATAGCAAGGCATTGCTCATTGCATGCTTTGGATTGACTAATGAGGAATCATATCAGGCTATTGTTGAGCCATGGAAAGGTTGGAAAGGGTCACAGGGAGCCTGCACGCAAAAGCCCTAGGAAAAAGGCACTTTGCATCTCCGGCTTTAGCCACACTCTCGTGTGGAGTGTGGACGTGCCTTCTGCCTAGCGCATTTCCAGTAAATCCGGAGAAACAGGTGGCTAGTTCGCGTGATTGCGCGGGATTGGACAGAAAGATGAAAGATGTATTGAATTTAATTTAAAGTTTTCAATGACGTCAACTGTACTTCATGCATTTTCATGCGTTTATATAATGATGTTTACTGCACTTGGTTGGCTGTGGCCAGCTGTGGCCAGCTGTGGCCAGTGGGAGCCACATCCTCATGTTTCATTGGGAACTGCACCTCGCTGCCGAAGCTTTTGTGGCTGCGGCAACCAACTCGTGGGGTTTGCCATCTCGCTATTTTCCGAGAAGATGGTCACCCTGGCAAGTCGTTCAGATGCAGTGAAGACATGTTGAGCGATTTGAAAAGCAGAATATGCAGAATCATCAACATCATTGCGCAATCAAGATGTATGAAAGCCATTCAAAGCCAACATCTGCGCAGATTTGACATGATTTGACGCCTTGCATGGAATTTGGGGATGCTGGACCACTGGACCAGTTTTTTTTTGTCCCAGCTTGGGAGCAGTTCCATGTCAGTTCCAATGTTCCAAGGTACAATTACCATTGTCGAGACCAAGGCAAATCCCAAGTGACTAAGCAGCAGATCATGACATTTATACATACACAGATTTATGCTGTATATATATATATATAGATGCGTGTGTGTGATTACAATTGACTACACATGTCTAATATAAGTGATGTTGGATTTGGCAGACATCCTGCAGGAATAACTCAGCTCCTCCCAGGCTGCATGGAAGTTATGGACGTTTTATGTTTTATGGAAGTTTTATGGAAGTTGTATTCATTGTATTCTAAGAAGGTCACATCTTTGACAATTTTGGGATGCGTGAAGTTCATTCCTGCGTTCATGCCAGCCCTTCCCAGGAAGCGGAGCCTGGAGGATGGAAACCAACCTGCGCCCAAATGGCGAATTCGTTTGGGAGACAGGGCCAAGGGCATCCGCAATCCAATTCGAGAGATCATGGATACCATTGCCGGCAAGGCTCCAGTGACATTCAATGTGGAAGACAATCACAGCATCCAATGAAGGCTTGAGTCAGGTTGAGAAGGGTTGCCTATCCGTAGGAAGTTGTGCACAAATGGTTCAGTCACAGCTCATATGTTCCTTCATGGTCATGTTCCTTCCGCATTGCAAATTGGCAGGAAAACCCATCAAAGACGTTGGTGTCTTTGGCGCAAGGGGATCCGACATGCTACCCACACCTCCGGCCCAGTGTTGAGATGGTCTCTGCTGTCTCCCATGCAGTGACTCAGCTGGCCACTCTTTTTGTATCTTTTGGTCCCCATCCCGGGGATATCCCCAGGGGCAGCAAGTTATCAAGTTATCAGGTTTCCAGCCAAATTTGGTTTTCCAATGGTTTTCCCACGGCCGTGGCATGCCGTGGCCAGTCATGGCGTAAGGTGAACTCGGGACAGAACAACGGCTACCAGCCGAGTCAAGGCAACGCTCGATGCCGCACAGCGGTGGCAGCTTTCTTCAACACACCAGGAAGACCCACCTTGCAGGCCAAGGTGAGGAGGGAAGTTGCTACCGCTGATAAGATCATAAGATCCTTCAACATGTGTCACAATCCTTCAACTCTCAACTGCCGCCGCATGGAGGAAATACATGGAAATACAGTAATTATGAACTAGGAAATCATATGAAATCATGAAACATATATTGCAGAGAAATCCAGACTGTTCTGAAAGAGATCGGAATAGTTCGGAATTGGGATAATTCGGCCCACTTGGCTTCACATCGCTATGCAGTGAGATGACGCTGGGCGAGACCTCAGCGCTAGGACGTGTTCATGACCTTGGGCTGCTCTGAAGCGCTGTCGCATTGCATTGCAGCCTTGGCTGCCCCTGGCAGTGGCATGTTTAAATTGGACTCATATGCAGCATATGCATCATAATATGACTCATATATGCATCATATGCAGCCATATTTGTTTCACAATGTTTCACACCAAGATCTATGTCATTGAGTACCATGTTGTTTAAATCAAGTTCGCCACACTGCCAAGTTTATCAAGATTTGGTCCAAGCCAGATTGCAGTGCAATCGTTTCTGCGTCACGTTAGAAGAGCTTCGTGATTTGTTTCATGATTTCTTGGACACCTTATTATTGCTTTATTGGGCTCCAGTCCCGCTGCAATCAAGCTGTGCTGGCCGTTGGACTGATCCCAATTTGACTCCTTACGGACTCCTAACGGAAACAAATAGCATCAACTACAGCAATATCAAATGGATTCAAATGGCCAATCCCCAGCATTGAAAGTTTTGTCGCGCCTTGTGCTGGATCAATCGAGGTAATTTGCTTTTGCCGCGTCCTGGCTTTCCTTTGTACCAGGTGCTTTGTCAGGGCCTTAGCTCATGAAGCTGACAGTGAACACCGTGCGCGGTGCACCAAGTGGTGCACCAACTTGTGCGGGTTGAGACTCACTGATCTCTTGAATTGGGCCATTTACTCCTGGGAAGACGTCGGGATCTTCATCAAGCTTTGCTTCAATCCCATGCACTTTGGCAAGCTGCTAGGACAGTTCCACAGATATTCCGGAAACTGTGCAAGAATTATCAAGCCGCGCGAAGCTGCCTGCGATGCTGCAGGTGACTACCATGGAGTTGAAGTGCGCTACTACGACTTGTTGCCGGACAAGGGTTGGCAATGCAATATTGGGGATATTGCCAAGCTAGTTGATCCAGCCTCAGCTGATCTCTTTTTGACAGTGCAAGGAACCATGGACCTGAACCTGGACACAGATTCATTGAATATCAATAATTATCATGAATTATAATGTTTTCCTGATGAACCATTACGTCCGTATGGGGCTGTTGCAGCATTTTGCTTTGAAATGTGACACCTTGAGCATCTTGTGCCATCCACTTTCAGCCAATCTGGACCGGAAGTCTGGACAGCTGGCCTCGACCTTCCGCCAAGGATGACAACACCTGCGGCTTGCTGATCAACAACCCTTCAAACCCTTGCGGGACTGTCTTCCCTCGCGAACACCTAGCAGAGGCTGCTCAAAACTAGAGCCGCTGGAAGGGAAAAACATGAAAAGAAGGCTTCCAAGATCTTCTGATTTCATCCGATTTCAAGATTTTTCAAGTCTCCGCCCACTCTGCGGACAGGTGTTGAACGCGGCGGCGGAGCTGGGCCTGCCTGTGATTGCGGATGAAGTGTACGCTGGGATGAGTTTTTCCAGGCATGGTTTTTTTGCCCTTAGTGCCTTAGTGGCTGATAGTGGTCGACAAAGCCCATACAAAGCCCTATAGTCACTAGTCGCTGAGAATCGCTGAGATCTGGTGGCCAGGCCATTTGTATCGTGCGCGGAAGCATCGCCACGAGTGCCCATCCTTTCAGTGTGCGCTTTGTCGAAGCGATGGCTTGCACCAGGTCCGTTTGAAAGGGTCTCAGATGGTCTCAGCAGCACCCCGAAGGTAGATACAATGCTAACATCCTGCATAAGATTCATTAGGTATATTTTTTATCCCCATTGAAATTTCCAACCTTGTAGGGGGTCACTCAAGTGACCCCACTTTTTAGACAGAAAATGCTTGAACAGTCATTTTCCCTACATTTCCCGAGGAAAGTCGGAAAGGTCCTTCATGATTTTATATGTAAATGTATCTGACCATTGTCTAGAGAGATAAGGATAGATAGGGGCTGAAAAAAAAATCAAACGAACCCTTGTCCGAATGCTTCCTGGGTCATTCCTGGGGAATGCTTAAAAAGCCCCATGCCCAGGGCCAAGTTCATCCTTCCATATCAAGTCATTTTCTAGACAGCTGCTAGATTGATATCAAGAGACAAATTGATTGTGCAATGCATTTTCTAGACCTCTTTTGGGGTGCCCAAAAGCATCACAAAATAGATCCAAATTCATCTAGATTTTGCTGAAATGTGACAAGATGCGTTTCAATGTTCTATTCCAAAAGTGTGAAGACAGAACTTCAGGATTCAGTCAAGTGTGCCAAAATTTTGAAGTGCCAAGAAAAGATGTCTTTTCAGTGAGGCACGAACCAAACAGAGACCTTGATCTTAGTAAGGATTACCTGTCTTAGTAAGGGTTGCACAATTCATTTTCTAGAGAAAACATTGTTCATTTCTGGTCCTCCATTTTTGAAACCATTTTTTTTAGGGATCATTTTTTATTGTTCTTATGATGGCATTACAGGTCATTTTCTAGACCCAAAGTGGTGAATTGTACTCTCATGCACCTGTTTGTTTAAAAACACACATGTCCAAAACATCCATACATCCCTCTAGAAAATGAATTGCCCAATCAAAAAAAACGTCCAATTTTACTTGGTGTTTTCATTTTCTAGGCTTTTGACTGGGTCAGAGATTTTCTGTCTAGAAAATGGAGTCACTTGAGTGACCCCCCCAAAGTCAATAGGGATTATTTTTTATATTTGTTTTATATATTTTTGATATATTTAGATACCTTTTTGCATCTTTCACTAAATTAATCTCGTTGTCCATATACTGCAACCTCCACCGTCATGTTATCGTTTCATGCAATGTCTTGCCTGAAGATGTTCATCACATTCTCGACAAATTCGACAACCACATGTGTCCAAGTTTCTGATACTAGTAGCAGCCAATGATGAAGGATGGCGCATTGGCTGGATCACTGTGCACGATGCGGATGGTGCGTTTGCAGACGCTGGAGTGCCAGAGACATTGCTGAAACTCTGCCAGGCTGGGGCGATGGGCTCTGGAAGTTGAGTCTGGCCAGGCTCAAGCATAGGATATGCATAGGACATCATAGGGATGTCACGGAAACTAGATGAAACATGATGAAACTAGACCAAAGAACCTGGCGGAATGTTTTGATCGTGCAGTGCGCATGCAGATTTTGTCAATCTTGCACCCTTACATGTCCTCCTGAATCAACGGCCTGCTTTAGCATTTCTAGACTGGGACTCCTTCACCCTTCAAGCACCCCCAACCATTCTTTTGTTGTTTGCGGTTGCAGCTTGGACGTGGACAGTTGGAATGAGAAATGAATAGAAACATATAGAATAACATATAGAATAACATGTAATAACAATAAATAACATATGTTATCATAATTATTATGGGAACCATTCCAATGTCAATCCTACGGGCCAACATGGTCGATGTCGGCCTGAGATGACTCCGACTCCAGGTTTCCTTGGGACCGTCGGCACCTCTCCAGGCACGGCAAGGGCTGCATGTCGTATCGATGCGGTTGCCATCGGTTGCCCGAGGCTGCTGTGCCGGAGATCCTGACGTCGGCGCCCAACGGCTGTCCTTGGCACACGAGAGTCCTTGAAGCTTTGGAGGTGCAACTTTTGACGCCTTTTGCGCTTTCATTGATGTTCGATAGATCTCGATAGATGATAGAACTTCATACCCACTATGCCGGCAGAAACCCAACATTGCACGGTAACAAACGGTTGTCACATTGTGTATATACTGTATCAGAAATCACCAGATCATCAACAATTTGATATGGCCCTGTGGCAGGCCAGCGCCAAATGCTGCGTGCAACGCTGCAAAGCCATCCCAGGCTTGGAGGTCGCTGCTGAGCCAGAAGGTTCCATGAAGCTTGGCTGAGGATTGGTTTGAACATGTTTTGATAGTTCTACCATGTTCTACCATGTTCTACCATGTTCTACCATGTTCTACCATGTTCTATATATAGATCCATATAGCAGGTTATAGCATGTTCAACATCCTTCGCAACTGTACCCAAGTTCTTCAGTGCTTC